CACTGTCGCTTGTTGGTTAAAATGCAGCTGAAAACACAAACCTTTCAGTCTACTAAGCAGGAAAAAGCTTTGAGAGACCACCACCAAGAACTGAAGTTGAACAAAAAGCAATGTTCCTTTGTTGTATACTACACTACGTATTGTGTGCTATGACTACATATTGTTCTGTTTACAATATAAACTCTAAAAATAGAAAGCAGATTGCTGTAAAATTCACTTCAATTCATGTTTCAGGGGATAAAGGGTTGTGTGTTTCTGCAACATCCAGTGGCTGAAAAGAATAGTGTGTTTACAGAGACTGTCTGGATCTAATCAAAACAAACACAAAGGAAATCTGTGATATTTATATATTTATTTTAGTAATACCAAAGTTTTTGTTAGAAAGAAGCAAAATATTTTTATATTTAATCAAATAATCTTGTATCAAGCAAAAAAAATTGTCAATGGGGTAAGCTTTTTTTGCTTGAAAAGAATTCTCAAGATAAGAACAAATTTCTTAGCCCTGACAGACTCAAATGAAACTTAAAACTAGACAGAAAATCTTAAATTAATCTAATTTTTCTACAGCAAGCAACAAAAAATGAAGACGAAGTTACTTAAAATTAGAATTTTAGTCTCTTGAATAAATAAACTCCAAGAAAATACACCTTAATTTAGGATTATCAATGAGCATGACAGTAGTTCAAATAAGACATAATTTCTTAAAGCAGCAGAGCAAATATAAGTGATGTTGTCTTAAATTAAGATACCAAAAAATTCTCATTTAATATAGATTTTTTTATTCCACTACAAGCATGTGGAAAGCAAGCATGTTCTTTGTCGTTCTTTGTTGTTTTGCGTTTTTCATCTGGTCATTGTATTATGTTGTCTGTTGTACAGACCAGCCTACTGACATCTTAATATGTCAGGTAATGTATGAGGCAGCAGATTCTGTCAGGTTCAGATGACCTACTATGGAAATCTTAATAAAAGAAAATCAACCGTTCTTGTTTCATGGCATCCTTAAACTGAGAAGTTGTACATATGTCTTACTCTAAAAATGAGACGAATGATCTGAAAAACTTAAAATAAGATATTTTTTCTAATGCCAAACATGCTTGATAAGATCAACATTCTTCTTGTACAAAAGAATAAGACTTATTTCCTTAATACAAAGCTGTTTTCCTTTCTTGAAATTCCTTTTTTTGATGTGTGGTCAGTTGACCAACCAATGACGATATCTGCTGATGGTTAGCTGACTGTAAAGGTGCAGTGAAAGGCCAGTGCACAGAAATACAAAAGATAGAACTCTTTGAGATGGACTCATCCTATTCAGTTTATTCTAGTATCAGTAGATCTGTGCTAGATCTGTGTCACTGCAGATACACCGCTTTGGGGAATAGCACAGCTGACTCTGCACAAATGGGACACTCTGTACGAACACTCAACAAAGCTTAAAAGAAGTGTCCTCAAGGAAATCGTTGGTGTTTTTATTTTAATTTTTTATTTTTAAATCTCAAACCGCTAAAATAAAAGTTGAGTTAAATGTAGTTAATGGGTTTTCTCTAGCTTGATAGTTTCCTCCGTCTTAACTAAAGGCAAAAACCCAACCTCAACTGACCAGTATTGTTAAAAAAAATAATGATCCCAAAAGCAATAATTATCCAATTAACCCTAGCAGGTAGGAATTTTTATTTATGTATTTTTTTTTTTTGTTTTTTTGATGGCAGTCGAATCATACTCTTAGTCCTTTTTCTGAAGGTGTTGTTTGCAAAGAGCAGCCGAGAAAAGATTTATTTTCCTCTGTGACTTTGCAGTAAATTGCATCAAGCATGGAAGTGTCTGTCTCCTTTCCACACCACGGTCCGTTTTGCACGCTTTAGTCACCCCTGCTTGTTTCAGCACCTTTAATGGGGCCTGGTGAAGGTTCAGTCTCAGGTTAGCTCAGAGCCTAAGTACTTAATGGACACAACCATCGACTGTAAAAGAGCTCTGCTTGGTGTTAAATCCTGCAACAGGACCCTGAAAAAAGAAAAAAGTTCACATCTTATCACAAAGTTTCAACACAAGATGAAAAAAGTTGGATTTTCTAATTCAAAACTTAAGAGTAAGTTTAACCAGGCATGTCAACTTTTGAGAAAGGAAAAAATCGCAAAAATTAAATCATGAGAATTAGTAGACGAGTAAACATATATTGTTGTATAGATGAACATGGCTTAATCCAAACCAGAAGCTTACTGTCATCATCTGAATTGAAGCTTGGCTTTTTGTGTAATCTTCTGTGTTAAGCATAACAAAGTCTCTTTTTCCCACTGAGCAATAGACGGCTATTAAACGTCTAGTTTCTTTTTTTTTTTAGCCCTAATTTCAACCGTGTAGATTCTGTATATTTTTAGATGGAATTTAGACGTTGCACTTTAACCCATTATTCGATAACTATTTATTTCAAAAAGCAACTCTGAGTCGAATAACTGATCTCCACGTACTAAACCAAAATAATTATGATAGCCGTTGAGCAATATACAGTGTAGAATAGATATAGCCCAGATTTAATCTTGGTCTAAATTTAGACGTCTAATAAAAACTTCCTGTGGTATCCTGATTTTAGACTAGGCGTCTAGGCTACATTTAGATGTCTTTAAGACCTCTTTTAGACCAAAAACTGCTCAGTAGGTTATCTACCTTATGATTCATCATTCTTCAAAGCCTTAATAGAGGCTGTGTTTAATGAAACTTCAGCTTTCTGCTCCGGTGCATTTGCTTTTTTATTGTTTGACTGAAAAAAAATTGAGGTCAAGTTAAAAGATACATCCTTTTTTTCCTGATATATCAGCGGCTCAGCAGGTTTCTTGCTGCCAGCAGGGGTCTGCACTTGTCTCTTTCACTCATATCCCCATCTCCCTGGAGAGCTGCTCTGCTTAGATCCTTTTTAAATATTATTTTTTTCCTGACTTTGATAACATAAAAGAAAAATGCACATGAAAGCATGCTATAATATAATGCCTTATTGTTATATTTCACTATTTCAAATATTTTATTATTTCTAGGGTTAGAACAGATGGACAGATGAATGCAATTTGCAAATCAATGCTTTATTTCCACATGTTGTCCAGTGAGAGAAAGAAAAAACACATTCTCTACATTGCATCATTATTATGACTGTCCTATGCAAGAAGGAAGAGCGATTACTGTCCACACTTGTGACACATTTCAGTACATATTGTAATTATGATGCTTAGTTTTCAGATGCTGATGTGCAGCATCAGCAAATGTGGATCTAAATGCCAGTTCTGTCAGTGAAGAGGAGGAAAATATTCATTTATCTACATGATTAAGACCTTGGGTTTACAATCATGAACCAGTTATACGTCAAAGAGAGCAACAATAGGATATGGATGGAGAACTGACAGCCACAGGAGATACAAAGTAACTGAACAATGACTGTTCAGCTGGTATGATAAGTAACAGAAATCAGCTAACCATACAACCGTGTTCACCTCGCGTCACGCATGTTAATTTATAATAATATAGAAAAGTTACGGATAATTTCTATAGGAGACAAGCAGATATAACATAGATCTGCTTTTACAATATCAAAGGCGTGCTTTGAATCTTAACAAGAGGAGCAAGCGCTTCCATATTTATGCTTCCAGTCCATTGTATGATGCAAAACACGATCTACGTCTCCACATGTTGAGATATGATCAGGAGATGAAACGTGGGAGTCGTTCATCAAACTCCATAATAATTCATTGTGATGAAGAATATATGGAAATTTCAAAATGTGGATTTGTGTGTTTATAAAGCAGATTATGTTGTCTGTTTGTTGCACTAATAAAGGACTCCTGTATCCTGTGCACAGTCATCCTCCTGATGACCACCGGCAGGAAAGATTTCCTGTGGCGCTCCGTGGTGCATCGTGGAGCGAGGAGCCTTCTGCTGAAGGTGCTCCTCTGCAGGACCAGTTCACTGTGGAGAGGGTGGGAGACATATTCCAGTATGGAGTGGAGCTTGATCAGCATCTTCCTCTCTGATACAGCCAGCAGGGAGTCCAGCTCTACCCCCACAACATCAAATGTATAAAATGTATAAATGAATGTATAAATATCACAGATTTCCTTTGTGTTTGTTTGCTTTAGATCCAGACGGTCTCTTTAAATACACTTATCTTTTCTGTGCGATTGAAAAAACACTGGATGTTGCAGAAACACACCAACTTTTATCCCCTGAAACACATATGTACAGCAATCCACTTTCTAATTTTACAGTTTATTTTGTAAACAGAACAATATGTATTAGTAGTGCGCAATATGTTGTGTAGTATACAACAGGGCCCATCCTAAAATAAATAAACAAAACTTTTTGCTCAACCTCAATTCTTGGTGGTGGTCTCACAAAGTTTTTACCTGCTGAGCTGCTAAGTAGACTGAAAGGCCTATTTAACCAGCGGTGTGTTGCTCGAAGAGATCCGACTAGAATGTATAGCCACAGTCCCGCCTTGGGGTCAGTGCAATAAACTTGCAAGAAAGTGATTTTTTCATTTCAGTCATAGACTCCTCAGAAGGACAAATATTATTCCTGGTGGCGCCACTACGGGTGGAGCTTTTGACAACATTGAAGAGGTGAAAATAACATTCTTTCTCCGAGTGGCTAATGAAAGCGATGAATAACTCTCAGTGGCTGTTTTGACTCAAACCGAGCAACGTTCGCAACTGTATAAATAGCCAGATGAAGCTAAATGGAATAGTTCCGTCGCATGAGTATTAAGAAATCTAAAGGTTTGTGGAGGAAAAATGAAAACCTGCAGTGACCTTGAGGTTTCTATAGTGAAATAAAAAGAAAATTTGTAAAATAAAAGTGTCAGATGACTCACAGATGTTCTGAGAAACTACATGCACTGTGAATCAAACTGTCTTTAACAGCACAAAAGGCCAAATGAAGCTTCAGCTGTGATGATCTTAAACCCTCAGATGAGCTTGATGAGCGCTAGATAGAACTGAATGTGACGCTTTTGTGTGTTGATTTCACAGTTTACCTCGAAGCAGACAAACAGACAGGAGGGATGGGTGAAATGGTATTTTATTGACAACTGAAGGCTTAGCGAATGATTGGCACGGTTGCAGCTGGCTTGAGACTCGAGCGGTTGCACTGATGAAGAGAGAGGAGGTGGAGGAGTGGAGAGGCTGGTTTGAGTGACAGTGGAGGCTTTTGACAGTATATGTTTTGATTTTGATTTTATATGACAGGGTAGTTTAGTGACAAAGATAAAACCTGGAAAAATCATTAAGTTAAAAATATCTATACTGTGGGCCGCACAACAGTATATTTTTAACATCAGGGGAGGGCTGGGGAGAGGGAGTGGGGGGCTTAAATGGTCCCTGGGCTCAATTTGAGGCTCCTGACAATTCAGCAACAGCTTCTGCATGGACAGGCTATATGGTCAAGTTATATGTACAGGCACTTGCATGTAACAGGAAATAGCATTTTTTTCACTGCAAAATAAGATCGTGCATTCCCCATGAACAACAAATGACTGCATTCTCACTCTTTCCTCATGGAGTTATTAAATTTCACTTTACTAATTTTATACTTTTCTATTCTGGGCTATTCTGCAAAATTTGCTCATCTTCTGTGTCTTAAATTGAGGAAAAAAAGAGAAACTATTGTCCAATAGCCTCACCCTGACCCTAACCCTCACAGCAGGAGGGAGAACCTTCTTCATGTATGTTGATATGTTGAAATCAAGAAAAGGTGAAGTAGCTCAAGGAAGAACATTTATGATCATTTCTCCATGGACATGCAATCAGACCGGGATGCTAAGGCAGAAGAACTCAGCGTCTGCAGTGCAAAATGATTAATATGGTGATTATTACTTCAAGGAAGTGATAAAGTAATGATACTAAATGTTCTTCCTTGAGCTACTTCACCCCACTGTAGTCCGTAATGTATTGGCCCGAGGTCTCCCAAACAAGCGGCTGCTGGAAGAGAGTAGGTGAGTCGTGTTTAGTCTCTTTGCTAAAGAAATCAGGCAAAGCTAAAAAGATGTTTGGTGGCTAGGACCCTATATGTACTGTTGGTGAAGTTAGGTGCTGTTCTGAGCATTATTTGTGGCTATAGAGGGGTTTTTTGGTTGAGGTTTGTTTATGGCTCCTCAGACCGCTGTGTATTGCTAGCGTGCGGTCTTAACAAAAGTTGGTATAACTAGAGAAGCAAGTGGTCAGCAACATTCATCCCTCGACGGGGTGTCTAACTCAGTGTTACGGTGCTTTTAGCCATAAATTAATTTTACGCCGGAATATCCCTTTAAGACTTGTTTATCATGGTTAGTTTACTCTTTTCCATAATGGACCAGAAATATATCAGATATTTAAAATAAATCATTAAAATATTATATTAGTATTTTATTCAATGTGACCTCTATGTTTTGTGGTCTCTCAGTTCACTCTGAGCTGAACCAATGAGTCTGTGGTTTTATTTTGAAAGATCCTCCCGGAAGTTGCGGTCATTGTTGTTACCCGCTTTCTACATTATACAGCCTGTTGGAGAAAACTGATAACTAAACCGGTGTGATTGATGAGATGCTGTTTCTCTGAAAGAAGTGTGGACAGGGGACATATGGACGTTTTATAAATCGTTTTTTTTTAACGCCAGAGGCTCGAGTGATTTTCAGACTCAGAGACAGTTGATTTGTGGGAATTTAACTCCGTCCGGGATGATTGACGATCGATGAGTTAAAGGTGAGCATTAAAAACAAAATCTTGACTTAAAGATCGTTAAGTTTTTCTTAAAGAGCACCATGCACCCTTCCTCCTTTTCCCTCTGCATGACTATAGATAAAAAAATGTTTTTATCGCTGTTAATTCTTATATTTCGTGATAATCTAGGGTCACAATATCCTCCTGTTTGGAAAACAATTGAAAAGGATCCGCCTGAGATTAATGTGAGCTTCTTAAATTTATGTAACATCTTCATTTTCCACTACCATGCTCTCTATTTACACACACGCCGAAATTCAGCGTCTGTTTATTTCCTTGTCCAGTGGCCTTCATCGGTATGGGAAAAGCCCCAATGTGTATAAAAAGTAAGCTTAATGTTCCCGAGTCGCCTCTCATTAAGTTTAACTTCGTAAGCAACAACAGCCAAACAATAAATGGGTCGTTTTTTGCCCTGCGCTTCACCTTCTAGGAAAATAAATTAACAAAATTCAACAAACAAACAAATCCACCAGCAAAATTGCAAACGATTGTTTTTCAAACACAATTTCTCATCAAAAAAATTGAAAATTGTGTCATATAGCAGTAAAACCAAAACTAGACCTGTAAATATACCTATAAATTCAGGCTGAGAAGGGAAAAGAAAATCCTCTCCCATCTAAAGATGATTTATCTCTGGTTTACAGAGGAGCTTTGTGCCACCAGGCAGGGATGTTTTCCATTAGGCTCACCCAGAACCAAAACTGTCATTATTTTTCTTTTTGGTCTTCTTGCTGCTTTATTAGGTGGTGTAATTGGTGCTGCAAAGATAAAAGTAATAAATAATAAAAAGAAAGGCACTGAAATAGGCCACATAGCAGCTAAGGAAATTTTAAGCTATGACAAGCCTTAACCGAAGAAAAAGATGTCTGAATACAAATATTCTGATCCAGGTACCATTGGGTGATGGTGGTGGATAAACCCGCTTGGAAATGCTGGTTGGAAGAGTTTTCTGTGACTTCCCAATGAAAGCCAAAACAGTTTGACTTCTGGGGATACCTTTATGGCAAAAAAATACATTTCAGTTTAACTTACATTTAAACTTTTCCGTCTGAAATGACTGACGCAAAAGGCGAGTCCCATTTTAAAATTTCTACAAAGTGCATCATCTTGTACCTCAATACCCTGCAGTGAAATAGAAACAACATTTTCCTCATATCTCTGGAGCGTCTTTGGGTTAAGCCTGTGGTTTCCTGACAAGATAGAGCATGACGCAATGTTTTATCCACACATGCCATGTCATAGTTAAAAAAAACAACAACAAATCGTCTTACTCTTAGCTCTCTGAACTTTCTGCCTCTTTGTTTCGTAGAGGATGTTTTGCTTTCGGTCAATTCTTAGAGACGGTTATACAATATTATTCTCACACTCATGATATCATTTATTGCTGCGTTCTCTGTAAATACGAACAAGGATGACCTTGAAAGTGTTTTCATGCTGAAATTTGAGTTTCTCAGAAAATCTTATCATGTGCTGATCAGGTTTGATGCAAGCATGAAAAGTCAAATATTACAGAGGTCTGGAGTCAGCAAAGATAATCATGTGATGAATACTTGTATTTGAACAGAGACGGTTCTGTCTCGAGTTTATATTAAAAAGTGGAAGGATCCCAAAGCACATTTTAAGGCCCCCAAAAATTCATGAGAACCAGTGAATAGATACAGTGAAGATTGTGCTTAAACACGCTTTTGTCAGATAATCAGTTTAAAGCAGTGATGATAGGATAAACTGTACATTTGTAAGCTGTCTGTCCTTTTAGTCTTTAGCTATACACAAATAAAGTTAAAGTTCAAGAAATTGTCTACATAAGTTAACTTTTATTGAAATGAAATTTAAACCATCAAAATTATGATGTCCCATAACTTGAAACTGGTCAAACGTCTGCTGAAGTTCTTAAAAGAAATAAAAGCAACAATATAAAACTGTAATTTAAAGGATATGTAGGTATATTTGTGACAATGTGTGAATGCAACTTGTGTATTTTAGGAAAGTCCAGCATTGTCTGGCAGAGAGATCATAAACCAGTCTTGAATTAAAGGAGTGTTTCCCCTATTTAAAGGTACAGCTTGTAGAAATGGAAATAATTATCCCCCCACGATTATAAAAATATGATAACAGAGTCTGAGCGATCATTATGCCAAGACATGACCCCTCTCCTAAAGCAGCTCTCACTTTCACTTCACTAGAGGCATCTCAGACTGATGGGAGAAGAGAGCAGGGAGAGAACCGTAACTGTGTGTGTGAATCTAAGGGACATAATGAACATGATGAGAAAGACAGTAGTATTCACAGGTATATACTTTTGTGTTAACATAAGCGTTAAAGAGCAGTAACATCGATTACTGTGGCTTCCAAGTAAAAGACATTCAGACTCATGATGAAATCCAAGCCAGAATCTTGATGTAAAAAAAAAAAACGTGAAATGAAGGTTTGAAAAGATTGTACATTTTGTAAATTCTGTAGCCTGTGTTTAAAGTGTAGCATAGAAGAGCTCAAATCCTTCAATTTTTACGACATTGTTAAAAAAAAAAAAATTACTACAAGTGAAAAATGACTTTTAATCCAGTGAGTATTATCAACAAAATTAAACCAAAGCCCTCAAGATGAGGCGAAGAATTGATGCACGGTCACTTTCAGTGGTTGTAGTAGCATGTATGACTTTAAAAAAAAAATCAGTTCAGACAGACGTTTAAGAGCAGGCTTTACAGCTTTTCTCCAGCTTTTACCAAACTGTTTTTTTAATATTGAAGGGTTTTAAAGTTCTTCATCAATCAATCAAATTTTATTTATATAGTGCCAAATTAGGGCTGGGCGATAAAACAATAACCATATATATCTGAAATTAATTTCCCTCAATATCAATATAATACATGGTCAATATCCTTTTCAATAGTCGGCATTCTGCCAAGTTTTGGTAGCCAATGAAAAAGGGAGTTGCTCCAGGTCAGCTTCACGCTGAACCAATCGTGTGCTGGATTAGAACCAAGAAGCAAACAACTGCGTAGTAGCAGGCTGCAGCTACACGCAACCATAGCACTTTAACAGGTGAAGCTGACAGCACTGTTGGTGAGAAAGAAAGAAAATGAGTGCTACCCCCCGGCAGAAATGTAAATGAAGGCTCAACAGATGACGACATTGGCGACAACACCGGCATGAAAACGACAGTGGTGTGGAGGTATTTTGGTTTTTTGAGCTCAGACATGAAGTAATGTGCACTGCAAATTATGTCGAGTTCATGTTCTCGCAAAGTCGTGGAAAACCTCAAATCTTTATCACCACCTGAAGCAGCGCCACACGGCAGAGCAGGCGCAATGTAAAAAGTTACAAACCCCGAGTGGAGCAAGGAGCCCACGGCACCTGTGCAGCCGAAACAGCCGACCATTCAGTCCACTTTCTCTAGCGCAAGATAAAACATCGAAGAGACACAAAGACCTCACAGATGAAAAAAATGTATGTGATAAACTTTTTCCCATATCACCCAGCCCTTAGCCAATTCACAACAGTCGTCATCCCAATACGCTTTCCAAAGAAAAAGAGCAGGTCTAGACCGTGCTCATTGTTTGATGAATTATCAAGACCCAACCTTAAGATGAGACAGATTTGACCCAGGCAGAAACCTTGGGAAGGACCAGAGTCATGTTAGACAGCCACCATGCAGCTGCTGAGTTGGGGAGAGATACAGAGATAGGGGGAGAGAGAAAGGAGTAGGAGGGAGGGCAGGGGGAGAGAAAGAGACCAGGGACAGCAGCAACACTACAAACAACAGCAGCAACAACAACAGCTCATTCAGAGTTGTGGTTGCAGAGCAAGTAAGGTTGAAACAGAGAGGTTTTCAATTGCTTAAGTGCTTGTGATGCAGATTTCAAATCATCTGTGATCATTTTTAATCATCCTGATATCAAAATAATCATGATTTTGATTTATTTTTCCCTTATAATTGAGCAGCTCTTTGCTGTATGTTACTGACTTAGTACAAAAGTGACGGTGAAAGAGGCTGGCCTCTGTGGCCCCGTACTTGTAGATATGAAAGACTCATTCAAAAGCAGGGTTAACAAGTTGTTTCAGCCGATTCCCTTTTCTATGAAAGTCGGCAAATGTCTGTATAACTGATGGTTTCTAAAGATGATGTTGTCAGATAACCTGACTTGTATCAAACCACAACTCCCTCTATTTCCGTGTCCTTTGTCGTGTCTGTGGGAATGCCCAAACACAGATAAACATGACAGTATCTGAGCTATAGGATACAATTTGTTTCTAATATGGAGACAGGAATAAAAATAGCTCTCCCAGAGGAAGGTGAGTGAGGAGGTCAGATAATCTGGTAAATCATTAACACAACAGATCTCCACAATGCAGTCAACCCTAACCCCGTGTGATGTAAACAGACTGAAATGACAACCACTCCTCTCTTGCATAACTTCATCTATTTGGATGCAAATGGAGCGAGTTGTTTGTATGAGGGCATAAGTGCATAAACACAAATGTTCAGACGTTCAGCAATGTGCAAATTAAGCGAGAGAATTGTTTTAATCATGCTCTGTGAGGGTACAACGTAATGTATGCTACAATTAAACTGGCGAGATGAGATAAACAGAAACTGCCGCCATAGTGGATGTACCAGCAGCTAACAATATAAAGCATGACAGCTCTCCCATCCTTCACAGTGTTGGTCTTCTTTAAAATCCCATTTGACCATGAGAGATTCTGTAAAATTTGCAATTGTGAGAGTTGGTTGTGACAGTAATCTGTACTGTAAGTGTGTGGAGTGCTGTGTTATTGTTTCTCTCCACACATTACAAGAAAAATAACCTTAAACTTTCCATTTTCAATGATGTGTGAGGTCTCTATCCTCTATCTCTCTGTATCTCTCCCCAACCCAGCAGCAGCTTGGTGGTCGTCTAACATGACTCTGGTCCTTCCCAAGGTTTCTGCCTGTTAAAAGGAAGTTTTTCCTTGCCACTGTCACTCATGTTAGATGAGATGGGTCAAATATGTCCCATCTTAAAGTTGGGTCTTGATAATTCATCAAACAATGAGCGTGGTCTAGACCTGCTCTTTTTCTTTGGAAAGCGTCTTGTGAATTGGTGCTATATAAATAAAATTTTATTGGATTTGATTTTGATGATTTAATATTTTTAAGTTAGGCAGTCCTTAGAAAACCTTGTTTGGGATAGATTTGGCCAACCACACCTTCTGATTCCTACTCCTCTAGATTGTTTGCTTCTTGGTTCCTCCCATTCCCCCATCTGAAGTCTGCAGTTTTTTTCTCTGGCTTGTGACCTATCTTGTAGTGAAAACAAGAAGATGGATGAAGATTGAATACTAATACAGACTCGAGCTTCACTTGGCAGAATGGGCTGATTAGGTTGCAACACAGACAGCTAACTGTCTTTCTTTGATCAATTTTTACACCCGTCAGCTGAGGGGAGTTCCCACACAATTTCACATATCCTTACAATCAGTCAAAGTGCAGGCCAAGTCGACCGTGATAAAACCGGCACATTTAAGCTTACATTAATGGATTAAACCTACTGTTTAATATCATAGAGTAGGGCAGACTGTAGGTTGACATAACCACTCTGTTGGGCTGTAAAAAGAAACAAGTGTGGTTCCTTTAAACATGAAAACCCTGCTGGGACGCCCAGTTCAATGAATGATGGGTACACTGGCTCTGTGACCCCCTGCTGTCAGAGTGAAACAACTGACCTACTCTCTGTTCACCAGAACCTCAAAAATTTTATTACCCATTTTCCCCCTTTCTGCCACAGTTTACTTTAAGAACATTTGATCTGTGGCTCATTTGTATGCATGCACATGCTTCAGGGGCTTTGCTTTGACCATCTATGAATAAATGTTGACTTGTAGAGGGCAGAAGATTAGGCTCAACCATGTGTGCACAGTCTTAGGTGGATTGTAATGTGGAAAAGGATGGTATGACAGTGCACATGTACACGGGTTTATAAATCTGGATTATTCATGGCACACACCATGTCCAGGTTTTTGGTGTAAAGCCACTTTTAACAAGGATTCAGTGCACTTTTATTAATGCAAGCATTGGACAAATTAATTCTAGATTAGACAGACAAGAAATTTCAGTCTGTAGGCTCATTATAATTATGATCAAGTATTTGCATGTTTCAAAAAAAGGACATTTCTTCATTAGACTAATTGGGTTATATGACCGGATCAGGATGTGCTGCTGGCAATATGAGAGGACTTTTTCATAAGATATCACAGACTATATTTCTCAAATATAAAACCATTTGATGGGGCAGATCTGTTCGACTCAGCTCTGTGCTGTTCTGTGTTTAATGCAGCTATGTGTGTATACCATGTTAGTAGCATATAAGAGGGTCTGTGCATTAGGCAGGCAGGAGCTATTGTAGCATTAGAAGAATTATAGAGACTCAACTTTAGAAAGTGTTTCCTACCTGTAACGCCTGCAATTACAACACTGTACAACAAAGCACAAGAAATGTGGATTTCCTGCTGTTCAGAGTAAAAAGAGTGAAAAAAAAGTGCTTTATAACAGAAGCTTGGAATTACAAGGACCACTCAATTTTCCTTCAAACAGTACCAAATCACAGTGAATGCTTTCTCAGGATGAATACTGTTCAGCATTTCGAAAGTTAAAGGTAAGAGGAAAAATTCCTTTTGATCGGCAGAAACCTTGAGCAGAGCCAGACTCATGTTAGACGGTCATCTCCTGCTCCTGTGTTGGGACTGGAAAGACCATAGATGCAGAGAGTGATAGGACAGCTAGATAGGACAACCAACAAAAACAACAACAGCCCATACAGAAATATGGTAAAAAAGAATACTATATGTACTATGTACAGGAAGAGCATGCATTTGATAATAGAGCTTAGTTTAATTCAAGGCAATTAAAGTCAACTGGTCTAAAACATAGACTGTATATAGAATGGACGCCATCTGCCTTCTCACTGGTGAAGCCATTCTGAGAACAGCACCCTCTGGTGACGGGCTGCAGTATAGGTCATAAATCCCGCCTCCGCCAGCAAAGTTTATGGGACTGTGGACAAGAAAGAAATAAGAAATTTATTACACTGAATTTTTTCCTCCCCTCGGTTGCGAAGTTGACATGTAGTTACTGTAAGACTGGTTTGTGCTCAAGTCCTCTTTTTTCTGAGCAGCTCAGTTTATAAAAGTTATTAAGGGGTTCATGTTTTCTATGATTGACACTTGATACAGCCTATGGGCGTATGAAGATTGCGTAGCTCACCCGGGTGATACGCTGTTTGAGCCGAGCGTCATCACAGCGACTCTCAGCGGCTCTCCCGCCGAGTACGTACAATGCTACTGCGCAATGTTGGTTTCAGGAAATGGAGAAAAATCGTGAAAATACAGAGAGCTTTTCGGCTTCAAATCCATATTCTGGCAGAAGGTGGAACCAAGTTGTCCATAGTATATACAGTCTATGGTAGCGTAGTAGCATAGCATTTGTACAAAAGGAGTTGAGATGCATAATTCAGAGGGAGTCAAAATGTTACAAATAACTTTGTAGAGTTGTCTCAAGCCTAGACTGTAACTATATGCTTATGAAAAAGGAAAGTTTTGAGCCCACTCTTGAAAGCTGAGAAGGTTTCTCTACTCTTGTGGTGCTCTGGTTGGGTAATGGGGGATCTCATTAGTGCACATTTGCAGGTAGCTTGTTGTAGTAGCTTCAACTGAATTTCCCCCCCGGGATATATAAAGTCTTTGGATTCTGAAATGATGGGGCTTTAACTATGAAGATCTCAACCTAGAGGTGACAAATTCATAGACTAGTTTTTCTGTGTCGTCTGAGACAGCCAGGATGTATCTGATTTTGTCGCTATATTGCACAGCAGCTCTGAAGATTTGTTGGATGTGGAGGTTAAAGGATTCATCCCGGTTAAAGAGAACTCTCAGATTCTAGACTGTGGTGCTGGATGCCACTACTGCAGTTATATTATTAGAAAATATCTCTCTAAGGAAGCCAAGAACTTAACATCAATTTTATCTGATTTGTGCAGCAGAAAATTTCTGGTCATCCAGATCTTTGCATTTGTAAGGAATGCCCCGAGTTTAATGGATGATTGGATTGAATTATCAACTCAAAGGATAATCCGTTTTTGTCTTCATCCTCCTTTGAAAACATGCAGCAGCCACAGTAAACAGATATAGTGTTGAAAGTCACTACTAAAGACATAAAGTGAAATAAAAAGTGCTCTGCGAAGACAAAAGTTCTTGGAGAAATAGAGCGCAATGAGGACAGCAGTAAAAATAAATGAGAGCAATCAGCCAGATGCAACAGTAAGACCCAGAAGTGATGCAATACACTCACTGTTTCGGAAACACTGTCATTGATAAGATGGTTGATCAGTAGTGTATTTCTTTGAATAAATTGTATGTTTATTTTCAACATATCACGGCACAATTCTGACCTAATGTTGGCATTTTCTTTTCTTGTTTAACACAATCCTAATACACAGGAGTATATATTTCCTGACAATTCCAGGAATTCATTTTGAATCGGGTAACACTTTACAATAACCATAACTTATAAACGGTAAATAGATCATTTATAAATGGTAATCAGATAGTTTATTAATGTTTAATCATCATTTATAAATAGCGTAGACCATGAATAAATTGTCAATTTTACAATTCTAAAAACCTAACCCTAACCCTAACCCTAACCCTAACAGTAACTTTGCAATAACCATTTAAGTAATGTAATGTTTATAGATATAGAAGTATTACAAACATCAGTTGCAACTTTACAATAACCATCTCAGTAATGTTTATAGGTGGACTTAAAACCAAATATTAACCATTTACAAAGTGCTACTGACACACATTTTAATCTAGATGTTTTACAACCAATATTTAAACCCTATATAAACCTTTAATAAATAGTCAATTAATAATTAATGAAAACTATATTAACTTACATTAATAAACTATCTATTTGCCATTTATAATTGGTCTATATGCTGTTCTGAAATGATGATTAAACATTAATAAACTATCTATTAACCATTTATAAATCATGGTTATTGTAAAGTGTTTCCTGACCTTTACTTCTGAATCGTCACACCTGTTAGTTTTGAAGAATTACTCTCCAAACTGCAGGTAGATATTTATAGTTTCAGAGATTAAAGTGTAATTATATTTACTTATTTCATTTTGGTTTGCTGAGTTAGAAAATTCTGATACTGTCATGATATAATTTGTAGTTCTTATTCATGAAATTATGGTAAGTTTATGTTCACACAGAGACCTTGGGACTAAAGTTTACTCTGGATTCATGAGGGCTGCGGAAAACCTGGATTTGATAGTAGACATGTAAGTTCATGAAAGCTGATCAAACAGTGCATAATCAGCTGTTCAGTCATTAGCATAAGTCCCTGTGAATAGCAAACGAACACTATATACTGAGGTGTGGACATGTGCTCTGTGTGGACCAGATGGTGCTAAGAAAGAAGAAGAAGAGAAAAAAAATGTTCAGATGTAGAGTTCAAAGTTGTTTTGGATGAAGTTGAAGTAAGAAAGATATTTTATTTCCTCCTCAGACTGCACTAGCTCTTGTTGAGTGACATTATTATTAAGCTCATTGGGTGTCGAGTCATAGGTCATTGGTTAACCTCATTGGATAGGTTAGACCCCTAGATAAAACACATATAGCTACTGGTCCTTGGGGTTGCCAGGTAAAGAGAAAATCAATTGTGTGAGTATTCATGTGCATGGATTGTGAATGTGAGCTCTCTATATTGATTGAGCTGGCACCTAGAGGCTCTGTGCACACACACACAAACAATTATGTTAAAACAAGGCTATACTCTTACCAATTAACCAGCTGTCTCTCACACTACTACATTCACTAAACAAGTACCATTTGTGCTGGTTCTACCAAGCCGCAGCGTTAAGAAGCACCAGTGTTGCCTGATGGGATCAGAATTATCATACCAGAGACTCAAAATTATCGTATTTTTGGGAAAGTTGTCGTACACCCATCATAATCAAAATAAGAGTCTTACTGTTGCATGATAGTTACATATAGTCACTCTGTTTGGTGTCATACAGGCACTCACGATTTTCTGGCTACAGTTTTGTGGTCATTCACCACACCGCCCCACCACCACATCAGCAGAGTATGATCAGCAGCTCCAACTCAGCTGTGTTACACTAATGTGTCCCTTTAAACAAATGACAGGTGGGAACTAATGAGCCAAATCATGAGACCCAGAAGCCACCTACTTTTTTGAAACAGTAGTCATAATAACTGACAAGGAAATAAAAAATAATCTAACTTAACTTAGTGAAATTAATTTTAGACACAAAAATCAACTTGTACTCACACAAGGATTTGGCTCCTGTAAATCAACCTCCTCTTTAGCGGTGTTCGTTTTGCTCAACTGACTTCCCGACTGAGCATGATTGACAGCGAATCATGCGTGTTAGTTGGAGACAAACGTCGCTCAAACTACGACTGGATGGAAAAGTCACGTGGTAGAAGATGCCTTCGGGGTTCACAAATAAAAAAACTGAAAAATAAATTATCTGGCAGACTGGGACAGTCCTATTGCGCCACACGTTCACGAAACTGTCAAATTATCGTACATTTAGCCTTTTCTCTTGGTTATTGATCGTACATCGTACACAGGGCGAAATTATCATACAAACACGATAATTATCGTATAACTGACAACCCTGAGCATCACACCCTTTGCATCGCCTATATTGCCACCTTTTTTCGGCAATTTGAATTTGTTGAAAACACGCTTATAAAACAGACCATTTTGCATTTTAAAACCTTGTCTGAAGCGCAAATCTGCTTATTACTTCATGATTTTGCCAAATCAGTTAAATTGCATATATTTTGGTAATGTTTAAATTACGTGTTTCAAAGGGATCTGCTTATTGTGACTTAACAGATCACTGTATGAATTGAAATAGGGATCTAAAATAGGATAACTCTATGAGTGGTTGGAGGCAAGTGTAGATTTATACAGTTGCTACAAACAAATCAGAATGATTTAAGTATTAATGAATGCCGGATCATTTAGTTCTGTGAAAAGTTTACACATACATTATGAATGAAAAATCACATCCTGAATAATGTTTGAATTATTCAAAAGCAACGCTATCTTTTTTGTTTTTTTTCCAATCAAGTGCACTAATACATTTCTGGTCACGTTATATATTAACTTTACACAGACTACTTATGTAGGAATTCTGCAGTGTTGGAATATTGCAGGCCAAATGCTTTTAAATCGATGTAAAATAATGTAAACAGGTGCCCTATGCACTTTTTCAGAGATGTATGTAAGTTATCATTTCATATTATGTTGATTTATAGACCAAAAGTAATATAATGTAAAAAACATATGTTTTATATAAATGTGAGTCCCCCACCCTTTTATTTGCCCAATACCAATCACGTCTTTCATTCATTTAAACTTTTTATTTGCTGAAAAAAAAGTGTCATTCATAACTAACTTCAAAAATGGTAATTCATCCTTTTTTCACACATGTATACACTTCCAGCTGTGATGCTATGATGATCTTTGTTGTTATTCATCTCACCTGTAAAAGTTGCAATTTAGCATCACCTTCTCCACTTACATCACTGGCCCTTATATCTGGATTAATGAGTTTCTATATTTAGTCAATGTGCCAGTGAAGGCTTAAAAATTAATATCCAGATCTCACCAAACAAAAATAGTTATTCGAGTTATAAACATGATAGTGTTTAACATCTTTGTTATAAAATGAAAATACTGTAATTTGTAATTTGTATGTACTGTCTTGTGTTCTCAGATTCTACATTTTTGTCCAGATGACAATTGTAAATTCAATACAGCAAGGAGAGACTGAATCTGACATCACCTAAATGTACCTAGAAATAAGCCTAAAACTAAATTATTTCAAAAGACCTTTTATAAACAGCCATCTCTATTTTGGTGCAGATTAGCTTGCTATTTAAGAATGGATGATTGAGTCTAGCAGGAGCACCCATTCAATGAATACCTGTGCGTTTTAGAGCTGACATCTGTACATCTGCGGACCATAGCGCAGAGGTGGGGCTGAATTGGGTCTTAAGCCTCTTGACAAACAGCTATATGTCACCTGCCTGTCAGTCAACCCAACCATTCCCATAACTATACAGGTTATCAAACAGAGAGTTTGGTCTGGACCTGCTCTTTTGGAAAATGTCATAAGATGTCAATTCTTGTGATGAGGTGCTTTAAAAATGTCATTTTTTAATTCTTTGTCATTTGGTTACTCACATCTATCAACAATAACCCTTTTGACCTTTTAATTGTGGAGTATTGAGCATCGCTGTGATTGTCTACTTTATGTGAAAAAAAAAAATTCTTGGAGCTAAATATCTTAAAGTCATGAGGTAAAGGGAGACATGCATTAATTTAAAAATTGTGTGAAATAATCATGGCTATGCCTATTTCCCCCCCTTCAAAAGAAATCATTCATCTATCTATTCATCCTTTCATTCATCTATCCTCTTTTATTTTGCTTATCATGTTGAGGGTGTGGGGAGGCTGGAGCTGATCCCCGCTGTCGTCAGGACTATCATTGACTGGTCGCTAATTAATCACAAGGCTGACACACTGAGACTAACCACCACTTTCTCTAACTCTTACACCTACAAGCAGTTTAGATTCACCAATTAAAGAAACAAGCATGTCTTTAGCCGAGGTGTGAGGGAGCCAGAGAAACCAGGGGAAAAAAAATGTAAGCATGCATTTACCACCAGAAAAGACAAATCGAACATTTTTGCTGTGAAGCAACAGCCCTGACACTCGCCCACTTTGTGCAGCATATTAATCAGATGTTTGGACTTTGAGACAAATATGATTGGAAAGCACCAGCGGTTAGTATGATCTATAAAAGCCTGTTTGTAAAAGGCTGCATTGAAGGAACTGGAAAAACAGATGATCGAGAATGAGCAGTTAGTTCAACATGTAACAGTTCAGATCATGGCTCCAGTCTTTGCTTAAGGTCAGTAGAACATATAGTGCTACACACAGCCATTCATCAAGTTGGAGAACACTGAGGCCTCTATTATAAGCATTAATCAATAACTTTTAAGCCACATATAAGAACTTGGTGTTCATAAAAACTATAAATGTTACACATGCAGAGTTTTCAATGATAAAAAATAATTGTGCTTTTATGAACACTGTATTAACACGCCATATAGGGTCTTATAAGTTGCTCACTAAGTATAATCAATGCTTATTAAAGGACCTCTGTGTAAAGTGTTATTGATGACTTTTTATTTAGTCAACAGTTATCAATAAAACACATTCTCACATAAAGAAATATCAAAATTCCAGTAAATTTACCATTTGGTTCAAGCTATTTTATTCTCTTTAATTCCTAAATTAATAAATTTTTTATTGTATCTCTCCAACAAAGCAGTTCCAAGTGTTAATGCTCAGATCAATAACCCCCACAGAGACAGTATCCGTCCAGGGAATCAGTATGAATATCAAATGCTGAAACCTTACTTGAAGCAATAACATATGTTCATGAAATCCACCAACACCAGTCGAGGTTTAAAAACAAACCAGGTGTTTGAGCGAAAACTGTTAAAACATGATTTCACAGATTTCATCCCTGCCCTTATTTTTTTTCCCTTGCGGTGAACATCAAACACCATATGTTCTCAAGTCATATTAATTTTATGCAAATAGGGATGGAGGGGAATTTTCATAGTTTTCATACAGCTTTCCAAGCATGTCTCCTTTATCACCATCTACATAAAGCAAATCTTTTTACTCATTTGAACTCGGAGACCCAATCACAAAGATCAACCAGTTCTTATCAGCAGCGTTTTAGACACAGACTATGAAACTGATGAAATATGCCAAAATTAAACACATGATCTAGAATTAAATCAACATGTTTGTTTCCCAGACTTAGAAAGAAATGTCACATGAGAGAAAAATGTGGAGAGTGGAGGCACAAATTAAGACATGAACTAGGTCTGTCGCTTTTCCAGTGATAGTCCATGAAAATGTTGAAGAATGATGTCTGGAAAGTATAATCAGTAACTTAAATTAATGTTTAAAATAATGTGAAATCAGACGGGTAGATGTGTCCTGTTGGTCTCTGTGTGTACCTGAGACTTCAAACACCCAGATTTAGGCCTATCCATCAATACCCAGGTCAGTATGTCCATTTTATGGCAAAACCAAACATGTACAGGAAACTTTATAGGTTTGACTACCACACATTTTGCTTGTACATGCTGCACAGGGGTTGAAATATTCATAAATCGTCTGTTTTGTACCTTTTCAATACCAATTTTTCAATTTTATTGATCTATTAAAAACAACTCTAAAAAAAGAATAGACCAAGCTTTTCTTGATTTTATTCGAAAGGTTACTGCCTTGGTATGAAAGACAACTTCTTTGCACCTACTTCACATTCAAGAAACATCTAGCTTCCATTGATTTTTCTCTGGTCCTGTTGGCAGCACGATGTCTAAAGCGCCTGAATAAAACATAAATTTATTCCTTGTTGAGTGAGTTTTCCTCATGCACACATATCACACTGTGATCATGTCCGCCCCCCCCTCCACGTGAAAAGCGGTGGATACTTTTTTGAGCTGTTTCTCTGAGGGCAACTGTTGCTTGAGGACAGAACTTAGAGAACAGCATTCCTCAGTGAATTAGATTTTTATTTTTTTGGGTCTGAGTGCAGTGCAGAAATCAGACGAAGAGGTTGGTTGTAAACACTAAGGTCCACTCTTACAAGTTCGATTCTTTTCATACCCTGCATACTATATTCTACGTCCTTTAAAATTTTTATAAAAAGCTAAACCATCCATTGCCCTTATACAGTATGTAATTTGTGGAGTTTTGTTTGTTCCCATTGTGCTGCAGCTGCATTTTCTGATATACTTTTGGCTTTTGGAATAATGTAAACAGCATTAATTTCCTGTGAATTCATTTGAAGTAGTAATCAGATGACCTGAACAAAAACACTGTAGCTCATTGGCTTCAAACCAAGTTTTGTAGCAAAGCAAAAGAGAGTGTGTTGGTCTCTGTGGAGGCTTTTTGTCTTGACATACTTGCTCAGCAGATACTTCAGTGGATAGACTAGCAGTACTGTGTTTAAGACTGAACAGCATCGCTCTGTAGTAGAGTAGCCATCAAACCTCTCTTTCTCTTTCTCTGTAATATTGTCATTGACAAAGTTGCAAAATATTTTCTGGGTTTCCTTCCTCCTCAAGAGTAAAGTAACCAGTAGACACCTTTAATTCTGCTCTTCAGGTAAATCATCATATAAGGGCTGCAGTGTCCTTGAACATATGCTTAAGTAGAAATAAGCTCACCGTGTAATGTATGCCTGTATGCATGTGTTTACATATTGATGTCGATGCAGTTATGTGTCCTGTTTACCTGATGCCTGTTTGTATGAACTTTTTTCAATCTGAGGAAGTACCTTTATTGTTTCAGCTCTTTCCTCTACTTCACAGGGCATTCATTCCCCATTGATGGCGGTGATGGAGAACAAGACGTGGCTACACCCCTCATATATCCCCCATTATCTCCTTCGTGGTGACCCTTTCACCTCGAGGCTCTCCAGAGAAGCGGATATTGTTGCAGCCTTTTACATCTGTATAATAGGTTAGTCTCTCACAGTAAAGACTTCTTCTCTTTATCTCATTGTTATTTTGTTTTTAGCTGAAACTGACATCAGTGGTGGCCTGTTCAACCCTCTTTTTCATGTAGATTACATGCCAGTTTAGGGTGAAAAAGAAAGATCAAAATCTTCTCCATGCTTTCTCTGAACACATCTTGTATATGAACTTCTTAGGACTTGAATGCCACAGTCATCTAATATTGGTTTTTATCTTTGCTCCTTTTTGTGCAAAGATTTCATTAGATTCTGCAAATGATTCTCTTTTAATGATATTAGAGTAGAGTGGAATAGAATAGACTTTCATTGGTATTTGCACATAGGCACACTGGATTTGTGTAAAATACCTAGAGTCAGCTCAATAAAAGCAAGCTGTTATTGCACATGGTTTAATTGCATTGTTTTGCTGATTGTCAATATTGCACATTGTTGTTATGCAGTACAGTGTTATTGGTGGACATTTTTATAGACACACTCTGTTATTACCTCGGTAGTTGGCTGTCCATTTAGTAATTCTTAGTAGTCTTTCCTTCCTGTCTTAATTTCCTGTGATATTAGTCTTTTAAGCAGATGGAAAGAAGCTATTGTGGAAGTGGGCTTTGGGAGTTGGGATGCTGTCTTGGTTGTGGTGTCTCAGGTTCGAGCTTGAGCCCTTCCTCTGTGAGCCTATATGAGGAGCTGGCGTTGAAATCTGGCCTTCTTCGGTATCATGATAAAAATGATGCTGCTGCTGCTGTGCTTTTTGTCTCTGATATAAGTGTTTTCAGGTTCTCAGTAATACGAAGATTGAGGAACTTTTTACTGTCAACCTGGTACACATCATCGACTGACTTCATTTTATAACCTGAGTTCATAGAGTGTCTGCAAAGTCTGGTCTCTCTACATTTTCTTTATTTTTTCTTTTATTTGCTGCTGATGGATTTTTCTGCCAGGAGAAGAGTTTATTCAAGAGAAGAGTTTTTTTCATCAAGACAGAGCACCTCTGGACAATAACATCCAATTCCAGTGGACATCAGGAGGCGTTCTCATGATTGCTGTGCTGTTGCACAAGTAAAGGTAAAGTTGAAGACTTTACCTTTACTTGACATGGAGATATAAACCCTTTCTTCCATCAGTCATCATGGGAAAAATCAACTCCCTGCTCAACAAAGGCGATCAACAAAGACTGAGAAAGTATACGGTGAGAGCAGTCTCCTGTGTTTTACGGAAAACACAGGCTTTATTTGTCAACCGGACATGATGTAACTCTTCACACATAAATGTCAAGGACGGGTGGTGTTGTCCAGGTATTGAACTGTTGGCAGTTTCCTTTCAGCCATATTACGTTCCAAGGGAGTTCAGTCAGATCATAACAATACTTGAATACATCCCACCAAAGTCAATGGCTGAAATGCCGTGTGATGTTCTGCATTATACTGTTGCTAGGGTACAGGCTCAACATCCTGAGGCGCTAATAATGATGTCAGGAGACTTCAACCATGTCACCCTCTCCTCTCACCTGACTGGGAACCGTCCTACCAAAGAAAACAAAGCCCTGGATCTGCTGTATGCCAACGTCAAAGAAGTCTACAGAGCCACTGCCTTATTACCACTAGGCAGACCTGTTACAGACCGTGTGTGCTGAGGCAGCCTGTGACCAACATCAAAATCAGAAGATGGACACCTTAGGCTAGTGAAGCTCTAAGGGACTGTTTTTAATCAATAGACTGGACTGTGCTGCTGGAAACAGATGAGGACAGTATGAACATTGGCAGACGGTTTAACTGCTTTACAAAGTAAATCAACTTCTGTAGAGACACAGTTATACCTACAAAGACTGTTCGCCAACAACAAACCCTGGATCACCGGTGTTGTGCCTGAATGTGTTCAATGAACAATCGTTCATGAACTCATTCACATTTCGGGCGAACATGAACATATCGCTCTTTGTTTGTGTGTGAATGTGTTGGTGTTGAATGCGCTCATTCTGGTGTCTGTGAGTGGTGTTCTAAACTCCGTTCACATGAGTGCCAGATGTCCAGAGCCTTCCAGGTGAAACCCCAGCTAAAACACACCGTAAACAGGCCTTAATATTTAGTGGAAAGCCACCCAATTTGGCAACCCCAAGCAGCCTGTCTGTTGCTCCAATAATTACGCCAGTCGTCACGACTTCAGTATACATTATGGACAAACGAGGTAGCACTAGCTACCCGGAGCACACAGACTCGTATGAGCATTTAAAAGATTTTATGTAAAAGTCAACACCAACACAGACGGTAAAATCCAATCTTTTTGTGTAGACTTTGTCCACCTGGTTTGAGGAAGCAAGTCCGAACATCGACGACATCTTCAGCAAACCTTAAACGGATATGATAAGAAATCACATCATACCACAAAATCATACCGTTATTGTTAATTGTTATTGTTATTTCCAGTTTTTGTTCTGGTTCCTTTTTAGTTTGACTGAAATAAAATTTGATGTGAATTGTTTCCAGGTAGGTTTGGAAAAGCAAAGAAATGAAAAAAATAAATTTAAGTACTACAGTCCTGTTGTAATCATAATAAAGGGTGTAAAAACCATTCAAGCAGCAGGTTTATGAAAACGTTAATAAAAAATATACTCTGGAGATAAAAGTTCCTACTGGTGAGGACTGAACAAAACATTAGGGGAACGCCAGTATACTGAGGGTTGTCCTCTCAATGCTATTCTGGTTGAACTAGGATTCAAAAATGGACATCAAGATTAATCTGACGTAGTTTCAGTGCTACAACGGCTAAAACAGTTGCTTTCTGTGGTTCTATATGGGCTCCATAAAAAATCTTGATAAATAATAACTTGCAGCAAATTACTGGAGAAAAAAAAGAACTAATATGGTTTATTGTTGGGAACCATGATCTGAAGTTCAAAATGTGGAATTATGAATTTTGAACTTAACTAGTTTATTTTAAAATGTGTGAACTGAACTTTGAAATAGTTTGGGTAGAAAGTGAACTTTCCCAACACTGTGAATCACAAGTGACATAAAGGCAATCTATGTTAAGAACAAGGTCATTTCCTCTTCCTTAGACTGTGATCTTGTGGACCAAGTTCCTCAAGATCATGCACTTAACATGCATGTTGAAAAAGAAATCCCAAAATTCTTTGCAACTTTAATACTGAGAAAAATTAAGCTGAAATAGTTTCACTGTTTGCTCACAGTCTGTCACAATGATGAACCTTGATGAACCTCTCTCCATCTTTTCCAATGCTGACGCTCTACTTTTAACAATTCTCAGTATTCATCAAGGTGAATTGGGTTAGCAAACCCAGGCTAGCCAAAAACATCAGCAGCATCATTTTGAGATTGCAAAAATGATACCACGCTGTTCAAAACTCATACTTCAGCCACTTAAAAATACAATGTGAAGAAATCAATATGAAATAATAAATCATCTAAATAAAGACTGGAGTGGAACAACCATTAACAGGAAATATGTTATTCACTTTGATTGAATCCGACGTCTTGTTACACTTCTCATTTCTGAGCTCTATTTTCCCACATGACTAATTAGAGGACACTCTTTATTTGCCATCATATGAGTGCATGGAAAGTGAAGAGAGACACAGTGTGCTCATGGTGTCTTTATCAATTTCCTTTAACAGTTTTATTTCAAGGATAAAAGCAGAAAAAGTTGTTTGTGATCAAACAAGGCTCAAAGAGCCAGCTGACTAGGCCACAGGTTTATGACTGAGGCTAAATTGTGTTAAGAGTTTTTTTGGGGTTTTTTTTGCCACATTTTATCCGTAAATCAGTTTATTACATTAATGACTTGTTATGTAATACATTTCTCAGAAGCAGACTAAGAAGTCTAAGAAGATCTCTTGTGCCTAGAGAAAGCAAATCCAAACTGACATGGTCTGTGGGTCTCCAGTACCAAAAACAAGAGAGGAAAATCAGTGAGATTTGCTTAAAGGCAGGCAACATTTCCCCTCCAACCAAAAGCCAAGACTTACAATTATATAAGATTTTGTTTTTTCCACCTGCTTCTGATTTTGTCTGCTGTACATAACAAAAACAACACAATAATAACATTTCCTTCATCTAATATACATGTATATGAATTAGAGCCAGTCTTATTAGTCAAGTATTTATACATATACAAAGAGTTTGACTCCAGTTGACATTGTTTTTATAACTGTTATAAATAAGGATGACATGGAATAGATATTAACTTTGTAAGTGCTTACAGTATATTTACCCTTTATTTAAAGGGATATTCCAGCATAAAATTAATTTAGGGTCAAACAAACTGGAACACCGAGTTAGACAGCCCCTTGAGAGATGAATGTTGTACCAACTTTACCAACTTTAGTAATGACCGCACAATAGCAATACACAGCGGTCTGAGGAGCCATAAACAAACCTCAACCAAAAAGCCACTCTATAGCCACAAATAATGCTCAGAACAGCACCTAACTTCATCAACAGTACATATAGGGTGCCAGCCACAGTACTAGCCACCAAATATCTTTTGAACTTTGCCTACTCTCCTCCAGCAGCCGCTTGTTTGTAGCGAGACCTCGGGCCAGTCCATTACGGACTACAGCAAAGAGACGCAGCTCAAAGAAGAACATTTATGATCATTTCTACATGGAAATGCAATCAGACCGAGACGCTAAGGCAGAAGAACTACTGTGTCTGCAGTGCAAAATTATTAATATGGTGATTATTACTTCAAGGAAATGATAAAGTAATGATCAGAAATGTTCTTCTTTGAACCGCGTCCATAATGGACTGGCTGGAGGTCTTGTTACAAACAAGCGGCTGCTGGAAGAGAGTAGGTGAGTTGTGTTTAGTCTCTTTGCTAAAGAAATCAGGCAAAGTTAAAAAGATGTTTGGTGGCTAATGCTGTGGCTAGGACCCTGTATGTACTGTTGATGAAGTTAGGTGCTGTTCTGAGCATTATTTGTGGCTATAGAGTGGTGTTATGGTTGAGGTTTGTGTCTGGTTCCATAGAGCGCTGTGTATCGAATCATGTGGTCGTTACTAAAGTTAGTATAACTAGAGAAGCAAGCGGTCGGCAACATTCATCTCTCAAGGGGGTGTCTAACTCGGTGTTACAGTGTGTTTGACCCTAAATCAATTTTACGCCAGAATATCCCTTAAACACAGTAATGTGAAACACCGAAAAATATCCTAAACATGAGCCCAAAGCAAGATACACACCAGCATCTGATCAGCAGGGGTCTGCTCTACTACAGTACAACACAGCTGCATCTCAGGAAAGTCTATCATGAAAAAATATGATCAGCTGACATGGACCTTCTTAAAACTTTTTACAAAGCTTTGCCACCTTGAAATTTTGGCCTCTGGTCTGTGGACTTGAGGCAAAAGGCTAGAGGGTAAGAAGTTGAGCTGATGGTTGTGGTCCCTCTTCTGTGATACATGCCTGAAGCAATGAGCTATACTGGGCTCTTTTAATGAGATATGTTAATAAGTAGTTAGATTGTTCATCATGACAGACTACATACTTAATACTGTGGAAAAAAAAAAACAGTAGACTAATGTTTATCCTGCAGCCTTAACTGTAATTTTACTCTTCAGCTGTTATTTATGTGTCAGTGCACAGTGAACATCAGTGTTCATTGTACTGAAAGACATATTGGCTCGATGTAAAGAGAAGATGACATGACGAGGTATTCATGCTTTGCTGTTTTGTCCCACAGGCAGTCAACCAACTTGTGAATCGACCCGAATGAAAATTTGTTAAGCTGTTATGTAAAGTGTCAGGGAAGGGTGCTTACACTAGTTGAAGTTATTCATGCTAGCGTTAATAATGTAGATACTGGTGGCTATGAGGTTAAGGAGTCAATAACGTAGCAGTCATATACAGTATTTCTCATTCAAACCGTCACTCTTTCTCCCTCATGAAGGCTAACTGCAGGATAAAAAATCCATGCTACTCTGGAAAATGACTTGGTATATGAATTCCTCACTTTTCATGATGAATTAAGATGACAAGAATATATTGATCAGATAAGATAAACCTTTATTTATCCCACGGTGGGGAAATTTCCAACTGGGTGTTGGCTGCCTAATGCGCATGGTCTAGCCTGAAGCGTTGACTTGTCATGTTTTATTTGCAGCAATTTAAAAGCCACAGAAGAGGAATAGCTTTGATTTTCCATCCTGGAGATGATGTGTTTTTTTTCAGAGGAATAGGAAGTTAAAAGTTCTGATATTTATTATTGTTTTGTAGCTGCAGTTAAAATACCATTTCTACAGTGGCCGAGAACCGCCACTGCTGCAAATAAAAAAAGAATGCAAAAAAAAAAAGAGGTCACAACAGAAGTAACTGATGCAAAAAGAGAAAAAGAAACCGAAAAGAAATGGTGCAGGTAAAAAAAAAAAAGCCACGGTGCAAAAAAAAGTGACCTACTTCGAAGGATGCAGATAAAAAAAGCCACAACAGAAGTGAGCTGCTGGGGACCAATAATGATAATGCACCGGTGTTTTACAATCTAGAAACAGAAGACGACGGCGAGAAGACGACCAAAGAAATAAGTTGAAAGGTTATTGTTTAATTTTGCTTCATAAACTTTTCAGTGTGTCATTTGGTTGCCATGTAGCGCCTCAGTCGATATGAAGTTGAACTGAAGCTAACACTACACCGGCATCCTCCAGTTCAACTTTATATCGACTCAGGTGCAACATGGCCTAAACAAATGACACACTGAAAAGCACATGAAGCGAAATTAAACAATAACCTTTCCACTTACTTCTTTGCTCGCCTTCTCGCCGTCGTCTTCTGTGCCTATACTGCAAAACACCAGTGCATCAAAATCATTGGTCCCCGGCACCTCACTTCCATTGTGGCTTTTCTTTGCATCCTTTTATTTTCGCAGTAACTTTTTTTTTTTTTTTGCGCATCGCCCCTTTTTTGCGCTAACATGTGCCTTTTTTTATTGGCACCATTTCTTTTTTTATTTGCAGTGGGCTTCAGTTTCTTTTTTTGCATTGGTAACTCCTGTTGTGGCTTCTTTTTCTTGTATTTTTTTATTTGCAGCAGTGGCAGTACTCGGCCACCATCCATTTCTCTAACAGCATGGAACTGCATTTAATTTCATAGTTGTCATTAAAGAAGCTTGGTTAGAAATCCGATGTAGTGTGTGACTGATGATTTGGCATTGAACTTCTCACAAACACTCGTCTCTCTGTCTCTTTTTCAGGGGTCATGTCTGCAACAGGGAATGGCTATGTCATCTATATGACCATCAAACGCAAGACGAAGTTAAAGCCTCCTGAGCTCATGACTGTTAATCTAGCCATCTTCGACTTTGGCATATCAGGTACTGGTTTATGTGTACACTGGCTATGGATGTTGTTTGCATTGTGGACGGGACTTTTCTCTGAAGTGGCTGCATTACTTTGGAGAAATAAACTCTGCTTGGTTTGCCTTTAGTGGCAATAAAGTGGAGTACTATCAGATGTTATCTTCACTTTGAAAATATTGAATAGAGAGACCAGAATTTGTCCGTATCTCATCAAGTGATTCCAATAAACTTGACATAAAAGTGTGACTCACCAGATTAGGTTGGCAATCTAGTAAAGAGAAACAGCCCTGGTTGTCATAGCACCCAAGGACCTTTTTTAGGAGTGTTTTTACAAAGTCTCTTTGAATTTGACTTTTACCTGTACCTGCCTGGTATAAATTGCAGAAGGACAATAAAAGGTATCTTGAATCTTGATTTAAATCATTTACATGACTGCAGGAGTTTAAGTGTTTGTAAACCCTGCCTTCATTAGATTAACAATATGAACCTAGAGCTGCATGCATAAATTTGCACAGTGTGAAATCATCAAGAAGATTATTTAGGAAGTTGTGAAGCTACAAACTTAAAATCAGAGATAAATATTTTCCATGTTGTATTTGCTTTATTTGCTTTATAGCTTGATTGCAAATGTCCTTATCTGAGCTGATGTGATTTTGTAGTTTTGGCACGTGGTTCCTCTTATCCTCTTAGTCAAGACTGAGATTTATGTTCAAGTGTGACAATTAAGGCAGCACTGCAATAAGTCAGTTGTCACCTCCTGGGCTTTTACCATTCATGAATCTGATTTTTCCCCAGTTTAGTTGTCATCATTGTGTAGAAACGGTCTTTTTGAACCCATTTAGCTGTCTTGAATGCAATGTATGTGAATGTCAGCATTCCAGTGAGTTAAAAACTCTCAGAGGATTGGAGTAATGAGACAATAGGGCATTTTGTTCTGTGGGCTGTACTGAGCTGTGAATACAACTGCAGAATCATGAGACACAGAGGGCCAGAGATCTTTCAAGGTCAAAACACTTAAGTGTTCCCTCCCCAGACTTAATTCAGAAAATCAATCAAACAATCATCACAATTAAAAAGAGGAATGTAGGATGCAAATAAGTAGGACGCACTGGTAAGCTTAAATCAGTGTTAGATCTGACCTGGGTCTGCCCTTCTCTATGAAAACAGAGCCAAAGCCGTGTCAACAGAGACCGTCTGCCCCCAAAAGTGAACAAAGCTTGGTCTCATCAAACCATGTGATTGCCCTGAGGCTATTTGCGCAGTAGTCCTGGAAAAGATTAAATACCGCTGTTTCCTCTGGATTTTTTCCAGCAGTTGTGATGAAGTGCATGACTTTTATTTTGGGCTTTCGTAGGAGGTTTAGTGTGTTCCATGACATGGGTGGGACCGCACCCATTTCCAAGAAAGCTGGGACACTGTGTCACTGTCAACAAAAACTGAATTTGACAGTTCTAGTTCAAATAATTTTGACTTAGAATTCAATGGAAAATAGAGCAAAGATTGCAAAACAAGTATTGAAACTTCAAAATGTAATCGCTGATGAAAAATATATGTATGCTCATTCAAATGTGATATTATTAACACATTTCAGAAAGCCAGGACAGGGGTGTGTTGTGCTACATAACCTCGGCATTTAACAAGACTACAGAGAATAATTGTAAAATTATGTAATTATTTAATAATCTTGTGGATAATAAAATCTCCAAGTTCTTTGAAATTTCACTCCGAAAACATGATTAATGTTTGAACAATTTTCCATGCAGTTTTCAGGGATTGGCTCTTTAGATCTTTACTCATTTCTAGACTGCTGAGAGACTAAGCCTCTCCAGATTGCCTTTTTACACCCCATAATGGCAGGAACCTGTTTCCTATTAACTTAATTATTAGTAGTCATATGTACCTCCAGGTCTTTTTAATACTTTTTACCATTACACAACTTGACAGTGTTTTTTTATCGTCCCCGTCCTACCATTTTTAGATTGTGTTGCTGGTATCTAGTTACCATCACACTTAAAATATATATTTTTTCAATAACTTGCAAGCCATCAAAATCAGTTTCTCTCTACTCAACATCATATTTTTTTTGGAATTTGGGTCTGTGACTCAGTTATTGATTACAAAAAAGACACATGTCACCTGCAGATGCAGCTCAAAAAATTGATTTTTTTTTCCTCTAAGTTCTTATATCAGAAATTTTAATTGCAGGCCGATATAATTCAATATTTGTTTATTTTAGCTGATATCGGATTGATACCCAATAACAATATCAGATTGGGACACCCCTAACAAAAAGGGAAACTTCTCTATATTGTAGATTCGTCACACGCAAAGCAAAATATTTCAATAAATTTTTGTTTGATTCTTGATGATTGTATCATTCAGCGCACAAAAATCAAAGGTGAGTAAGCCACAGAAGGTCATTGCTGACAAGGCTGGCTGTTCACAGATTACTGCGTGGAAGGATACTAACAGAAAGTTGACTAGAAGGGAAAAGTGTGGGAGGAAAATGTGACCAAGCAACAAGGATGAGCACAGCCTTGAGATGATTTTCGAACAAAGCAGATTCAAAAGATTGGGAAAGCTTCACACGGAGCGGACTGAGGCTTGAGTCCAAGTATCAAAAACTGCTACACGCACAAATGGACTACAAGTGTCATGTTCCTACAGCCAAGGCACTCCTGAACAAGAGACAATGTCGTAAGCATCTCACCTGGGCTAAGGAGAAAAAAAACTAGACTATAGCTCATTGTTCAAAAGTCCTGTTGAACTGAACTTTTTACGACATACAGTATATATGCATTTTTTGAACCGCAGCTGTATAGGGTATGTGAGTTGGCATCAAATAGTTTATCCATAGAGTTACTGTTCTTGAAAGAATCTTTTCATTGGTGTTCAGTACGGCCCTTTTCTTGCTGACAATGCAGCCGGACCAAGGCTAGAGTAATGGTTTGAAAAGCAGTAGGGCCAGCTGGAGGGGGCCAGCTGGAGGTCATCCTTTGAAACCACTGATATTTCAGAAAAAATAAATAAGAGTGAAGAGATTTCAAAAGAGTGGGAGTAACAGCAATTTCACACATATCTTGATATAAATCAAAAACAACTTCACAATCTAAATTGAGCCATTCAACAGATTTATTACGCAACTCAAGGTCAGAACATCCAGGTAAGATTTGACCACGTATGTCGTGCTGTGCTGTTTCAGAGGGTGTGATGCCTTAATCATACTTGATTGGTTGGAGATAATTCCATTCATTTCTAATGAGGGGCATCATCAAACCCACCTTTGACTTGATTAGATTTAACTACTCCAGAGAGGCTCTACAGTTCAACCAGCAGCAGGTGGGAGATGAAAAGGGAAAAAGGGGGTTGTTTTACTTGTGGAAGATAATCACACTGATCATGCTCCTTAAAGGTCACATTGGGCAAAGAGGTTGAATTAAGTCCTTTTAGTTATAAACACAATATATTACAGTCTCCCCCCTTAGATAGACTGGGCTCAAGCTGGCATGTTGTACTTCTCTTAGCATTGTGACCCTAGAACGGCATGTTATCATATCAATAGATGAGTGAACTTTTACCATGACGCAACATAACGTCATTATTTATTTAACAGGGTCTATTCTACATCAAAAACAGTCGGCTGCTCCTTACTTATTTATGCTGCTGGATCACATAGCTGTGTTCTGTAGGATATTGTGTGCAGAATCAATACACTTCAGTATTTTGTAATATCTGGGAGCACTATGGCCAGTAGTCTTGAGAGTAATGTCTAAATAAGAAGTATCCCTTAGTTATGTGTGGGTTCTTTTGTGAGTGCATGTCCGCAAGTATTTTAGAGAGAGCACACAGTGACGCTAAATGCATCCCATGTTGTAGTTGTTTGGCCGTGCAGCGTTGAGGTTATTAGGAGATAGGGATGACGGCACCTTATTAAGCTTCTAATTACCCCAAACAATGAGCAGTATTGTGATTTTTTGAGATTAGGAAAGAAACACTTTCCACACTCAGGTAGTGAAAAGTGTGTTCTAAACTATTTTCTTACTGTCTTGCAAATGCATCCTCTGAATTTCAGGAAAGCACTTCACCACTGACTTAAGAATGAAGACTTCAGAAGTTTGTGTTTAACTAATCTTGAGTTTGCATTGAGGTTTGTATGTGTAAGAGGCTGACACAACTTAGTTAAGTGTGAAGCTTTACATTCTTTCCAAAACTCCCAACTTCAATTTTGAGTAACAAAGATGATCTTCTTTAACATTTTAGAGACTTGAAATGCCAAAAGACAGTCACTGACCAGTGGTAATGGATTTACTGACAAGATATTTTTTTATTACCTCCACCAAGGAGGTAATGTTTTCGGTAGCGTTGGTTTGTTTGTATGTTTGTGAGTTTGTTTGTTGGTTGGTTTGTTTGTCTGTTTGCAACTTTACGGAGAAAGTAACTGACGGATTGACCTGAAATTTTCACCAGAGGTGCGTCTCAGCCCCAGGAGGATCCCATTAAATTTTGGTGGTGATCCGGACAAAATTCTGGATGCTGTGATCCAGAACACACAAAAATAAGGGTGTCATTGGAATTTTCAATGCTGAAAGATAACTAATGGGCGGCACAGTGGTGTAGTGGTTAGCACTGTTGCGTCACAACCAGAAGGTCCTGGATTCGAATCCGGGTCAGGGCATTTCTTGTTTTAGGAACATTATGAACAGTGAACATACCAGTATAAACACAAATAAAAGTCAATAAAAGACACGTAACAGTAAAAGTTTTGGTGTGAATCACAATATAAGGGGGGACATGAGCTGCTTGGCGGAGGTCTGCGCTCTCCGAGTGCTTTTCTAGTTCCCAATAACTACATAAAGCATATTGATAGAAGTGTGAAAATCTGTCTATAACATGTTTTTAAAACATTTTAAAACTAATATATTAGTCTTTATTACACTGAAACCATGTCATTGTAGTCGTTCACCTTGCATAATACTTGCTGTAATCCTCTGTAATCCTCCCCTGGTTGACCTTTTATCTTTTCAAGCCTTTAGTAGGGACCATCATGGGCATTTCATTATCATTAGCACACAAATTAAGCTATGTTGTTTCTAAATTCTCTACAACTCTCTAATTTGGCTCAAATCCTGTTGTAGTTAATTTCAAAATAACTATGATTTTTAGTGTAACAGGTGAAGCAGAGTAAAGTCATTACCAGATGTCTTTGGATCCACCAAACACATTAACATAATGAATTTTCTTCATTATCTAAATTGTTTTGTTTTATAAGATTGTAGGGTTACTCAACTGTTTGATTTACTCTTTTTGTTGTTTTTTTTGTTATTGGGAAATTAAGCATGAATATTCAAAGTTAATGGAGAATTTTCCATCTGTATATACACTGTTCAATTTTGTTTGTCTCTCTTTATATTTGTAATTGATGTTTTAAAGGAGATTGGTCTTGTTTCAATGACATTACACGTGTACACCAATGGTTACCACAACCTGGTTTCATGATAAACTTTTCCCTTGAGCTATCAAAAGACAAAAACTTAAATAACTTGTCCTTCCTGTGTTGTCTTTTTCAAGTGAAAGGTTCTGAACAACAAACTTAAATATTTTATGCACTATTCCTAGTCTTGCATTTATGATAATGTGAATTAATAAAATGAAATACAACAGGCAGAAGCAGAAGGGGGAGTATGAGTGCTTGAGTACCTGGCTTAGAGGTAGGGTTGGTTGTCTCCTGAATGGAAGGTTCAGGGGTTCAATCGCTATCCATATGCTGAAACGGCACTTGACTCCGCCCAGCCCCTGCTGGCTATGCCCAGTGGTGTGTGAATGGGATTAGTCAAAAACTGATGGGTTCTTTATATAGCTGCTTCTGTAATCAGTGTGAGAATGTATTGTGAATGGGTGAATATGCCTTGAGAAGACTAGAGAAAGAAAAATCATTTCACGAATGAACTACTTGAGCCCTGTAGAAGAAATGAGGCTGCTGAGCAAGCCAAGGAGAGATTGAGGGACAGTATGTTAGTGGGCTTTGTGATGTCTGCTAGGGCTATATTTGGGAGCAACCCAAACCTTGCATCACTTGTGCTTGAGGCAAGGAGAGCCACAACCTCAAAGAGCAGGCAGTACATGCTCAGGTCCATGCTCAGGATGGTAGGCATGAGCTAACAAGGAGCTTGGACCAAGTGGAGGTACAATCTCCTGGGTAAAGTTCTGAAAGGCAGAATTTCTTCACTTAAAGTTCCTGAGTCTATTCATGATGTCCTTCTGAGCCCAATAAACCTGGTCTGTGAGGGGTTTGACTGACTGAACTGCCTGCCATTGCTGCCAGCAGGGAGGCACTCTTGAACACATCCTTAGCAGCTGTCTAAAGAGCTTGGAGGAAGAGAAGTAGTGGTGGTGCCATGATCAGGTCCTTCAGGCATTTGCCAACCCCATCTGCGCTAACTGTTGGAGGTGAGGATGGAGGACTTGCTGCAAAGGGGTGAAAGTTGGCTGTGGGGACTTTGCAGGCTAGTCTCTTCATGGGAATCCTGGACCTCCTTGGTATCTATGGGAACATCCTTTTTGCAGCCACAAGGTCTTCCAAGTGGCTCTGCTTTAAGAAAGGTGACACATGGCACATGCTACATAAAGGCAAGTCAAGCTCTGATCACCCCCAGTATGACACCCTTGCCCTTGGCCCTAAGCCACTAGCCAGACTCTTATCCTCTGTTGTCCCTTAGGTTGTAAAACAAATGACCAAAATGACCAAACTTAACCTGAAAGCAAAAGCTCAAGACTTGCCTCCTCAGGTAATATCTATGTGCTTAAGCTCAGCTCTTCTCCTATGTTGTCCCCAGGGATAGAATAACTGGAACAAATGATCTCAATAGTCCCCCTCTGCTGAGACACTTTGTGGCCCAGCTTTTAGGGGACAACTCTGCACATGGTACATCTAATAATGACGATGATGATAATGATGATACTGATGATGGTTACGATGGTGACGATGATAATGATGATGGTGATGATGATGATGATGACAGTGTCACTGTGACTTGTGTTTCACTTAAGTTGATGATGATGATAATTATGAGGATAATGATGAAGGTGATAATGATGATGATGAAGATGATGAAGACGAAGGTTATGATAATGATGATGATGGTGATGATAATGATGTCAGTGTCATTGTTACTTTATATGAATGTTTTTTCACTTTAGTTGATGAGGAGATGAAGATAATGATGGTGATGAAGATAATGATGGTGATGATGATGATGTCAGTGTCACTGTGACTTTATATAGATGGTATTTCACTTTGGTTGATGAGGTGATGATGATGATGATGGTGATGATATTGATGATGATGGTGATAATAATCATGACAGTGATATTGGTGACAGTGTCATTATGACTATATAGATGGTGTTTCACTTTAGTTGATGGTTTGATGATGGTGATGATAATGTCAGTGTCACTGTGACTTTATATGGATGGTGTTTCACTTTAGTTGATGGTGTGATGATGATGATATATTACTACTACTATTACTGGTACTTGCTCATGTTTGTTTCTTCTATATTTGCTTGTGTTGTCCTTGGTCTTAAATGAACATTACGTTAGACAAAAGCATTTGCTAAATGACATTGTAACATAGTAAATACATTGTCGTTTAATTACACTTTTATGCATCTTTATTAAGTTGTTCTCTACATTTCTGTCCTTTCTTTGCTCTGTCTTGCAGTGACAGGAAAGCCTTTTTTTATTGTATCCAGTTTCTCTCATCGCTGGCTGTTTGGCTGGGAAGGCTGCCGTTTTTACGGCTGGGCAGGCTTCTTCTTTGGTTGCGGGAGCCTCATCACAATGACTGTGGTCAGTCTGGATCGATACTTAAAGATCTGCCATCTCAGTTACGGTATGTTAAAGTATCCCCTCAACATTTGAACTCTGTCCATCTCCAAAAAAAAACAAAAAAAAAAAAAAACATTAGACAGCAACATTACACATTATCAGTGAAAATTTATTTCTATATTTGTGTTACCCACTGAAGCAGATCAGTATCTCCAAAAAAGTTATTTGTTCTTGAGAGGTATAAGTCATGTCAGCAGATCAGGATTCATTACTCCTTGATGCATTTGCAAAGTTTTCATGAAACTTTACAAAGGGTTTGTTTCATCACTCGCCACTGTTTCTGATTTTTCAACACTTTTAGGAACATGGCTAAAACGCCACCATGCTTTCCTGTGCCTAGTCTTTGTCTGGATGTATGCAGCTTTCTGGGCCACCATGCCCCTGGTAGGCTGGGGAAACTATGCGCCTGAGCCCTTTGGGACCTCCTGCACATTGGATTGGTGGCTGGCACAGGCCTCTGTGTCTGGCCAGAGCTTTGTCATGGCCATCCTGTTCTTCTGCCTCATCCTCCCAACAGGCATCATCATCTTCTCATATGTTATGATCATCTTTAAAGTGAAGTCATCGGCAAAGGAGATTTCAAACTTTGATGCTCGCATCAGAAACAGCCACACTCTTGAGATGAAACTTACAAAGGTGAGTCAGTAGGAGAGGGATAGTTTGAAAAGGATATTAAGCAGGACATAGAAAGACTGCTTGTTGTAAATAAAGTCTATAGAAGAATCATTGGTGAAGACAAATCTGTAATCTGGATTTTGCTTTGTTTTATCTCTTAGGTGGCAATGCTGATCTGTGCTGGCTTTTTGATAGCCTGGATCCCATACGCAGTGGTTTCAGTGGTGTCCGCGTTTGGTGAGCCAGACTCAGTGCCCATTCCTGTGTCTGTCATACCCACACTGCTGGCCAAGTCCTCAGCCATGTATAACCCCATCATCTATCAGGTTGTGGACCTAAAAAATTCCTGCACAAAATCCTCCTGTTTTAAGGTCATGAAGAAGCGCAGGCACTTTAGAAAGTCAAGGTAAAGCAAAACTTGTTATTTTTCTAAATTTTTAACTTGTTCTATTTATTTCCATGTTTTATTTTGTGTAATATGGGTTATGGTGATTGGTCAAGTAAAACACTAGGTGAGTGTTGAGTGGAATGTTTTTTTCTTAGAAGCTATTCATGTCTGAAAATCACAAAAATTCCCACAGCTAGGCTGAACACTAAGTTTGTGGATCGAAAACATTCATTAAGGTATGAACATAACAGAATGTTAGCCAAATTTTACTCCATCTAAATCCAGGCCAAAAGGGTTGATAATATGAAAAAGAATTTTGATTGAAAAAATAAAATTTGAATCTGGAATTTTATGGTTTGATCTTGAATTTTGAAAAACTAAAAACACTTTATTCAAAATAAAAATAAAGTGTATTAAAAAAAATTTCAACCCTTGACCCCCCATGCCAGAACAAAGACAAAAGTTTGAAACTGAAAAAAATTAAATCTGAAAGTGAAAAAAGTTTTAAAGTTGGGAAAAAAAATGCTTAAACCTGAAAACATGATTTGAATGTGAAAAAATAAATTTCATACACTTATTTTTATTTTAAATCCAGTGTTTTAAAATTCATTGACAAACCATGACCATTCAGATTTAAATTCTTTTTTTCCAATCCCTTTTTATTTAAATTAACAAACCTTTTGGCCTGGATTTAGCTCCATAGATACACATAAAGGGTATTATTTGACATGAATGGCTGTAACAAATAAAGTTTTTACAAACCTTTGGCCTGAATTTAGCTCCATATATACACACAAAGGGTATTATTTGACGTGAATGGCTGTAACAAATAAAATGAACTCCTGGGCAGCCTTAATAGTTTGTTTTGATCATTTTGATTTTCATTTTGCACACAGTCTGACTGCGACAGACATGAATGTCTTTCTTAGATTAACCACTGCTGCTTGTTGCTATCTCTGTCATTCATTTGCAAAAGGCTCTGGTGAAAAAGACGAGCATAGGCTGTGTTTTTACACCAGCGTCTGTACTTTTTGGTACTTTTAAAGTAAAAATGACAGATATTTTATAATTTTAAAGCCTTTGGTATTGAAAAGTTTAAAAGTATTGAATTTTTTTACCTTAGTAATGCGAATGAAGCCATGATAATTTCTACCTCATCCTTATCTAACCTCCCAAAATCCTTCTTCTATGTTGAGAGCTGAGCTTTTAAATGAATATCCATCCATTATTTTTCACATCAGAACGAATGTCACATATTAAAATATTCCTAAAAGTCTATGAAATTATAGTAAGCTATAAAATTAAAATTGCACATGGTAGCGTAATAAGATAAAGGGGTTCCATTTAGAGGGCAGCAAATTCCATGTCAGTGCATGTAAGAGCATACATATATTAAAAGCATGGTTTTGATTTGGTTTTTCCTCATGTCTTTTAATGTTTGAAGGTTCTACACCATCTCTGGGACCTTGAAGGACGGTCCAGCAGCCAAAGAAGCTCATATTGAGTTGTGAGACACTTAAGACTGTGTGACCATCTTGTTTCTTGTACTTTGGATGGTTGACTTTGTTTCCTGCCCCTCTGCCCCCTCTACACTAACACAAATACATGCTGCCTGTCACCAACTTTGACACCATAGACCTGCCACCCTTGTTGCCAGTGGTTCTGAAGTATTGCTAAGTAATGTTTTGTACCCATACTAGATCTCTATGTGCATCCTGCAGCTTCTCACCTCATCATCCTTGAACAGTTTTCCTTAACCAGTGGAGTTGCATTGAATATAACATTCAAGTCATGTGTCATTTGAGCTTTGCAATATATTTTAAAATGTTTTGAACATGCAGTATATCAGTGTTGAGAAAAAAAAAACATCTTACATGTCACAAACTCCATAACTGCATTATGGTTCTAAGTAGACAGCTTGACTCGGGTATGAAAACTTGAGAAGTTTACGACCAAAGTTGAGTCACTTCTGTGGCTGTAATTTTTGTGAAACCAAATCTTGCAAATATCAGAATCTCTACAACAAGAACTTATTGTCATGTTTTTTAAAGTCTTGCCTGTTGTTGATATACTTTATAATTGCAAAATACTTCTATATACTACAACTGCTATTGTTGTCAACTGTTATTCTGCAGAAAGACTCTGTGACTGATCAGTGACTCAAATGAAGACTTAATTATTTCATTTAAAGGGTATTGATTTAATAACAGCGTACCTTTTCCCTGGGTTCGACACAGGACTGTCTGCATTTTATTTGCAAAAATCATCAATTCTGAGTGTATCAAAAGAGTGAAATTACAAACACACAAAAAGTTAAGCTGCGTTCCGATCCACCCCGTTCTCCCTGCTCCCTGCTCAGGGAATACCCTGTGTCACCAAAATTCCTGTGTTCGGAACACCTACTTGCATACCTACTTGCTCTGTAAAGTCTGCCACAGTGAGAGAGCGCAGTGCATTACGGGTAACAAGGCTCTTAAACTTCCGGGAAACTGTACAACGGTTGTTCATCTGTTCCCGGCACCGTTCTCAGTTCTCTTTAAACTGAACATTCGTGCTCCCTGCAGTTTGAAACCCCAGTTAAGATGGCTGTATACCCTGTGCAGTCTACTCAGCAGGGAACTGCAGTGCGATCGGAACGCAGCCTTACTGTTTCAAAGAAGTGTGTTTAACCACAGAATTTGCTCAAAGAAGTAACTCCTAAGTTATAACTCCGCTGAGACATCTCACTCTGTAAGATTCCACGTGAACAATGACTTAATGAAACTTCTTCCTTTTGCACACATATGTATGTTATGAGCATAATTGTAGCCTGCTATAAATTTGTTTCTTCATATTCACATATGCATATTCCATAACAAGCATTTTTAAAAATAATGCTTTTGCTTATTCTGTCTCGCTAAAATTCACTCCAAGAGTAGTATATACCGTAAGTATATATGGGAGCGCTAATAAGAAAACCACATAAGTGATATTCGGCAGATGGAAGGAAGGGCATTGATTCTCTGCTGACATCCTCAATCACTCCTGAGAGCTCAGAAAGTTCAACTGCAGAGTCAACTGGAATGCAGTGGGTTTGTTAGAAAAGATTATGTCTGTAGTCGAAGATCAAACACAGATGAAAGTATCATCATTACCAAATTCCCACATTTATAAGTAAGTGCTTCATGTTCATCTGCGTTAATTGTTGTTGAGGATATATTGGGTTTTGAGGACCATGGTTGGGATGCATGTGAAGATCACAATAGTTCATACTAGTTCAAGTGATCTGACAGCCCACATCAGATATCTATAATAATGGGGTTTTTTTTAGGACATACCCTTTTGAACAGATATAAAACTTCATTTTTGGACTTTTTTTGCAAAACCTTCAACAAAAACTGATATTTTTTGGCATTGAATGCTACCCTTTTTCAGGAGGAATATTGGAAGAAAAAAAGAATATTACGGTTGTCAGAAATATGGATGTGGCCAGGCTATAAACAGGGATAAAACATGGTCAGGCTAAGTCAGAACTGCTGTTTTTCTATTTTTCATTTCAAACTGACAATCAAACATTGAGCTAAACATTAATATATTTGTCTTTTAGTGTTGTTGGAAGATATTTGTCATGGGCTTGTTCTATTTTAGCACAACCTTACCCTCATCCTTAGTCAACTTAAAGATAGATTGTGGTTACACAATTGAATGGTAATTTTAAGGCGAGTGTTACATCAAAGACAAAGGACAGTGTGATTTGACAAGGATGAGAAAATAGTAGACATTTGTCAGTATTCAGAAATATTTCAGCAGAGTGCTTACCAGTGTTATCTCGAAAACAAATTTGAATTTATCACGTACTTTTACATTTTAGGTGGTAAAATGTAAAACTTCTTTTTTTTCGATTCAATAAACATTTCAAAATCATTTTAAAACTTAAAAAGTTTTAAAATGATTTGTGCCTTGTACATATTGACGTAGCAATAGCAAATATATATACAATAAATTTTGATGAATTTGATCCATGTCTTTCAGCCATATTGGCAACAAAGAAAAATGTTTTATTGGCCTTAAGCTAGCTCAAAGATGTGACGCTAATACATCTTTTAATTAAATTTTTTTTTAACAATTCTATATTTTATGGAATTGATTTAAGAATAAAAGCATCTCATTAAAAGTGGATATGAATATATATTAGCAGTATATTCTAGCATTGTAGAGAGGTTTTATGCAGAAAAATACATTATTTTCATGTTTTTCATATTTAAAACTACCTCATCTGTTTCAGACTTTGTCACGGTAACATACAGCTGCAAAGCAAAGAGTCTCCCTGTCCAATAACATAAAACATCTCAGAGAAATTTCACTTTTTTTTTTCTTTAACCAATTTACTTTTTCTTAGAGCAAGTTATAGAAAGTTGGCAGGTTAATATTTTTGAATATATATTTGTTAAAAATGTTGAATCTTGATTTGAATGCCCGTCACATGTGTAACTTTAAAAGAAAGCATTTCTCAGTTTGTTAAATTTTTTAGGTAACACTTTTTCTGTTACTGGGAAACGTCATAGACGTGCTGAGCTTTTTGTAAACATGCAACAATGAGCTCTTGTTGTTCCTCCATGCGCTAGTGCTGCAAGGCCCAAGTGTTTGTTCATGTCAATGTCCCCAACACCTGACTGGCCCCTATTATGACTGCAGCCAACCCGAGAAAGTAGGACACTTAGCAGATTCTTCAACCCTTTAGTGCCACTTTGGGTCTAAATTTATCCATGAGGCAAACACCACAGATCTAAGGAAGCACCTCTGTGTTGTCGTCACAGTAACAGCCATTGTACTACTCAGAACTCCATCATTGATACTTAAAAAGAAATGTAAATGCAAATTAAATTTCCAACATGTTTGATGTAGATTTTACAAAATATGCAACAACCTGCTATTGCAAGTAAATACATGTTCTGCCTGAGAAATGGTTTTAAGGTAGAAAATGTTTGTAAAAAATTTCCATGTATGTCCAAAAGACTTACTATTTTCTGTTGTCAGCATATATCATCAATGAGCTACAGTTTTTTTTTATAAGGACACTTCTATGTATATATTGTAGATATTTATAAAAATAACTTTTCGTAACATGTCCTTGAAAACAATCACAAACCTTCAAATTGGCACATTAGGCTCTTTGAACAGAAGGGGCGGCAGATTGGGTAGCTCATGCACAAAACATCCTGTATTATTTGAATGAAGACTTTAGTACTTGAACATACAGAACCAGAATTAAAATCTGATCTTTTTGGATATTTATACCAAGCAGTCTTAACAATTAAAACATTTTTAGAAATAAACTGCACAGACTGATAAGTTTTTGAATGCTAGGTTGTCTATACAGGACGATTGGATAATAACTGGTAGCTGTTCAGCAAGTACTTGAAAGTCATTACAGACCATTTAAACAACCCACTGCAGTCCAAAACAATTATTTAAGAACAATACACATTAGCTAAAAATATACGGTACATACCACTATGTTCGTCTGTTGCTATTTCAGACATTGGCCACTGCAATGTCTAAGTCATACATCGAGAGTTTAAACTCAGTTGTCACTGCTTAGAAAATTCCACTTAACGTCACAGTTATTTCACCAGTTTAGTATCGTTTGTATTCCGCTCTGTCTGCAATGCCTCAAAATTTCTAGTCCTTTTGAAATGTATGACTTGCTGCTTGCACCTCAATGCTTTGTCAGTGAAAAAAAAGGTAGATGTGTTGATGGATAGATTATTTTTGAATATTGCTTTTGTAAATTTTGGATAAGTGTTGATTATCAACAGTCTGACAAAAAGTCTAAAATCTTCACTGAGTAGATATTTGAGGACCTGAACAAAGGGGGAGAGCCTTAGGCCTGTTGTCAAACTGAATCTCAGGTATTGATTGGTTGATGCAGATGCATTGATTATTCTTTGTATCAAGAACGTGTTACACATTAAGTGTTTCCAGAGTTTATCATGTAATTTAATGCTCTTCTTCATTTTTGCTTGCACAGTTCAGTGTTGTTTATTCATTTTTTTTTTCTGTGGTTTCGTCAATCAATTTTGTAGATGAACTGTGTATTCAGCAACAGTAATGGCACTATTATTGTATATTTTCTGATTATTTCATGCCACAGTCCATCATCACACTGACATATACAGCATAATAAACTGTCTTAGTGTAAAGACTTTCGCTGCCGGATATGTTGTTTGTGATTTATAAAAGCTATTATCATACAATTGTTTCCCTTATAGGTTCAACTCATGATCTTTTCAATTAAATTTTATTCAGCTATATAGTTTCAGCAACATGCCTGACAGGAAATAGCTGGATATAAGGCATGAAATCCATTGCTGAGTATCATAATTGGATCTTTATTTATGGAATGACAAACATCTTACCTAAAGCCATCAGGCTTGAGTAATGCAGCAATGTTCTTCCCACTGCCAACCTTGTAATGCAAAGAAACGGGGGATTATCTGTGCCAAATTAAAGAGTCAACATTTTTATTTTCTCCAACACAAACAGACAGAAAACACCAATAAATTAATTTAGCACAGATTTTACATGCGCATGATAGATATATAACTCTGGATGTGTGCTAGCTGCTGTGTCATGATCACTGTCTGAGTTTGTGCTACAATTCATGTCTTCTCCTATCAAGCTTCCTGACAGTTTGAGAATACATAATTCTGACTGGACAGGTTTTAATTTTGCCAGCAAGTCAAACAATGTGTCAGAAATAGCATGGTCAGTAGTTTGAAAAACATTATTACTGAGGTAGAAGTTTAGCATTTCCAAACAGGAGGGAAAATTTGACAAATGTAACAAACTATATATTTTCACACTCTAATTTTCTCATCATATAAAAGTTGATTATATTGGATTAAATGAATCGTTTTGCATAACGTGTAGAGCTTTCTAATATTACATCCTTGCAGACACACTTACTTTTAGTAACAATTATTTAACACTGATCACTTTTTTCTCATATTTTCTGTGATATTAGGATTTAGTTTTGTTGGTCTGTTGTGACTTCTTTCATCGTTTTCCTCGTTTTAAAATGAGTGGTCCAGTTTAATGTTGGACATGTTTACTAAACATAATGCAAACAGATGCAGTAAGCAAAGCAGGTAGATATATAAATGGTTGAGAGGCTGATGTCTGCAGCCACTCTTCTTCAATTAGATTACCAAATGTGAACTGTATACTGTGAACTGTACATAAACTGTATTCAGTCTATGGTTACAACTTGAGTCACAGCTCCAGAGTGCTGCTGCCACCATGCTGTGAAAAAAGAAATTGCAATTTGGATTTTAGTAACAGTGCTAGCAGTCAACAGGATAGAAGCTGTGGGCCATGGATAAACTAACCCTGTGTATGACTGGCCTCCACACTTTTCATGTACTTTTAATGCTTTATGTGTCCCATATCAAACGTACAAATTTGCAGTTGCCAAAATGTGCCTTTTCAATCTTATGTATCAATCAGATGATAATTGGTATCAATATTTCAATCATGAAAGACTAATTAAGGTATCAAAAGTTATTTATGGTGACAATTATCAGAATGGTGTTGCTTGACAGAAAGTCTTGAAATCAAGTATGTGACATTCTGTCATAATTCTTTTCTTTAAATAAGTTAATAAAGATGCAATATATATGAAGAATAAAGATATAATTAAGATTCAGATATTTTAAGTATTTACATTCATGATATAAAGCCATGAACATTTTCACATTACTATTACTACTACTATTACTCTTGCTGCTCCTTTCTATAGGGAAAAAATTGCAGAAAATTCAGAGAGACCAGACCTTGCTTCTACCTGGTTGAGCACAGGTTCTTGCAAGAACAAGCCCCAAGCACATGAACAGCAGAGACTGGGGTCTACCACACTACAAAGGACCCCCTTTGCAAAGTTCCCCTTAAGACAGTGCAGCAAGATGATGGCAGGTAAGGTGTACATGGAGCGCTGTGACATAGTGGTAGGCATGGTATGCAGAAATATCTGTGCTGAGAATGGGCTGGAGGTCCCAGGGTCAAGATGGAAGACACCCCTAAGAATGACTGAGAACGACCCAGCCAAGATCCTGTGGGACTTTCAGATCCAGACTGAGAAAATGGTTAGCAATATAAGGACAAAGGAACAGGGAAAGCTGGAGACATACCAAGGGCGGAAGGAAGAGCTGGAGAAAATGTGGAGAGTAGCTTCGGCAGATTCCAGGAACAATGTGAGATCTCTGCCCAGAAGTCCCGGGATCAGCTAAGATACAGCACAGAACCCTCAGGCTCCCAGGTCTCTGGTAGAAGACCCAAGCTTCAAGGAGACACGAGACTGCCCAAGGAACGGGTGAGTGGGGAATTTTTGTTGTTGTTGTTTTTCTTGATAGTCTTGCCTTTTGGTAAATTAACCTTATAATTCATGTTCAGTTGTTATGAAAGGTTTGAGACTTTGTTTTTATATTTGTGTGACATTACCCTTTGTAATTTGGACAAGTCAGTTTGACAATGACCAAATCTTGCCACTCTTGTAAGTTCATGCAGACAGATGCATTTATTTTTGTGAATTATACAGTGTTTTTCTGTGAAGCTATTAAATTTCCTTCACATATGATCATATTACACTGGAACTCTGAGAAGTGGGAAAACAGGGATTGATGTGCAACAAGGTAATGGAGTCAAGAATAAGGCGTTGTTTACAGGACTGCCACAGGCCTTATACCAAATGACACACAAGGACAACCTATTTGATATTTAAATGCATCAAAGGGATTTTTTTCAGACAACGAAGCGCCCAGAGTGAATAAAAAATGGCATCCTTTACTTTTGCTTATCAAATCACCAAGAAGAGGCTGGGCTATCTCATACAGCTCAGTGAACTTATTTACTTAAGGTGTGGCATCAAAACAACAGACTGAATCGGACATTGCTATCATGGTAAAATGTGTATGTGTGCATCAACAGCAAAAAAAGGTTTGACTTTTAGGTTTGATTCTGTGCTTTACTCCTGTGTAGCATGGAAATAAACTGAACTTTAGTCATGAATTCAGCTGTTGTATGCTTTGAGTGGACAGAAACGTTTTTGATAAGGCTTTGCAGCAGGCTTACTCCCAAAAAAAAAAGTCTGATGTAAACGTGAAAGGCTATTGTTGAGTGCCTCAGTCATCCAGTCTTTCGCATTTTTTTTAAAACTTAAAATCACAAAGTGAACCACTTAGTTTTGGGATGGCACTTTGATTTTAAGAATCTACAACATGCTTCAAGATCTGAAGTTGTAACAATATTTAGACTGTTGGTTTTTTTATTCATTTTGGTAGAAACATTTTCACCATACCTTGTTCCATTGTGCAGCTTACACTTTCTATCCTTCATAATATATGGTAAAGTTAACACTTTTCTCTGATCTTACATTCAGGGCAGAAATGGTAACCCAGAGGCAGACAGCTAAAGGCCTCTGCAAGAGCAAGTTTATCTGGATAGTAGCCGACATTGTAAGTGGCTTTCTGCGACAGTGCTTTAACCAGGTGCCATGAAATGGTTGAAGTTTGAACACAGCTCTGCAAATACAGGAGAGCTGAAACACTAGAAAACCACTCATGGGCCATCAGACATGACACAAGGATATACCAGTGCACTGGTATATCCTTATATACAACTCATGAGATGATATGACGGGTCCACTGAGACATTAATATTGTGAAGCTCAATAACATTATGATATATCATCGATATTAATAGAGGCAACAGGTTATCAGAATTAAAATAAAAAAGCTATCAATTTTCAGAATATATGTGCATCATTCAATCATGAATTTAACATTTTCTAGAAGGCTCATTCTTTGATATAATAAACTACAATTTCTATCTTATTTAACCCTCCTACTCTTAATTAAAACTACTATTCAAACGAATAAGCACCTTTTCAAATTAAAAGATTAATTTACAGTTATGCTTTTTAATTTTCAGAAAACTGGAACATTCTTTTATTGGTAGATAGATTTTATATTCAGTTATCTACTGCTATAGTTTTACTCTCCAGGTAAGGAAATTGCTTTTTCGCTTTCAAACCCCTGCTATTAAAAAACTCCCATAATTCAAACAAACTCACAAATAAAATGGAAAAGTAGTCAATGCAGTAGCGTGATGTCAGACCTAAGCTCCCAAACTGACCTGAGCATTAGGTGGCAGTTCGCTTATCTAACCTTAGTGCAGATGTTAGAGATGATCCGAACAGAACTTTCCAGAGATGGCTGACTATTTTTGACTCTATGAAAGGATACTTATTCTGTGGAATAGACATCAAGTATTCAGGAGATAGCTTGATTTGGTAGACAAATATCCATGAAAAGCTGGGGGGCTTTGCATAATACTTTAAGTCCAGCTGGCAGGGAGACATGCTATCCATGCAAATGACCTTTCAGCACAAAGTCAGAACAGTAGTAATTTGTTTTCACCCCAGGTCTCCACCCCCATCACCAACAACAACACACATGAACACCATATTCAGTACACACACCCTGTTACAGATGAGCTTATTTGGACCTGAATCCTGATATGTACATGGTGAAAGGTGTGAGTCCAGGCTGTTGCATTCTGACTGCAGGTTATTTGTTTCCTTTATAATCGTACCAGCAAAGACAAAGTGGGAGCTGTTACAAGAAGGACAGAGAGCCCACACATCATCTGCAGGTGGAGAATTTTCTACATACAAAATTAACTGGCTCTGAAGATCCAGGGTAAGAAAATATGCCTTTAAATAAGACTGAAAAGAGGATTGGATTGTACTCAAAGTTCATTTAAAGAGTTCTCTCTCCTTCAAATCCATGCCAGTTGCTCTGAACGTTTAATAAACCACTTGAAAGGCAAAACTAAATTTTATTTTTAACTTCTTACTTTAAATGAATTCACAAAGATTATGCAGCATTAGAGTATTTATTTCAAAGTTTGATTGTAAATGATTTCCTTATTTTTCAGTCTGTCAAACAATGCATGATTATACACAACACAAACGCCTCTTGTGTGCTGAGAAGTTCATCCTCAGAGGACTCTAAATATACTAATCGAATTCGAGGATAACCTGGAAAATATTCATCAGGAGAATACCCAGAAGACAAATCAGACCAGTCACACAATTATTGCTTTGATTAGTCAAAAACTCGATTAAAACCATCTTGACCTATTATATATATATATATATATATGTATTTATATAACCACAACTTTAATTTTACTGAAATTGTTTTGTTTCCATCAGAGTAACGATGTATGCCAGGGTGTTCCTGATTGGAGCTGTTTGTTTCTACAATCAGGTAAAGATACTCCTTAGTTATGAGTTAAATAGATTAAAGCCTATTTTTACAAAAACGTACAGACTTTTATGGTAAAGGGACTTACTCTGATAACTGACTACTTTGTAATTGCAGGTCTTTGCAGCAGGTGAGTTCCCTGGTTTGATGTCTTGATACTTCTTTAAGCCCCCTAAAGCCTCTGCAAAAGTGCAACTATCTATCCAAAGTATGGAAAATACCCCTGTATGTATTTATCAGTATCAGTTGAGCAGGTAAAAGGTAAGTGGGTCAGCTTTGATGCACCATAACCATTTATTTAGAAAAAAACTTTTCTGTTTGTCTTTCTGACAGTCTTGGTAGCCCATCACCCAGTTAATTCAAACTAAGCTTTACTTTTTCTTTCTACAAGAAACAAAAAAAAAAAAAGAAAAAAGGCTTTTGGAAAAACTTTGAAAGCCATTTATGTATTTTATGTATATTTGGAGAGATTTTTCAATACAGTGGTGTGCTGAAATCTATTTTTATTCTTGTATTTTGGATTTCCATTCGGGAATGAATAAAGCTCTTCTTCTTCTTCTTCTCAACACACACACTTAAACAACTAATTAAAAGCAAAAACAACAAGTAAGTGTAGTTGAATAACCTTGTTGGTTAATGAGGGGCTATGTTCTTCATAAGTGTTGGGCCAGAGTTGGCTATATATAGCTCGTTTACTAAGTCCTCGGCAGGAGAATCTAGTTAAAAAAAATCAACTTCAAAAACACTGTATCAATATAATAAGAATAAAGAAAAACATAATCATATGATTTCTGTTCCATTCAAGTGTTTAAACATGATACTTGCATTGGGCTCTGTTTTAAGAGTAACTGGTTGTTGACAAAAGAACACATAGAGATGTCTTATTTTGATCTAGATGTCTATGTTGCTGAGCTGATGGTGGAGAGCAGTGTCACTCTGGACGCCGAGGCTGTGCTGTCTTCTCTGAGCACAGCAAGTTTCGTCATAGTGACTGATAACAGGGCTACCCACGCCATAACCCTGGGACACAACGAGCTGGTGGCAGGTATCGTGACTGAACGTTTTCCTATTTGGTTATTATCACAGAGCATCACATTTCAAACACAGTTAAAGGACATGAATCCTGAGGGGGACAAAACAGAGGCCCACATGTAATACACAATGAATGTAAGATGAAACAAATGCATCAAAGCAACTGTAAGGGCCATTCCAGCTGGTTAATATGTGTGTGTGCAGGACACTAAGTTGTTCACTAGGGGTCACCTCTGTGTTTTGTGTCACATGCCTACTTCGGTAGGAACTTTCTTCAGGTAACAGGCGTTGGTAGATGGTGGGAGCAAAAATTGTTTTTTGACTGTAATGCCAGCATGCGAGGTGGGGTGAAGTCTTGTGGATGTTGTTGTATTTGCTGAATCTATGGATTTTGGCGGACAATACTTCTTGGACTTTTACATGTAATGGGGCGCTCACACCAAGCGTGAGTAGAACCATCTACTCACTCACATAAATCTTGACATGTGAATGAATCGTATTTACTCGCTTCATTTGTGTGTCAACGGTAATCAAGTGATAAACTAAGGTTTTTTACAATTTACCAGGTAATCTGACCTCCTCACTCACTTGTCTCCAGGCGACCTTCTTTTTATTCTAGTTTCGGCAATTTAAAGAAAAGCTATCATATAATTCGGGGCACCCACACCACAACATGATCAGTTTGTCCTCCATTTTAGATACCAGTGAACAACCATTCGTTTGCATACGTCACTCGGCAACCTTCGTGCTGATTAGTTCTCGCAACATGAATATCCGTTCAAGTTCAGACATTTTCAGCTCCCACCCAATTTGTGTCATTTGCACCACCAGAGTAGTAGGAGCGTCTAATCACGTCTTTGCATTGACTTAACATGTAATTCAGTCGCGCGAATGATTTTACTTGCGCTTGGTGTGTGGAGACAGTAACACATCGAAGACCAGAACAGTGAGTAATAAAAAATTCATAAAATCCAAGAAGACATCGGATTTTTTTATTTCACAAGAGAAAATAAAGGGGTGCGCAGCAAGCGAGTCAAACATGTTTGTTCAATGTATGCAGCCCCTCAGTGGCTTTACGTTTAAGGCTTAGTCGCACAATATAAGAAAACTGATTCTTTGATGTTTACATTCTTACCACCTATACTAGATAACCCTAATTATTAATCAGGATGTTAACTAAGCAGGGCCCTTGAGTTTTTGTGTGCCCTGCCTTTAAAATAAACAATCACTAATGAAAATGTAATTTTACAATAATTAATGTAAATGAAAATCTATCTGGATTTATGTAAATGGAATTGGCAATTAAGCTTTGCTTTTTAGAGTGTCTGATCTTTGGAGATGAATCAACATGCAACTGCTCCAAGGGGTACATTTGGAGTAGAGAAGTTTGCCAGACTTACAACTGCTGCCGCGAAGCTACCTGTGCTCAAAATGTGGCTCACATGACCCCGCTGTGTGTGGCCAAAGTCAAAGGTAACATTTCTTGCAAACTGAGGTCTTTAGTTTTATTTTTTTTATTTTCTGGGTTTGCAGAATTTTGTAAACAAATTTAATAATTGATCATTAAAAATAAAATTACCTTAATAACGTATTTTTTTCATATGGATGAACAGCTGGTTAATATTAAACCTGGAAAAAACAAAACATCTTTTGAAAATGCTTTGGGTGAGCATAAGGTAACAGCAAAATGTCAGATAAACATAAATGTCTTATGTTGATCCAGAGGATGTCTACGTTGCTGAGCTGATGGTGGAGAGCAATGACACTCTGGAGGCCGAGACTGTGCTGTCAGCTTTGAATGGAACAAGAGACCTTGTAGTGACTGATAACAACGGAGTGACCCACACTGTAATCCTGGTACATTATGAAATGGCAGCAGGTATTGTGCAGGAATTTCTTTTATGTGGTCTTCTTCACATCATTTATTTTTTTATACAGTAAAGGGTTTATGAGCTGAAAACACAAGAACAGGAACATGAGGATACTGAAACCATACATTTAACAGGTAAACAGGAGAATTATACATAAAAATGATACCAAAAATACAAAGCAAGGACAACCATACTGGGACAACCATAATGTGTTTTCTGATCATTTGAAATAATCTTTTTGTGTGATATAAAATGAATTTTCTTTTCACATAGAGAATGGTTATTTGAAATAGTAATTTATTCTTGTATTTTATATGTTTAATGTATGTTTCTCATAGCATAGGCACTAATTTTCAAGCATTTTAGCGTCACTTACTGCAGTATGTATGTTGATACACAGGAACTGATAAAGATGTTTCTCTTCGTCTCACAGTGGAAAAATACACAGAATAATTTTTGAAAAAGGCAAAAAAGTACAATACAGTATATGCAGGTGGTGGTTTCAATCTGCAGTAATAAAAGTCTATAATATTCAAATGATCATGTTAGTAGTTGCACATATATGTATATATACATATATAGCCTGTTCTTTAACAACTTACCTGGAGAAGCTCCTTGATGTCTTCAGCAAACTGAGCCTTATAAACAAGCACAGCTTTATCAAAGGTTTGGTATAACGACAGAAAATTACATCATAATCTGCAAGCTGTTTATTGTTCATTTCACTATTTTTAATGACGCTCCCTTTTCCACACATATTTCCAGTAATAATCAGCTATTCCCATCACATGGTCATACTGTATCTATAAAATTACACACCACATACATATGACTTTTCTTCTCCTTCTAGATTCTTCATGCTTTCTTTGTGGAAAATCCCCCAACTCTCCATCATCCCCCAGTCTTCTCAACTTCATCAATTCCATCAGCCGTAGACGACAACTTCAGCGTCACCTACCAGTCTCCCAACGTCTTTAAGCTTCATCAGCTGTTTGGCGACCATTTAGCTTCAACAAACACCTCCACAACCAGGGTTTGGACTCTGTAGAGGGATGAAGTTTGCTGCATGCTGAGGATGGACACCCTTGGAATTATCTCATCTCTTTTTTTCCGTAGTTCCTAAAAGTTTGAAGATGACAAAATCCTTGCCTTGCAGGAATGATTATGTATTTAAGTATATTTACTGAGCAGCAACACAACTTTTGCAAATTCTTCAGAAGTATATGGGACACTGTTTCCAACATAAGGTAGTAAGACGAAAATTACTTTGTAAAATATGTCCACAGAGGAAACTAGGCTAATTTTAAAGTAGATGTCATATGAAGCTAGCTTTACATGTCTGATGTCAACAAGATAACGATTGTATGTATGACATGCAATGTAGTCATGAATTGGTCTAAGAAAATATAAGACTGGATATTTTAAGAATGAACATAACGCTTTTGTTTAATATTTAATATATGAAATTATCTTGTTCTTTGTCATTATCAACTGATTGTTCTTTTTATCGCATATCTAACTAATAAAGCTGCACTCTTCACTTCAAGGTTCTGGCTGCACTTTTCATTGGGGTGGCCTGGGTTAGGGAGCCCTAGTGCTAGTTAAGGGCTACAGGGCTCTCAAGTCTGAAGTCATTTGGCGTGTGACCCACGCATTCACACCCATTCCCACGTCCAATGTCCAAACGCCACACATTGTATTTCTCACACAATTGAATTACCACAGTGACGTCCACCAAGTTGCACCTCTTTAACAATGGAACAGGTAGGAATCAAGTGAGTTACCCTGAGAGTTCAGAAGCTGTGTGCCACGCGCAAGCCAATCAAATAAAATATAACTTCTGAACAGCCAATCAAAAAGTAGCATTGCTATATCAGGGTAGATTTATCTCCATGTTCCAACCTACATTGAAGTACAATTCATGTAACTGCTCCACAGCCCTAATTTTAACAACTCTCCTCCACAACAGGTAACTTTGCTACTTTATTCTCATAAATGGATGACTTGAGTCTCGCAAGTTGTGATTTTATTCTTGGAAATTATAACCTCAAAATCTTAGATTATTATACTATTACATTATCTTCAATCACTCTTTACTCTCTTTACTCACTCTTTGAAAAAAAAAAAAAATCTCACTCCAACTTGAGAGCCCTGGGGCTGGTTTTAGTAAACTTTCCGACCTTTACTGTAATTTTTTTTTTTACATTTTCACTAGAATTTCACACCAGTCAATACCAAAAAACTAGAGTATTTTTTCCTGCATCATGTGACCACTTTTACCCGCCATACACATCTATTTCCTACGCGGAAATCATGCGCTCTGCTTCCTGATTTGGAAACGTGCGGGGATGACGGCGAGAACGCTGCGCACCTTCGGCAGGTAAGTGGATGGATGAATTTCTGCGTGAATGTCTGTTTAAGTTAAAAGAAAGAGCTCCAGGTGTGCGCCATTGATTCCTCTCTTTGACAGAGAGAGGAAAAGAAAAAGTAGGGATGTTTACCGGGTTATTAGAGACGCTGGCAGGGAGGGAAATGTTTGGCGCACATGTGTGTGTGAGAGAGAGACTCAATTTTTGCCCACAGACAGTGACGACGCCGCTTCGTCACATTTGCGTAAATAATTTGTCCTGAACTCAAGTTGAGAAAAGTTGAGTGCAATGAATTGTCTTGAAAATTCAGTTTTGTCGTGATTTTATGTTTAATCTACGCTGAATTAAATCTGCCTCGAGGTTTAACCATCATGTTGTGTTCCGGTCAAATTTGACCGATTTGAAGGTTTTATTTTGAGGTGGTCTTGCGGGTTTTATTCAACTTTTGTAGTCTTGTTGTTCACGGTCAAAAATTACTGGTCATCAGAAACGAATTGGGGAGACTACAGAAGAGTAAAAAAACTGAAAAATCCCCATTTTTCACACACACACACACACACACACACACACACACACACACACACACACACACACACACACACACACACACACACACGTACAGGACAAAGATCAAAGATAGAACATTCACGCAGTCAGAGAGTCAAAAGGTTAGAAATCAAAGAGATCAATCAGTGAATTATCAAACATTTATGCTTTGATGTAGATTTGTTTGGGTTTCAGTACAGAAAGTTTACACAGGTGCAGAAGCTGCAAAGATTCTCGCAGTTCACTCAGTTCACTGTGTGGCAGGACACGGCTGGTATCATTTCTTCATGGGAATGCAATTAGACAGAGGCGCTAAGACAGAGGAACTACGGTATCTGCAGTGCAAAATGATAAATATGGTGATTATTACTTTAGTAATAATTGTTTAGTCTCTTCGCTAAAGAAATTAGTCAAAGTTAAAAAGATGTTTGGTTGCTAGTGCTGCGGCTGGGACCCTATATGTACTATTGATGAAGTTAGGTGCTGTTCTGAGCATTATTTGTGGCTATAGAGTGGCTTTTTGGTTGAGTGCGTGGCTTTTGAGACCGCTGTGTATTGCTCTTGTGCGAGAAGCAAGCAGTCGGCAACATTCATCTCTCGACGGGGTGTCTAATTTGGGGTTACGGTGTGTTTGACCCAAACGTAATTTTACACCACAATATCCCATTAACAGTTTTCATTCTAATATCAGCCAAAAAACATCTGAAAAACTGATGTAATGTTAATATTTGTGTTTTTAAGACATTGAAGAGTTCCCTTTGTGCACTATAAAATATATTTCCATCTTTTCCCTCTCAAGCTAGAACTTTAAAAACATCTGTAGCACTAAATAGATAGGTGTGTAATGTATCCTCTAGAGGGAGCAGTTGCTCTTTCTTTGAATATGTGATGGCTCATGGTATAGGGTTGCCTTCAGTGAGTCGATCTCTATATTTTTTCTTTTTTTCTTTTATATCAGGAGATTTAGACCGGTAGAAGATATCACATTCATGTAATGCGTTTCTTTGACTACCTTGTATCTTGGAAACTTCATAAATCCTCACTACTCTCTCCACATCTGATTATTCCTCTGTCTCCTCACTTTCTCCATACTTTTTTTTCACTCAAAGGAGACACCCCTCCACCTTCCTCCACATATACTATTTGCTTCTCTTGATGCCATCCTGCGAGGATAGAGTAAAGCAAAAGGAGGGTGACTGTGAACCTCCACTAGGTGTTGCTGGTGGAATAAGTGATGATGGTATCCTAGGGCTGCTATAGCAACAGTGGCTGCACAGGATGCTGGTGGAATGATAGGCAGAAGTTATAATGAATATTTGCTGCCTGTAGTTTGAAGATGGAGAAAAAGTTCAATGCTTCCCTGCTGTGAAAGTTGAAGGTAGATGTGTGATATCATTTTGCTCAGCATTGTTACAGGATGAACTTCAGAAAAACCCTCGGACAAATGGACTTCAGAAAAATAGTGTTTTTGTTGTTGGTGTTGTTGTTTTTTTTAGTAGATAACTAGTATAATAAAAATAATGTTTTATAATATAAAACATGGTCTCCACAAATTTTGTTATACTCTCCTCTTTTAGAGACAAAATTTCTCTGTAACTGTGACTGAGACATGAGCTGATTCTGCACACATCGGGAGAAGGAAACCATTAAATTTTTTGATTCATCTGTTTGGCAGCAGGTGGCAGATTCATTATCTTACCAGTGATGCTTTTACTTTCGCCCCCTCTCATGAGTACAAAAATAAAGTTAGGGTAGATGCTTTGGCATTACTAAAAAAAAATATCAATCGACTGTCAATGTCTAAATTTAAGATACCAGTTTGTAATTTTAACAACATTACTGTGATCATTTTGTGATTTAACTAAATATTATCCTGCATTTTTTTTAATATCTTCCAGTAGGATAAAGTATTTAAAATAACATAGCAGAGGTAACGACATTACGATGGCAAATAAGAAGTCTTCACATGAAATTACTGTATTTTGACGTATGTTGTATCTTATATAAAAGGCTATTCAAATATAATGTGTTAGTTTGTTTTGGTGTATGCAAGTTGTCAGTTGGAGAATATGTGTATTTCTCAGCCACATATCCCCTTATTTAATCCTGTCCCATGGGAAAGTGCGCATGCGTCTATCCTTCATTTATCCCAGTGAGCTTTGCTGACTACACAAACCTTTTATAGTCTTGTCCAACAACCCACTTTAATCATTTGATGCTTTCACACGTGAAAGCTCCCAAGTGAGGACTCAGGCTTTCTTTCCCTTCATTTGACAAACATCAGCACAACTGGGGTGGTTAGGTAATTTGCTTAAGGACATTTTAATGAAGGTGATTCAGTAAAATGGTGAGTTATGAGGAGCTGTAAACACTATTTCAATCTCAGTTAAAGTCTTTTTTACCTCTGAAGTCACATTTATGGAAGTCATGTGTGATTGTCTTTTGTTCCCTGCAGTAAATAAGGGGTTATTCTGTTGTTTATGTTAGTTGAAGAAGTGATGAAGATACTGAGTACAAGTTAGTGATAAAATTGTGTCAAAACTGTATTTCTATCGTACACTAGCCATCAAGAAAATGAGACAATTATGTCTTCACAGGATTTGGTGAAAGGTGATCGACATAAATGCTGGTTTGAGAAGTGCTCACTTGATATCTTGATACAGCACATTTCTACTGTCTCATGGATGGATTACATTATGTGTATCAAAGGATTTCATTACCCTGTAATCAGGATTTAGGGAAGAATAAAGAAGAAAACTGAATTCTTCTGCAACCTTAACTTTTGTAGTAAATAAGCAAAGCTTTGCTTTGTTAGCAAACAAAGCAAACATCTGTACAACTGCCGTAATTATCAACCACAAATACCATATTAGCATTAGGGCTATCAAAATTGCTCCAAAATGATGTTCCAATATTTGTTCTAAGATTAACACATAAGTTCGAACATACTTGAATATCTAGCTGACACAGCTTGCATATAACTTTATCTCGCTCAGCATTTTTTTCCGTCTACTGTGTCTGCCCAAATCCGAAGAATTTCCACACTGAGCTTTTAAAGTTCGTTGGAGTCAAGACCACTCTCTCCGAGTTTGGCTCTGAACATCGTGCCATCTCTCACGGTTTTTGTTGAGTCTCACTGCAGGTGCAGCTCCTGTGACCTGTCCCTGACCGGTCCTTGTAGTGCACACAAAAGCAAAGCAGCCACTGTTTTTTTCCCCGTCTTTTTTCCCCACTCAGTTTTTTTCCCACTGCTTATTTAATACTATTGTTGACATCAGAAAATACTTATTTTCACATTCGAAACTCGTTTTTTTGTTTTTTAATATTCAAACATTTGTTCAAATTTAGAATACCCAGTAGCGTGGTGACACTTTATTTTATTGTTTTTATTTATTCATTTTTATTTACTATGTATTGTAAAGCATTTTGGTGCACCAAAACGGGTGTTGGAAAGGGCTGTATAAATAAAGAATATCTACATTTACATTCGTTGACAGCCCCAATTAGCATCCAAAGTATTAAACACACACTTGTTTTTTGTAAGAGTAAAAGACTGGCCACTGCATCTTCAGACACATCCATGAGTGTTAACATATTCTAGCAGCACACACAGTTACTCAACAATGTCTTGGTTATTTACATTGACCCATGTTATTTCCCCCTGTTGTCAACATATTTTAAAGAGTTTTTTTGTGCCTCCAACTCTGCCCCACCCATCAGAGAACATCCTGCTGTTCACTAACATTAAAAGGGTCTATATTTTGTAATAAAACACTCTTTTGGGGATTCCTTAAGTAAGAAAATTATGTTCCCCACCTCAGCTTTTGATCCAGTTTGCTATTAAACACTGCAAAATTACATCTTGTTCAAAAGCAACACTGTTATCTTGATCTTATTATCTTGAGATGACAATAAAAAAAAGTTGTGAGTCTTGGACAACAGTTGGAGCCTGTTTTTGGACTCACCAAGCTGCCCACATCCATCCATGTCTTTCTAGTTTGCTGAAAAAAAAGGTTAGTTAAATGAAATTCAAAATGACAATGGAGAAACAAAAGTCACTCACAGATGTTTCATAGACAAAAGCTCTTTTAATGAAAATCATGTTTTTTGCCATGTAAAAAAGATTGATCATATGCATACTATCTATAGCTGGAACATAGCAGGCAGTAGAAAAGTTTACATTTAAAATATTCAGAGCATTCAAAAGCATATACGTCTTCTAATAAATTAAAACTGAGACATTCTCGTACATCATGGATTCACTGTGATTCTAGTTTCGGCTGGTCTGAACGGTGGTGGTAAGTTCTCAGCTACAACTGAATTGTAGATAAACTCTAACCAGAATGTGTGGACATAGAAGAACCAGACTCAGGCTGTGAGGAAGATACAGTATGTATGCTCTGTATGCTTAATCACCCCAAAATACAAGACCTAAAAAGGACTCCAAATGTTGGTTTGACCAAAGAAAATTGCATAACACAGCAGGACTTTGTCTCTTTTTTTGACATGGCTATGCTAAGTGTTTTGAGAGGTCTTTTCTGTTGACGGTATTTCACCTTAATGTTGGTTTTTATGGAAGACTGCTAGAGCATTTGCCGATACTTAGTAGGTTTCATTTAACTTGTTGATGAGAAGATGAATATGAAAGCTGGAAAAGAAAACACATAAAAAACTAAATGGATAAATCAAAACAAAAGTTGATGTAAAATATATATCTCACAGGATAGTTAGTATGTTTTACTGATCTTTTTCTAGTCATGCAAGCAGTATGGTTATAATGCAGTGTTGTCATATGAATAAAAATGAAGATTTAGGTGATTTGTGGTGAATCAGCCACAACTTAAGTTTTGTAGTGGGCAGTCTTAATGTCCACCTGGTGTTCTTTAGGAAATTAGCAACGTGTTGACCATACTTGTGTTTTCATATCTGTCATACAAATCTCCATTCAAACTTCAAAAAACTGTATGCGTACAATAAATATGCAGGGCTTTTATAATGTAGAGAAAAACAAAGAGTTTAGTTGACCACTGGATAGTAATGCAGGCTTAAAGCTCAGAGTAATGGCTGTCATCAGGAGACTTCTGAAAACATTATAAGAACCCAGTTCATTAATCAAATCACTGGCATGTTAGCTACTGTAAAATTACTGATTAACAAAATAAGTCATATTTGTAATGTATCTACATATTTACAATACTATACCAACATAGAAACCTCAAACAAAGCTGACGTTGTTGAGATCAGAAGTTCATTATTTTATCATCTTTCAGTGTAATGACAGAAAAATAACCATGATATTAGCAGGAAACAGAAAGTGAAAATCAAATCAAAGGGGTAAGCACGTGGTGGACACACATATTCCGAAGTGAAAGTCTAATGTAAGCGGAATAATATTGAGTCTTTTAATCAAATATAACCTCAGAACGATGTAACTGTCATTACAAGTCCTCAGTGTTCATAAAGGGCCAAAATTGTGCATTTTTTAATCTACCTAGCGCAGTGTTCATGTGGAGCAAAATTTAGTTCTGAGGTAAGGATGCTGCGATGTATCTGTCTGTACTTTTCAACACAAACTTAGACATGGAATCAAAAGTGGATGATGCCCAAAAAAAACACTGAAATCAACTCACTGTAGTTTTTCCTATGTTAGTCCAAAAACCATCACAGTGATGTTCACAGTGTATACATAAGATAATGAAGTTATCACCGACCAAAATCACGCTTTTTAATTTTTACAACATTGTGATGAATTTGAATTCTCTTGAAAAAATATGTACTTGTATGATTTCCCTCCCTATTATCACCAAAACCTTAAAGTTCTCTTTTAGGGTGAAGAGAGGATTCAATGCAAATAATTATCACAACAGTTCCCAGCAGACTACTTAACTAGACTGTGACAGAAAATGTAGGGGATTGAGTGGAGGTAACATTTACTTAGTGTTGCTAATAAGATAATTTTATTTTTGTAATATTATTTCTCATACAAGTGGAGAGTGCTGGGAAAATCTGATGTATTATATAACCAAATGAATAAATTAATCATAGCAGTGACTGGTCATAGCCTGGCAGCAAACACTTGAAGGCTGGCAGTATGAAGGCAAGATAAAAATGACAGAATATATGAAGGGGGAAGACTAGTGGTGGTGTTAGAGGAAAACGCTCAGTATGAGGGGATGAGGAAGTGTTAAAGGGGAGAAGGTGAGAAAGCGAGGAGGTGGGGGAAGAGGGGGAAGAAGCTAAGATAAGCAAAGGGAGGAGGGGATGTGAGGCAAGAGGAAGCATGAATAATCCATCAGCGAATCACGACAGGATTAAGACAAGGTGGGAGCCAAAAATATCTCGGGCCAAGGCAGCTTGGTGCAATAACGCTGCAACAGAGCACAACACGACAGCAGCCACTCCTGCTGCCAGTCCCCATCAGCTCAGGAAGTAAAACCTAAGGGGGTTATTAAGAGCCACAATGATATGTCTGCATACTGTAAAATTTCCAATTTAAAGCTTTCAGATGTACTCTAGTCTTTCTATTTTTCTGCCTGTGCTTAAAATGGGTACTGCAGTCATCTCGAACATCCTTTTCATTATAAGTGTAAGAGAGTACAAACAATGTGAAAACAGCTGTATATAATATGCCTTTGCTAAAGAGAGACCGAAAGTAATGCTGCAAGGTTATCTCTTCCTCATGGTGAGGATAACAATTTTTACTTTACATAAATTCAGTTGCATGTTTTAAAACACATGTCGAGTGTGCGGCATGTGAAAGATACACAGAAGCTTAACACCAAAGTTCAAACTCCATATTTCGGTCCAGTGCCTTATGAAAAGTCAGCCTGTCTTGGTCTGCTGCATCAATTTTGTTTCTCAATTATCCTTCCCCTCTGTTTGAACAGTAAAATACATCAGTTCCAATCACACACTCTGGATTATTCTGGTGTGTTTTCTTCAAATTTCCTGTTTTGCTCAATAACCACTGAAAAGTAAGAATGACATAGAAGCTCGAGCAGAATCTTTATCCAAGATTGGGTCACTTTCGACTGAAATAAGCAAATCTGTTCAATGTGCAGTCACTTTTTAACTTTCTGAGAGCTGTAAGTAAGTAAAATAAGCCGCTAAGTCTCATTACATCAGCATGGGACTCAACGTTAACATTTCTGGCACTGCTGCAGCCCCCTCTTTTCAACATCTCTCCTCACTGGAATACTTGCCATCATCCCTACAGCTGGGATCTTCTCAAATTCAAATGAGGGTTTAAGGGGTTTTTGCCAGAATCATTTTTCTTTATCTCTTCTTCCCTTCATATGCTCTTATTTTTGCTTATATTTACTACATTTTTCCTCCCTGTTACTCTATTCCTCTTCAGTATAATAAGGTTAAATCTTCACACTTCTTGTTAAAAAGCAGGGATCAGCAAAAGGGAGCTCAAGCTCTGACGACACTTAAGAAGGCCAGTAGAAAGGTGTTAGAACATGTCTGTTAATGTTTTATGAGCTACTCCAACAGTAGAGTGAAAACAGAATTTGTGATACCAGGGATGTTAACAGTAACTGTAAGTAGTCCCAACATTCGAACTTAATGCTGTGTTCGAGTTACCTTGGATCAGAGGTCCAAGCCGGGAATGGCGTCGCAAATTCTGAGGTGGAAACAAGATGACTACATCTACGAAGGTTATTTCAGCGCTTGCATTGTCCAAGTATAATCAAGGACAAGGCAAGCGCTGAAATAACTTTTGTAGATGTAGCCATCTTGTTTCCGCCTCCGATTTTGCTTTCGTCCGACTTGGTAACTGAAACGCTGGTAACTTAGGTGTGACATCATTCCCAGCTCTGACTTCTGACTTCCGAGGTAACTTGAACGCAGCATTAGTTCTAGTCACAAATCTGTACAGTCTTACAGCAACAACACACTTGCAACTTGATGTGGTTTGAAGTTGTTGTTTACAGGGTAATTACAGTGAAGCATTCAGAATAACAAAAATAAAAAAAGCCTGAATTCCGCTTTTTTATACTTATTCACTCTGAACCCGCCTGTTCCAATAACGCACAACCGATAACATCTGACTACATTTTTATCACTTCACAGTATGTCTGACTGCACCTCCAACTTCCAGGTCTTATCCCATTAACTTCACATTTAAATGTAAATGTTGGAAAACATGTAAGGCAGTACCACATGTTGCATGACTAGCTCAACACTTCCGAAGTAGCCAGGCGTTTATAACAATCAAAAAGGGGAATACCACTCAGTTTGAGAGAGCTTTAGTGAAGGACAGAATCAGTCAGTTGCATTAATCATGACTACATCACAGCCAAAGAGTCACTGAGCAACATTTCTACATATTGACAATATAGAGACTGTTTGAGCTGTACAGAATAACCTCAGCTACCTTGTTGGGGGAATATTTTCAGCCCCACATCTTACCAGGAGATTACACGGTAACGTGACCAGATTTCTGTAATTAAACCTGGGGACATCGGCTTAGTGATCACAGACAACATCTCTGTACTACTTAGTAGCAGCGCACACCCCCTGTAATAACCCACCCAGTAAAAACTGTTGTTCAGGACTGTGCGCAACATATTTACTCGTGACGCTGTACACAATGCATTTTAAGAGAGAAAGAAAAACGGACATCTAGCTCATATCATGTGAGGTGAAGTGCGAGTGCAGATCACACTCTGGTTTATTGATCTCAGATGCCGACCAAGTTTAAGGCTACAGATAAAAATGCTGCCGGCAAAACTACAGTAGACTTGTGTGAGAAAAACTGCTTTAAGTATGAGCATGAGAAAAGGCTACAGCACATTTGGCATATATATTTTTTTAAGGTTTTATAGTTTTTAAATGTAACTTAAAATTTAATCAACGAAATAATTAGATAAAAAATATTGACAACAGCTATTTGATCAGATTATGTGATAAGTATGATCATACCACACACTAATTTAAAGGTTTCTTACATCCTTCCTGGACTAGGACTCTGCTCAACATTTTAAGCTTTGTTTGGAGCTTTCTGAGAGGATTGTTTGTGAGAATTTAAGAGGAAGGTATCAAACTGTGTCATATCAACATGGAGAGGGTGCTCAAATGGTCATTAAATTACTGGACTTGTTTGTTCAACACATCCCACAGATACTTCATTGAATTAAGATCTTGGGGATTTGGAGGCCAAGTCCACACGTGAATTGCTTTTGGTGGTGGATAGGGGTCAGGGGATGCTCAAAATTAAACCATAACCAGCATTCATGCCACTCCAAAATTTGATGTCTCTTCTTTTGGATTGGACCACATAGGCTAGTCTTCACTCCCTATGCTCTTATGTAAGGCTTGATCACCTTTGACTGTTGAGGTTCACTTGATTTCCTACCTTGGACCACTTAGGCTGCAATTTTAAAGAAACTCTGACTCCTTTCTTCCTGCCATCGAAATTTAGTCCTTGACAAAGTCTCTCACATGTCTACATCCCCCCATTTTTTCTTGCTTCTAGCATATCAGCAAAATGTACAGGTGCCCTTGTCCAGTCAGTGTTCCTTATGCTGTAGCTGCTCAGTGCACGTAATTCTTACTCATTGCGTTCAATCATTTTGCTCCTCTATGATGTGTGGCTTAGATAGCTAATGCTAGATGGTAACAGCTACCTGTGGAAAAGTATCTGTCGCTGTGAGACTTCAGTGAGGCAGCTTAATGAACGGCATATACTTGGACCGTGGAACAATCATTTGTGAACATAGCAGCTGTTGTTTGGAAGAAGTTAAAAAAAACATCCAGAGCAACTACTAATGGTCAATTGTGTAAGACTAGATTTTACCAGTAACAAGCTTTCTGTGATAAGATGTGGCTGCACAAAAACCCCTGAGCAATCCTAACCCTTAAAGTTAGCCTCCCAGGGGCATAGACCAAGACTGAAAGACAAACACCCAAGCATTTATCATGTATTTCAAACAACACCTAACCATACTGTTACTGACAGCTCTTACAGAAAGTACTAAGTGCACACTATTCAAACTGAGTGACACAGTGTATAAGGCTTGGACTGTGGCAAAATCAAGCTGACAAGACCTTTGAAATATCTGAGAAATACAGTTAAATGGACACATACCTACTCACAGACTCTTGATTTTATCCCTTTCTTGCATGGGTGAGTATAGGGGTTTGACCTCTGAGTAGTGCCAGATGTTTATATCCTATATAATCCAATAAATACTGCAGATAAGTCTTTTTCAGAATGCGTTAAAGATGAAAAAAGCAGATGAAATATTGTATCAAAAAGGTAGCAGCTAATTTATCTATTTCACCAAGAGCACAGGGGTTCAACTCAATTGTACTGAGATTTCAGAGAGCATCACTCCTCTTTGAGCTGGTACCTCTTGCACAACGCTGAAACATGATGAAAAATGCCAACAAGATGTCATTACATTAAAGGTTTGATGAATGAAGGCGACACAAATCTGTTAGATGGTGTACAGGGTAGATCAGTGACGATGAAACAGTAATTTGTCCTCCAAAGCTGTGATCGAAGCATATGCCATGTAGATTATTCAAAAAGCAATATTGTGATTGCATATTTTTATTGCCCTGTGTTGCAGAAATATTGAGCTACACCGTTGTTGTACAAACAGATTATGTGCTGGTGCATGGTCAGAGAAATTTTTACGCCCAAGCAACGACTTACAGAATACAAACAAATAAAATGGAATATGTATTCCTAATTGAAGTCTGTTTTTACCTCTAGAAATCATGCTTTGCACTCAACAGTCCATTAGTTTTAAAGATAACAGATTCTCAGACAGCCTAATCTAGCATTTGAGTCAAAGACCATAGATGATAGCTGTAATATCCTAATATCACATACATTCAAGTGATAATATTCCCACTGAAGACGGAAAAAACACCATATAATTGTAGCTTACAAACAACATTCAATTAAACAGATTTTAAGCTTGTTCTGTAACTACTGGGAAATGTGCCACTGTTGAAAACCTATAATTAGAGCTATGGTCAAGAGATTTTGTTTCTGTGGAGAAGAAAAACAGGATAATTTTGGTATAAATGCATACAAGTATAGTACGTTGTCATACAGAAACATGGACCACTTTGAAGATATGAGGGGCCTTTTGCTACCTGTGTTATAATAGTTTGTGAGGCTCTGTATCTATGAGTATACAAATCGCCTGAAAACACAAAACCACATATGAATAAGTACTATTGAGACATTGTAAAAAATAAAAATAAAAACCTAACAAATTAATGCATATTGCAGTTTGTTTTTGACTTAGTACAGACTTTTCTGCAACCTCAATACTGTTGAGCACATACTGTATAACAAGGTTTAAAAGAAGCTAACTAGTTTGACTATTTGTTGGTTGAGAAACGTTTGTGAATGCAACAACGTTTAAAAAAAAGAGAAAAAATGTAAAACAACTCTTTGCTTCTTGTTATTAAAAAAACAAACTCTTGAGTGGGAGTCAATTGGGTACCAGACAACTGAGCTAAGCTGAAGAGTGCTGAAAGACAGACACACACAATGTGGGCTTAGTCAATTCAAGGGATTTATCATGTAAAGCAAAGATGTTAAAGCCCAGTCTTTGAAATGAGTTCAGTAAAAAGAGCGAAGAGAAAAGGGGGGATTTGTTTTACACACAGATATTACATGCTGTTTTAATAACTCAGTGGTGAGACAATGTCTGAATAGTTTCAATAACCAGCTATTGAAATGCACTGTAGCCTTATCCGACGGCCTTCTGCATTCAAAATGATGCTGACTATAAAGAGGTGAGAAGTAGTTCATGTGGCTTGGTAATAGTTAATTGGTTATGCAGCAATCACGGCTAGTCTAAAAGAGTATTTAGGAATGATATTCCACAAGAGTTTTACAAAAAGGCTAGATATTGAAGTCTCGGTTGCTAAGTTTAACCTATTGTTCAGGAAACAGTAAGAGATTATTTTAACAATTGAAGACCCCAACTATAGTCTAGAAACCGCCAGCCTACTGATTTGATAAATATGATCACAGCCAGACAGAAAGTACTGTTGTCAGGAAAAGGTTGATGAAGGCTTACTTTAGATGTGAGGATAAAGTAGATGACATAAAAGAGACAGACACGGGATCAATAAAATGGTGGCCAAAGCTTTCTCTATAAAAGGTGAACCGTCAATCAACAGTGACACTGCAGTGTGAATAAAAGCTAGTTCACTGATAACATTCCACTATTTATTACTGGCCTACTGTGTTCAACTTTTTTCCCTTTTATTCTTTTTTTAATAAAAATCTTCTGATAAAAATCTTTATTTCGTGTATTTTTTTCATAGAAAATATAGAAAATAGTATTTTACAGTTATTTTACAAATGAAATATCCTCTGGCTTTTGTTTTGGAACAATTATGACTCATTTGCTCTTTTGCAGCACATGGTGTTATAGAATATGCATTGAAACAACTGAAAAGTATTACAACAGCGTAGCAAAAAGGAAAAAAAAAAGTGCAGACCTCATACAGTATAAAAATACATGCATACAATACAGTGCCATGCAAACACAGTCCAGTTTGTGAAGGGAATTCTTTAAGACTTGCATTTCTTTCTTGGGTTTCCAACACGTCATGCCGTCTTGCTCTATTTGGCATGGCTTTTACAGAGTGACTTGACTGCAGCTGCTACTGGAAGTAGCTTATCAAAAACCACTAATTGGGGCAATGATTCATCAATGACAGGTATCAGAATCTTCTCATTGCAAATTCAGCATTTAAGATTATTTCAAAATTTCACACAAGCAGGGTACATTTTTGTTGTTTCGGTATGAACACATTATTTTTTCACCTTTGTTCTCAGATATCCATTTACACAAGAAGTGGAATCAATCGCCTTTTTTCCACTTGAAAACAAATGACATTCTTCTCTTGAAATGCACTATAATGTTTAAGCCACTGTATAATCTAACCCAATTAAATAGCATCCTGTGCTAGACTGACTTTTTTTAGTTTAGGTACAAAGAAAGCAAATTGCTTTGTTCCCCCAATCCCTCAAGATGTCTGTAAGTATTGATCAAGTTGCAATCAGCCACATCTGAATCACATACCACCAGCCAAGGTCTGCCTGCTAGAGGTCAGTGAGAGACTGGTATCTGTCAGGGCTGCTGACCTTGTGTCTGATCTTAAGTCTACATCATCACAGCATATGGAAAACCCTCTTTACAGAAGCTTTCGATTTCAAGGACCTGGGATTTTGTGGAGTTGTATTTTCATTCTTATGCTTTTTAAGGATAAGAGCTCAACGTTATCAGTTACCACGAGCTTGACCAGCTCTACGCTCAAGTCTCAAAATTACTTCATACGAGCTGCTATCCCACTAGCTTCGTCAGACGTCCTTTTCTGTTGACGGAGTGTAATCAAGATCAGTGAATGTCTTTTATTGTATTCGGTTGGTGATAATATTTTGACCCTTGATGGTAAATGAATCAACAAATTTTTGTAGCATGGCCTTGGATATAGTTCACATCATTTTTTTCCTTAGATTTAATCTGTCTACCTACTCAATTTAAGACCTGTTAATCTTAGGCTTAATCTTTTTTTAAAACCACATGTATATTGGTCACTTGGTGGCAGTGTTACATGCTCAACACATATTTTTACCCATTCTTTTCTCCATATGTAGTAGCAAACTATTAGCAATTCAAACATCTCAGAAATATCCAGCAAAATAAGCATTTAATTGGTATTGTGTTACTACTTACTAATTTATGTCCACCAGCTAGCGGCTAACTTTGTATTTCTCTTGTTTGGTGCTGGACCGGTAGTGTGAGAAGGAAATGGAAACATTTGTGTTAGCGGTCAAAGTGAACTCCAGAGTCATGTTGTGAGTTGGTGAGTTAGAGTGATCTGGAGAGCAGGTTGATCGATCTTTGACATCGTTATTGCAAACAACCCATTAATTTATATTTGACCCACTATCAACAAAAATGATCATGATAAGGATAAATCATGGATATTTTCCCATGTACTATCTCTGGTAAGTCAAGAGTGTTGTGCTAATTTATGTTGTGGGCATAAGTCGAAGTAATTGTCAATGTGATTGGGATTTCAAAGAAAACCTACTGGCACCAGTGTAACTTCAGCTCTTGTTAAAATATTGAATGTGAACAGTGGACAAAAAGTGCAACTCTTAATGCCTGCTTTGTAATCTGCTTCACAAATTTAACAACATTTGGCAGAAATAAAATCAGCTTACATAAATCATGATTATTGGTTGATTTATAAGAAAATTTCAATTTAGTGAGATCTTTTTTAACCAGTTGACAAAAATCGGTATGCTGTTTGGCACCAATGCAAGTTTTAAATAACATCCAGACCTTCCAGTTATCAGTGTCATAGCTATTGTAAGTGGATCATACAGACATTCATACTCTCGCAGGAACCATTCCAATACTTTCAACCTGCTCATAAGCCAAAGGTGTCCAACCTTAGAGACACTTCAGTTTTGGTTATTCCTTTCCCGAGCACGGACAGCTTTGAGTTTACTTGGATATACTTGATCTTACTGCCTTTTTAAACACAATTTCACAAAAGTCATTTATCATGTCCTCTTGATGTGCTGCTGGCCACTGCAGTTCTTCATGCCTCTGACCTAAGACCTATGGAATAATGCAGGGATATTTTCCGACAGTGAATATAAACCTTGACACAACTCAATTAGCAAGATAATGTTCCATAATAAATACTGTGTATGCCATCTGCACACTTCAGCTTTTTAGCTATCTATAATGTAAAGCATGTGGTGTGCTTCCCCACAAGGTTTCTCTTTCTTTTGGTTTTGTTTCCTCTGCTATAATCAAGCTGTGAGCGGTAAGGTGAGTGCTCCTGCTCAGTATAACTCGGTGTAATTTGCACTCTGTCGTTATGTGACTCTAGCCACCTTCACCAACTTGTCTGAGTATCCTTGGCTATACAGACTGCTTTGCTTGCAACTCTCTACTGTTGAGAACAAGACTGCAGGAGATGAATATAGAATAACAAATGGTTAAATAGAATAATGCAATAAATGCTCAAAATTCTCTTCCAGGTTTAGCATTTGTAAGTATCATTATTTCACCAAATCAAAACTGCTGCCCTGTCATAAATTGGTATTAACATCCATCACATGCGATTAGATCACAAGTGGACAGCCCGTCATTCAGGTGTAAACCAACCTCATTGTGTTCAGAGGACCGATAGAGATCTGAGCACTCAGGCAGCGTGTGGAGGTGGACTGGAGCACAATTGTTCACACTGGTTTGGTTCATTTGTCCTAGCACCACGATAAAGTCTGCCCACTCTCTGTCTGCAAGGAAACTAATATGTAGATGTGGAAAAAGGTGCTTCTAGTGTATGACTGCCTCGACAAAACTTTCCATGTCACCTAAAGCATGTGGAGATGTGATTGATCCAGCTTAGTCTAATACATGTTTTCAAAGATGGGACGAAGAGATGTGCTCTGGTAGGGGTTCAACATATCATTTTGGGAGCTGTGAGACATGGATTCGTTATTTTGTATTTCTGTGTTCGACAGAGGCTCCTGTTTTCAGATTACTTTTTATATGTTACCGATGATCCACAACTGCAGAGGAAAATCAAGCTAAAAAACAACATAAAGGTATTACCTACCAAAACTATTTTGCTCTAGATACCCCGTGTGTCTGTTCCCTCTCTTTAGCTTGTTCGTAGAGTTATCTTCCACTCTTCCATTACATTGCCATTTCCTAATTTCATATTTCTGGAAAGCTACTGAAGGTTGATGGGGCTCCATCTTTACTTGCGTATTCATTGGAGATTTATTTCGAGACAGGTGATAATGCAAAGGGTGAATCCTTGAAGTTGGAGCTATCCACCTTTGATCCAACCACCTAGAAGGCATGTCAATACCAGATCCTATTTACCCCTCTGAACATGTTGCAGTTTGTGCAAATTAGATCCACTGTCTAAACTGAAAGACCACCCAGTGGGGCTGCACTCTACTCTTGCCAGCTTAGCTGCTATGGTTTGGAGTGACCAGTGCCATTCCCTCAAGGGACATCTTGCACTCCCAAGCACTCCAAGAGGTATCTCACCATTGGGAAACACCTGTTATCAACTAATATCTGACAGATACCAGATCCATTATTCATTGCTTGGGTTACAAACTACTTAGACGTTTGTCACATGATCAGGATTGTCCCTGACTTCAATGCACTCTAGCTCCCCCCTTTCTCTTTCCCTCTCCCTTTCCCGTTCCCTCTCCCTCTCCCGCTCTTTGCGCTTGGCCCGTTTCTTTTTCTTGTGTCTCTTTTTAGATGGCGGGAAGAAGGTCAGGAAGACGGGTAGGATGACAAAGCAGTGCAGCACTGTGCAGCCCGCAGTCAGAAGGGAGCACTTGAACAGTGTGTAGGTCAGATTGGAAGGCACAAATACCAGGGGCATTATCCCTATCACAAAGCAGGATGTGTTCTGTAGAATGGCTGCCCCGTGCTCCTCCAGTGCCAACTTGATGCACTGCGTCCTAGTGTGCTCAGTGGCTAGCACAAAAGTGTATAGGTGTGGTGCACAGTGATCCATAGCAAAATTCAGGGTATAAATAAGGCACAGGATAGAGATGCTGTCCATGCCAACGTTCCATAAGGTCATCAGACCCAAGACACCCAACTCTACAGAGGTCACTGTGAGAATGAGCCAGAAGTTCCCCAAGGGATTGATGACCAGAAAAAAAGTGAGGATGAGGATTGTGAGTACGCTGAAGCCTGAGGTCAGGATGGGTGAGATCACAGAAGAGCTGTAGCGGTCCATGAACACAAACGTAGGATTAAAGGCAATGAACTTGATGCTGTTGATAAGCATTAATGGACGAAGCTTCTCCAGAAGCTCCACAACTTCTTCACGCTTCTTCTCTGTTGTCCGTGCAACCAAATACATCCTAGAAGCAATAATGTCATACTCATCAGTTTCACGGTTCTTGGAAAATATGATATCCTCAGTGAAGTGCTGATACTCTGGGCTGCGCAGGAAAGAGCCCTTGAGTATGGTGATGAAGTCACTTTTTGTTGTTGCACTCACATTCACCACCCTTAAGTAGTGAAAGAAATTGTCAATCCAGGAAATCTTGTTAAAACCATGACTCAGAGTTTTCAGGTGCTCCTGCACAGTGGAGTTCCAGTACTCAATTGGCTCATAAATGTAAAACCCAATCACAGGACTGTAGTTGCTGAAGTATTTCTGCTGGGTCATAGCATAGGTTACACTTGGAGAGTTACTAGCTAGGAGATTCACTATATTGGATCCATCACTGATTTGTAAACATCCCATGAATGAGAACGATGCATAAATGAGGTACAGGATGACCACAAAGGGTTTGACGTAGGTGTTGGTAATCCATTCAGTGTAGTGCTCACGAAGAAAGTGCTGGATAAAGTGGTTTTGATAAGGGATGCTGTCGTGGTGAGTGGATAAGTCGTGGCCGTCGCTCATCATGGTTTTAAACCATGTGGGCTGGCGGTCCAGGTATTCCACTGAAGGAATCTTACAACAAAAAACACTGTGATAGCGGTTCTGCTCCAGCTGTCCGGCAAACACCAGGCAGGAGCCGTAGAAAGAGAAAACATAGAAGTAGTTGACCAGGATGGCAACACACATGCTCTGGCAGAAAATCTTCACTGACTCTATATTCGTAAAAGGGCTAGCTCCCATACCAAAGGTGATAATGTAAAGTGAGCTGGTCATGGTGTAACACACCATCACATCAGCGAAAGCGTCCGCCACACGCTCCTTGAAGGGAAGGTTTTCCCTGGTTCTCCTCCAGCCTGCGAGCAGCTCAAAAACCCCTTTAGTCCCATGGCCTGAAAAAAAAAGAGAGAAAAGTCACTAGGACATTCATCTGCCCTGATGTGTTACACTGTCTTAAGAATTATATTGTATTGTATCGTACTTTATACCAGATTATACGGCGCACTGTGAATTAACATGTCTTTGTTCACACATGAGGTGCACCAAATTGCAAGGCGCATTAAGCATTGATTGGTTTATTGTTGCTAGAGCGTACTTCTGGCCCGGGCTGCCTTATATAAATGCACTTTTAGTTTAGACCGTAATGCTCAGCATATCCGGTAAGTGGAGTGGCGTTGTTGCTTACCAAAGTCGTACTGACACATTTTGACAGATTTTTGAGTGCATTATACCACATACAATTAGTCAGTAAGAGAACAAGTAATAATACATAAGGCCCGCTAGATTATAAGGCGCACTGTCAATTTTTGAGAAAATGTAAGGATTTTAAGTGCCCCTTATATTTCGAAAAATACGGTAAATCAGAGTTAAGAGAAATAAGAGAAAATATGTGACACACCTTCAATGTCCCCTAATTAATTTTAACCATGCACATATATCCATATAAACCATGAATACACATTAACATATGTATACAAACAGACATATACCAACACACACACACACACACACACACATATAAATATAAGTCTGTATATATATTTACATATAACTGTGTGTTAATATCTATCTATATATCTGTGTGAGTTCTAGTTGTGGTTTTTTTGTGTTAGCTGAAGGAGCTTTCTATGTAGCAGACCTTTCATCTATGACTCAGTGAAAAAAAGCATGGCTGGAAGCATGACTGCAGCTCGATGCTAATCAGCTTTCAGGGAAACTGACAATTTTCTCATTATCTCTATGCTGATAGATCTAAAACTGAACATCCAGTTTTACTTGTACCTCTCTGGTTTTTGAGGAAACATTTAGATGATGCCAGAAGAGCAGGGATGAGGTAACAAGACAATAGGGGCAGAGAGGAATTGAATTCCTGACTAGTGCAGTTATGAGAGTGGATAGCTGTCACTGTGATGTCTCCTAAACAAAGAAACTCTTTCTGTCTTACACACACAAATTTAAAAATGTGACATCTCTTATTTCCACTTTATATCCCCGACTTTGAGTCTGCAGGGAAGACCAGACTCTCATTTGCTGTTGCTCTCTCCATCTTCACCCACACACAGACTCCCCCACACACATACTCCAGAACAGCAACATGTACAGACAACAAATGACCAAGTCTTCCTCCTTTAACTCCCCTTTTCTCAAATATGCGATTGCAGTTGGTTTCATATGCTTTGATGGCTGCAGTGAAGGCCTGGAAAAGTTACAGCTTACAGCTTAGAGCTGAGGACTTCTTGTACTGCAGATAACGAATACCTGTGACTAGCATGTCAAAAACGAGGTTTGAACTCCAATGTTCTCTGTTCAGCTGTCTGGACATTAGGACAGCAGGCTGGACATTAGGCCTACTATTCTGTACTTACATGGAAAAATGTAAGGGTTACCAAAGCCATATGGATTAAGTTAACATTATACATCACCAACAATCAACACTATAAATCTAAAAAAGAAAAAAAAAGGAATAAAGAGATTTCTGTGGCCGATAAACCAGTGAAAACAAAAAATTAGAAGCACCCTTACCAAACTTATTAGTTTCTTCTCACCCTCAATACCTATCTCAATAAAAAGATTAGCATTTAACTGTGAAATACATCCACATGTGCATGGTTTCCAATTGATTTCCTTTGGTAGCAATCAAATTATTTCAGCAAAAATTTTAGCATTGTTAATTGTTGAATATCCAGACTGGATGACCAGTGAATACACCTTTTTCCTGGTTCCAGTTTCTGCATTATTTCCTCTCAATCACCTCATCTGGCAACTATCTCAAATTGGAAGCTTGAATGTATTTGTAATTTTAACATGAAGTGACAGCGCTGTGATGTGGAGAGCAGATTGCCTGAACACTTTTTTCCTTCCGTTTAAGTCATCTCACTAAAATCTGGGGAAGGAGAAATACCATCTGTGCTTTTATGTCCTATAGGCTTGACTACTATGATGCTCTTTTTTTTAGCCACAGCTACCTTTAAAATTACAGGCTAAAGGATTTTCCTTTTTTTTCGTAGTATGCTCTAAATTTAGCATTTTTCTAAAAATAAAGATCAGATCAATCTTCGCCAATTCATCTCTTCAACATTTCTGATTTTCAGAGCCCAGAAAGTTTCTCTGAGTACAACTTAAAAGTTTCAGCATGTATCTCCAGAAGGCTTTTTACAAAATCACCTGTTCCCGTTGCTCTAATAACGGGTTGCAGCCTGCTGTCTCCCAGAATACAGATGTGTGTCAGGAAGAGGGAAGGCTAAAGAGAAACTAAAATATGAAAGGTGAAGAGTTCTTCAATAGTATGTCTTTCTTCACTGCAGGCACACCCTGAGTGGATTCTAAGCGAGCACATCGTCACTGGCTATTTTCTGCAAAAAAAAAAAAAAAAAAAGTGGGAAAATAGCAATATAGTCTTGGCCACATTGCGTCTAAAATGGAAGCCTGGGCTGAATTTACATTCTCCTCCCCTGGTCGACACTTAAAAGCCAAAGAGTCATTAAAATACATTTTTGCTCTAAAACTAAAGTGCCATGAAAAACACATTACATGGCAAGAGGGCTTAGCGGCTTCCTCTGTCTGCCCTGAATTCATGCCATCTGTTTATAAACTGGAAATAACATAGGAGCAGATCTTGCAAGGAGAAGGTCCATAGCAGCAGAGCGGTCCAAGCTCAATAAAATCCTAAAAAGCCAGTGAACGTGAGTACTGTCACATGGGAGACTGAAAGCAATATTCTTATCCAAATTAATTCTTCATATGAAAATAAGTTTTATTACAACCAAGACATACATTCCTTGCTCTTCCATTTGTTCCCCCTTTTTTTACACACACCAAAATTTTGAACAATGATGCACTTTATACTATTTTTGTGCTACACAGAAAAATAAATCTTTGCTTATTTATCTTAAACACAATTATAATTACTGCTTTTGTCGTATTTGTATAAAATTAAACAGACAATGACACTTAATGTGCAACACTATCCTGGATCAGCTGCTTTGCTTGATATAGTTTTTGATTGGCTTTTTCCTTTATGTATATATATAAACATATATAAAAAAAGCAGATGCAGATGTTTGCATCATTTGTATATTCTGCTTGTTTTTATTCTTGAGCAACAAATCACATAATTCCAATCAGTGCAATGTTATTCTGAAAACAGCAGATATAACCAGGGAAAGCCAGCACAATAATAAAAAGTTTTTCTGAGGGCCACTGGCTCTTTGCATTTTCAAAGTGTGAATACAACAGTGTGTTGTAATTTTATTTAAAGTGAGTGAGCTTCCTAAATATGTCTGCCTTCATTCATAAATAAGTTTTGTCTCTTTTTGTTTCTGCCTGTCAACTTATTATCTCTATTTGTCAAATGACACATCTCTAAAGAGCATTTCAAATATTATTTCTTTCACTTAAATGACATGAAAATATTTCTTGACAAGATTATTCAGAACTTCTTTCACAATTTCATAACATGACTAACACTTGATTCTGAAAAATGAATATAAAAAAAGATGAGAAAAGGGACTGGAAATAGTCTATGTGATGGATGTTTCTTATAAATATTAATTTTACAGATGAATACAAACAACAGATAGCAATCACTGTTCCCCTTGACGCCCATTAATTGTGCCAGCTTTTTCCCAGTTACGTAAAATGATGAGTCTAGAATAAATCAAGAGAAAAACTTTGCTGTCAATTACTCATCTGAGATGCGAAATGACTTCAGAGGCTGCGGATGACATGCGGTGCATGAAAATAGCACAAAGTAAAGTCACAGAACGTACAAAACAGCTTTCAAGAGTTCATCCTTTTTTAGTCTACCCATTCAATAAACATCACCTCAGTACAGTTTGATGTTATTTTTAGCTTTGATGAGAGGGGCCCTTTTGAAACCCCACTTCCTGCTGAATGTACCATTAAAAATGGATGAGCCCTCAACACAGCTGTCACTGACTTTTATGACTCTACACTTATTCCTCACACATCTACTCTTGATTTTTCCCCACACTTCAAATTCTAAGGAGTATCATAATGGTAGGTGAAAAGATTACTTGCTCTACCTTCAAGTTTCCAGATTTGTGTGCATAGCTCCAAATTTTAATCTGTGTACACAATGGCGAAAAACTATACACTTTGACTACATCATGACAGAAGCATTTAATGTGATGTGTGGACTGATGTTAGCAACAGTCCCGCTGCTTTCATGCTGCCATCATCCCATTCATTTAGCAATCATCAGCCATCCAGCTACACTTTTAAAGGGATATTCCGGCATAAAATTAATTTAGGGTCAAACACACCTTAACCCCAGGTTAGACACCCCCTCAAGAGATGAATGTTGCCGACCGGTTGCTTCTCTAGTTATACCAACTTTCATAATGACTGCACAAAAGCAATACACAGCGGTCTGAGGAGCCATAAACAAACCTCAACCAAAAAGCCACTCTACAGCCACAAATAATGCTCAGAACAGCACCTAACTTCATCAACAGTACATATAGGGTCCTAGCCACCAAACATCTTTTTACCTTTGCCTGATTTCTTTAGCAGAGACGACGGAATATCCCTTTAAAACAAGCAGGATTTTCTGTTAGATTTTTCATCATTAGCATCAGAGATGGCCGTAGCCTCAGACTAGCTAGCTTTTTATCCATCCCCCTCAGGACAAACAAAGTATCAGTCTGTAGAAACCATATAACTCAGGGGAGAGTAGAAATAAAACCACTAGACAATCACGCAGCTGCACTGAGAGGCTCAAGTAGATGCCCCAAAGGCAGGGAGATAACAGCCATCGTGTAGTATTATTGCCGAACTCCATATGTGTGAATTTATATCTTTCAGTTTGGTTTCAGAATGATATTGCTTTGACCGACTACAACATGCTGAGTCCCTGATTTGTGAGGTGCTAACATATAATGTAAAACCAAACCATGTTTAAAAAAATGTTCACGACACTTAAAAAAATATATCCTTAAATTAATGTTTCTGTGCTGGTCATATGGTGTCTAAGCTGTAGTGCAGCCTTTCACCACTAGTCGGAGCTGTAGCTTTGGTTACTACCATAATGCCATGCTGCTCATTGCCTGAATGTAAACAGGCAAAGTTTGGTCCTGTCTTTGACCAATTTGACCTTTTAAAAATGAAGGTCAAGTTGTATTCAAGGTGTGTCAGGTTAATCCCGCCTCACCCTGAAACAGTTTTGTAATCTTAGATCCCACACATGACGATAAACGATGACAGGGTGGTAGTTTTGTGCACACCACATAGGCTACATAGACTCTTAACACCAGCAGCTGGAGCTGCCAGTGTTTTCGAAGAAGTTGTTATCTGTTGAGCCTTCATCTGCCTTTCTGCCGAGGGTAGCACTTATTTTCTTTTTTTCTCACTGACAGTGCTGTCGCCTTCACCTGTTAAAGTGCTATGGTTGCATGTAGCTGCAGCCTGCTACTACACAGTTGTTTGCTACTTGGTTCTAATTCAGCACGTGATTGGTTCAGCACAAAGCGGACCCGGAGCGACTTCCCTTTTCATTGGCTATTTGTTTAGTCTAACAAAACATGGCAGAATGCCGACTATTAAAAAGCATATTGACCATGTTTTTTTTTATCTTATTGATATTGAAGGAAATTAATTTTCGATATATATTGTTATCGCTCGATTGTCCAGCCCTAGTTTTCCTCATGCGTTAGCGAGTGAGTTTTATATATATGGACATCAACCTCGGTTTATGGTTCATGTTTCATGTTGTCATGGTTGCACATTGTGCTTACTTCTTTAGTCAGCGAAGTTTCCAATTGGGTGTTGGAAACTGAGCTGAGACGAAAGACAACATGCATGATCTTCCCTCCTTTGGGGTTTCCCCCACATATCAGGGTTTCAGATCATAAATATCATACATGTTTAACATTTATGATTTTAAGTAAGGGAGGGTCAGATCATCTTCTGCGCAGATCGGAGGGAAGAAAAATCACTCTTCACGCACTTCACACTTTAGGATAATCTGGCAAGATAATCTTTAGAACCACCCAATTACCAGGCCTTTGCCGACTTTTTGCCTGGAGGGGGAATCAACCACATAATCAGCATGATTTTCCTATAGTGTGTTCCCCCTTTTAGCATGTAACAACTTGACTTGAGCAACCCAGACACACATGGCTCTTAAACTGCAAGGAGGACTGAAGGCTGGCGGTTCAAGCTTTGCTTATGTTAGCTAATGCTATTTTTTCCGTTCACATACAAACTAAAATAAAGTCAAATGCCATAACTCCAGAAATTACCCACTCAGACAGTGATACAAAGACAGAGTAAAAGAAACAGCCTCTATAACACGACACCATCTATAACACGACACCATCTGCTGTCCATCAGAATACATCAGCAGCGAGTTTTAAGGTTGGCAGAGTATATTCATGTACAGGGAGCTGGTACAAATATCAGATACTTATTATCTATTCGAGTTAGGGTTTTTAAGTACCAGCTGTGCACAACAAAGCCAATTGAATTTGTTCACCAGTCCACAAGTCACTCATTTTCCACAGCGTAGTAGATACAATGACTGTATTACAATGCCATAGAGAAATACACCGTTTAACATGTTGAGTATTCACATGCAGAGCAGAATTGTGAAAATCTCTACTGACATTTGGTCATGTAGTGTGAGACTCAAAATAACCAAATGTTAAATTTTTGTAACAAGAGAACTTACAAAAATTATTCTAGAACCAACACGACTTCATGAACAAGACCATCAATGCTTCTGAAGTTTTCATCTATAAAATACTTACTTTGCATGTGCAAACGTTACTCCTTTTGTATATATATATATATTTTTTAAAGTAAATGTCAACTAGAAAGCAGCTCCATGCTTATGTTAGCTTTGGTGTAATGTTAGCTAAAGGGCTGTCAGATGTGTTTTTCATTTTAAAATTCAGCCTAATCTCTTACCCGGTTCTAACTGTCTATTGTTTGCACGACTGCTTATCAATCAAGGAGCTTTGAAAGAGCCACAGTTTGTTAGATTATCAAGGTTTATATGACTATCCACTTGGTGATAATACATTATTACAGTATGAGTGTGACATCCCAAGTAGGTGGCCGTCTGAGGGAGAAGGTCCATATTTTAAATTCACTAAAAAATTGAACCTCAAAACTGCTCTTTGACTTAAAACGGTGATCACGCATAAGCAGCGGTTCCACACTGCTTTTACACTTCAGTTATCAGTATCCTTTCCAGTTCTCTGTGTCTGTCCTGATGTGGCACTGATATAGTGATAGGGGTGTGTCTCAGTCAGAACCTCCCAAGAGGAAGGTGGACATCTGTTGCCTCTGAGGTCCTGTCACATGAAATTACATTAATCAAGTCCTCTCTATCTCCTTTGCCCTTTTGCACCTCCTCTCCTTGTGAATTTCTCTTCTGCTTCTCCCCTCTGGATATGTCTCAGTCTGCTCCCTCCTCAGCTCCCCTCCTCCCTCCTATACATCACATACCTTTTTTTACTCCTTGCTCTTTTCTCCTTGACTATCCTTTTTGGCTCCTCTCAACACCCACCCCCACAGTAACACCTCCCCCCAACAGTCCCTCCTCCCCTGCCTCTAGGTCACAGGGAGTGATCCAGCCTCCTGTTCTTGAGTCTTACTTAAACTTCAGTTATGTCAGCCAGCCTGCAGCAAAGCTGCACCAAAGCCCCAGGGATGCAGTGACCTTAGAATGCATGGGGAGAAAAAGCAAAATAGGCAGTAGTGTAAATGGACAAAGTATATCTTAGGAGGCCAAGAGAGGTAGAACAGGGAGTTAGAGGCGAGGCAGAAGAAGAGAAACACTAAAAACTGTAAAAAGCCCAGCGTACCATAATGTCTACAGTATATGTCTGTAGTGTGGAATATTTTGACTAGTAAGGTCATTTAATTCACAACTAGTGTGTATGTTTGTATGTAGGGTAAGGGTTTTGAACAGTCTTTCTTTTTTGTAGCTTTGGGACCATTGTGAATATTAAATTCTCCAATCATCCAAATTTTGCGTTTAATTTGGAAAAAAAGTCGACAGAGCCACCTGACTTGATATTTCTAAACCCCCCTGTGAGTGAGAATTGCCCTTTTTCTGTTGAATGGCAGGTCCTTTATGAACTAATGCAGATATCCACCACATTTACCACATTGAGAGAAATAACAGGGTACAGCATGAAACCTTTACGATGCTTCCTCATCCGTCAAATGTCATAATAAGAAATGTTAATGGCATCTTGAAGCCCTTTGAATTTTTGAAAGTAAGAACATAACATGAGACTGAGCACACCGCCATACTGAAGCTGCAGCATTTTTTCAAGAGTGATGTGTTCAATTAGTCAATACATTTACATGCAGTTAAAAAAAAAATCAATTTATTTTCGTAGTCCGACTGAAACTGGACTCATGTAGACAGATTAGTCTCACTGAAATCACAGAAAATCAAACTTCACATAGTCAAACTATCAAACCTGGGTAATTGTTATTTTCTGTCATGCAGATCATGTCACGTCATGGCTAAGTAGAACCGAAACTAGCCTAAGTATTCAGGGCATGCCCGAGTGTTCGCACGCCAGGCTCTGAGACGGTGATTGGAGCGCGTGGATGTGTTGCTAGGAAGCCAGGAACAAAACCTGGACAGACGACAAAATTATGCAAAAAGGACGAAACTCGTCTAACAAATGGCAGCAAGCTGTAAAGTAACAATGTTTTAATCGTTTGCTGTAGCTGCATCCTGTTAGCATCTTTCTAATGTGTTTTGCCGGGAGACAACCAGATAGTAACAAGACGAAAAGGGTGCGTGGTGCCTCAGACGTTCTCCTCTTAATAATTCCATTCTTGCCCTGTGTGTGAAACCTCAGCCAAGGACAGTAGTCCAGTTAAGTTGCCTCATCAAGCCATAAGCTTAGCTCAACTTATCTGTGTATGTAAATGTTCTGAATGATACCAAATAAACGTAATAAAAAACAGAGAACCCTTGATCCACAAACGAAGGCCAGGGTCAGCAACCAGCAACAATTCAGATAATAACCCATCCTTCTCAGGAACCAGGAAAAACAAATGTTGATGCAGAAGTCTTTGATTTGTAAGGTCAAGCCAATTGATGAAATGAAACCTCTTCATGATTGTAGCTAAAGACAAATACGTCAAATACTGCATGCAAGTTGTAAAATATGCACAACAGATCAAATCTTACTAGATATTGAGCTTTGTAGAGTAATTAGTAATTTGATGTTTTCCTTCTACACCAAATTACCTCCACAAATTGCATGTTGTTCCCCCTTTTTTTTTCTGTGCCACAACATATTTGAATGAACTCTTCACTGTGGTTTTCAGTGGTTTAAAAAATATTCCTGTTCTGTAACCTCCAGGCTATAATCCTTTCAGGTTGCCCACCTAAATTTTTATCTTCCCACACAGCCAACCTTTATTTTCAACAGGCTAGAGCTGGGCCTGTCCAGCTTCCTCATGATTACTGAATGCCAGGGAGCAACAGACACCTCAAGGTCTTACAAAATGATCCTCAAAATTCTGGGCAGACTACAGCACAGCCAATAAGAACTCTTTCTCACTAATTTAAATATGCAAGTGTCTACCCATGGTCCGGCAAAACATACACACACACAAAACTTCAGTCAGTCTCATGATGGCAACCTATGATTTCACTCACCCATAGCAAAGAATGGGATCCCCAGCAGTGTGGAGTTGAACTTCCCGTCCGATATAAAGAAGATTCCTGCAGCTGTGACATTGGCGATGCAGATGGTCAGCACACCCAGGAGGCCCAGGAATGGCTTCCCTCTCAGGCAGTCCCGCATGGAGCTGGAGATGGTGGCGGCCAAGAGCACCAGCACAAGGCTAACCAGCACTTCCCCCTTGGCCAACACGCCGGTCTGGTGGAAGTCCCGCCACAGGCTGAAGGAGGTGAGGGACTGGATGTGGAGCTGGTCGGTTGCATGCGGTGCCTCAGCTGTAGACAGCCGGCTGACCAGGGCGCAGAACTCGTTCTCCCAGCGCTCTGCAATGGCATCCTGTACCACAGGTCCGTGGTTGCGGAGGTAGTAGGTAATCTGGACAGCACGGGCAAATTTAACCTGCTGGTCCCTGCTGTTTGGCGAGAAGGACACACCACCCAGTTGGTGGCCGATGAACGAAACACGACCATCCTGGAAGAGATTTGAAAATGTAAGCCTTCAGCTCCATTGACACAGGCATGTTTCGATCAAGTTGGTTGCACCCCATGACTTGAAACAGATTCACCATTTACTTTGAGTTTAATCTAAAGGACATGGACATGCATACCATACAGATTGATGTGCATGTGTGTGTTTGCTGTATGATTAGACCAATGCGGTGCAGCATTGAGTTTGGGAATAATAAAATTGTGCATTCAAAGTTATGCAGAGCACCGAATGGTTCGATAAGGCAGTTGGGAAACTGGGTCTTGGTCACTATGACAACATAAACATAAAACAGTATAACCTTCTCAACTTTACAGTAGTTGGTATAACTAGAGAAACAAGCGGTCGGCAACATTCACCTCTCGACGGGGTCTTGGTGTTACGGTGTGTTTGACCCCATGCAACTACCAGTGGCAAGAGCACTGGAAAAATTGTAAAACTAACCAAGAATCTGCCAAAAACAAGAGGAAAGAGGGGAATGGTCTGTGGCAACCACCAGTAAACCACTCCTTAACAGCAGTTGTCTTGCTAATTGCCTCTCCTATCCACTTGTTGTCTGTCCCATTTGCACAACAGCAGGTGAAATTGATTTACAATCATTGATGCTTTCTAACTGGATAGGTCGATAACCCGGAAGTGTGACTGACTTGAAGTTACTCTTCATCTTTTGAGCAGTATATGCACTTGATAAAGTTAAACTCTTCATACATTTCCATTCTATTGTAGTAATTTGCTTTAACATGACCAATTGTGTACCCGTGGATCCCATCACAGTCCTTGATGTATTCTTCATTTTCATTTTTACCTGAGAGTTAAAAATAGATTATACAACTTAAAAGACAGCAGACTGAGGAAAACAAGAAAAAAGCTATTTAAAGCGGTGTCTTGTGGGAACAGAGCTTAAGTTCAGCTCAGCAGAAAGTAGAACACTTTAAAGACGACGGTGACTGTATGACAAGCACAGAAATATACCCCTGCTGTGACATCAAAGAGAAGGATGAGGCATAAGAAGTCAGGCAAATGAATTAGCCAAGACAGCTTGTCAGACAGGCAGACAGAGAGCAGGAGAATTCATGAACATGGAGGGGGAAGAGTGACTGATACACCCTGAGGAGATCAGGAGAAGGAAGAGGTCACATTGGCAGCTGAGAGCAGAAAACTGGAATTCATATTGGGGTTAAATAAGAATGTGTGTATGCTGAACGTAGGCAATAAATCAAAATGGGTCACCTGTCACAACTGTTTTGGATATGAATTATTTTGAAAGATTCGTATAACTCGCTCTACTCTGGCACCCAACAACAGGCCGAGACAATACTCTTCTAGCACCTTCTAACCCTGTAGGTTCATTTGTTCATTTTTTACACCAAATGTTTTTTTTTTAGAATGTCCTAAAATATGGTGACCATTCGTCCTCTTTTACCCTTTACACGTTCTCTTTTTTGGGGGCTGTCCGGCTTTGTCCGGGGAAGTTTATAAAATCCCTCAAATGTTTGCGGTTTTGTACGAGAGTTTCGATTTTGTGTCATGTGGACTTTCTGAGTTAGAAGCACGTAAAAGACACTCGATCCGACCCGAAAAACTCTCAAATTTAATTTCGTGCGACTCCGGCCACTCGTAGTCGTGTCCTCTTTTTGGGAGTCAGAACATGGTCACCCTAAAACATGAACTTTTTATGGTTGGATTAGAAGCAAACAATTGGGACACTATTAGAAAACATAAACTTGTCTTTTTGGACCAAGCAGTACATCATTGCTTCTTAATAATTCTTTATTTATCTTTAATATCTCATAAAGGGAATGCCAGCAATGATATCAGTTGATCAATAAGTCTGCGCTACAATCAAATCTATCCATTGGCTGTTTGTCTTGTGACATCAGTTCCAGCCAATTTCCATCTCCAAAGCCAAGTAAAGCATGTACAGATTAAAAATAAATTGGATGTAAACTGAATTTTGTAGACAGTGTTCCAATTTTAATACTTTCCAAAAATAAAAATTCAAGCAATTGTATAACTTTGAATTCATAACTACTTGTTTTAGTCGCTGCACTGTTATAAAACCACTAATTTAATGAGATTGGCATTAATACTGTAAAAGGGATCACCGCAGACTTGTAACACAGCCTCTCATAGGTCATTAGGCTCAAAAGATACCATGGTTGTGTCCAAAAATCACTAACTTATCCCCTATTCATAGTGAGTTGGATGTAGTGCTGTATACTGAGCTTGATGGTAAACAGAATAAAAACATTTCAGCCTCTGTGACTGCAAATGACTTTTATAACTGTTCAGTTTATCTATAAACAGTCCTCCCATTGGACACGTACCTCTGCACACAGTTATTAAATCAATTATGTGAAACATAATGTATATTTACCTCATGTCCATAACCCACCTCTAGCATAATGACATATTTTTTCTCAACCACTCCTCACTCCTCATCATTGCACTATTGCACTCGTGTCTTGTATATAAAAGTTCGACGTCTAGTTGGAGCTTGTACATACTTGTAATTTTGCAACATTTTCTGTAATGTTTCATGTTTAATGTTTGTACATAGAGGGCAAAGTTTACTGTCGTCAAATTCCTCGTATGTGTACATATACTTGGCCAAGCTAATTTTGATGCTACTTGTCATTTCGCTCAACACTGAGTAATGACGTCATCCCTGTCGCACATTTTTATGAGACTAGTGATGAATAACAGCATTATTTTAGCCATAACAAATATTATATTCAGTGTTCTTTCAAAAAGAAAAAGTAAGTAATCATGTCTTGAATACAAGAAAGAAACCCTTCATTTTAGTTTGCACAGTAAATTGGTCTGTCTCTTTCTGGCTGACTGAACTTCTACCATCATCACATTCTCCAAAATAAAGTCTTTTTCTCCTCAAAAATAGCTTCAATTCTGTAAAAATGTCACAGAAATACTTCTGTTTCTTCTCAGTTTTGTGCATGACTTCTCACAGTTCATCATGAGAAAATAAGTCCACAACATTTTTACTGAGAATTTGAGCAGTAGAGACCAGGAGGATTCAGGAGTAGCATCAAGGTCAATTCCCCAAACTGTCAGTGCGTTTACATGCACAGCTTCATCGGACTAAGCCCATAATTCGTTGTTTTTTCCAAATCGGACTTCTCTCCTTGTTCATGTATACATGCAGCTGAGAAAATTAAATAATTGACGTCAACATGTCCTCATCCCCAAAACTAAGGGGCGATATGTGTCTTTTCAGCGGCGCTGTTTCTGACCCTATACAGCGGTCAACAACAACAGCAGGTCTGAGTTAACTCCGGTTGGAGTCGAACTAAGGTGTTGACATGCACTTCAGTTGTCCGGTCTTAATCGGAATAAGGCAATTAATCGGTTTTCTCAAGTGTCATGTAAACGTAATGACTGAGGGCGCAGTAGTCTCTTCCTAAGTGATCACATGTTTCCGATCATACTTTGTCCTTCAGAGAAACATTGAAAAACAGTCACAATCCTTCTCTCAAGAGCTTAAAGGCATAGCAGGCAAGCCAAACTTGTGTAATGTTAGCAGGCTAACAATAAATGAGCCAAAATGAGCTCTATAAAGGCTCATTTAGACTCTAGTTTATATACACATACAGATAAAAGCCTTCCAGCTGTGCTCTTAATTCATTTTGTTCATATTTCTACATGTTTTTTTACAGAAGTTGCAGTAACTCTAAGAAATTTTGGGGCAGTGTTTGACAGTTCTAATAGTTCAAACCATGGACTGTATAGACCAGGAAACACAACATCCTACTTTGAACAACTTAATACTCCACCCCATGTTGTTAAGTATTTATTTAACTTGCAGACCATTCTTATCTGCAACACTACATCCGATTTTGCCCTTTTTGTTAAGGCCATAAACTATTTACTCTTCTTTTTTGGGGGGTAAGTTTTGACTCAGAGCAATGCCCTCTAGTATTGCTTAAAATCCATTCAAATGCAAACGACATATGGAAATACGGGGGCTGTGATGATTACACTGTTGAAAGGCTACAGGTCTATTTTTGTCTCAAAACAGAAGCATAAATGAGTCCAAAAGGGAGAATAAATATGCATCCTTTTACTAAAGGAAATGTCAGGTGACAGTAAAACAGTTTTCTGAGTTAGGTCAATAATGTCAGTCTGTTGTAAGGTTCTGTATTTAGAAATTTGATCAAGTGTACTCTTTCATAAAATACACACATTTATTATATAATAATATCTCACAGTTTATTACTTGGCGCCCTTTAAAAGATCAAAAAGCCAACTTTCGCCTGAGAAAAACAGCCTTACTCCAGATTTGTGACCCTTTGCAGATAATGGTGAGAAACAAGATTATGCCTGACAAGTATTAATAGTAAGGTCTGAGGACATGATTTTACTTAAATGACATGATGAAGCAGTTAATTATTTTGAATATAGGTGTAAGAAGACTTATGAGGTTTAAAAAGCAAAATTCACATCTTGTATATTTGACTCGTATCATCCAAAATAAAATAAAAAAAAGCCTTTTAATGTATTAGAAGCTAAAAAGTTTATGATTTCCACACAGACATGAATGCCGAAGGCTCAAACATCTGTGGCAGCTCTCAGTGGAAGTTACAACCTGCCATGCTGGAGAGTGGGCTTGTGATACATTAAATATGCATTAGAGGCCCTGCATGTGTGTGTGGCATGGTGGAGTGACATGTACTTTATGATCAAACTGCCTGGTGTTGCAAATGCTGGTGGTTGTTATTCCAAAACATCAAATGTGCCTCAGTGCCATACAGTTAAGAAAAAGCACACACTTTATTCAAACCAATCTATAACCTTGTAATGTAAAAGCCTTTACAGTGACAACATGGGCTGTAAAACCTACGTGTGTGAAAGATGTTAGTCTAGAGGCATCGCATTCTCCCCAAAACCTGATCTTCTTGCGTAATCGGCAAAGCACATCTGCACCTGATGCATCAGCGGGGGGGATGCGCACCTGTATATCTGCAGCTTCTTGACATGTTTTGTGTGTTACTGCTGCAGTACGATTATAACAGCACCTGTGCCGTCCAACAGCTGCTGGTTAGATCCAGGTGAGCGGGATACCTGTTAGTCGACTAGCTGCTGTAGCCATGTCATGGTGCATGTGCAGCTAGCAGAAGGCGGGAGGGAGACACTGCATCAAAAAAAAAAAAAAAAAAAAAAAAGAGAGAGCAGGATATCCCTGTGTCTGTGTCAGTGTGTGTGACTGACTGACTGACTGACTGTATGACTGAGGGGCTACATTTGGCCAATCAATTCACCTGCACCAACAAGGGAGGGGATTGAAAACTGCATAGCTGGCTGGCTGTGTAATTGAAAGGGTTTCCTTGCCGGCTGATACATGTAGCAATCTGCAGCCTGAGCGAATACTGCTGCGTTCATTCAGAAATATGGCAAGCTCCCAGGCCAGCCAACCACTGCTATTCATATACTGACTGCTGCTGTACAGCCAACACAGCTCAGATATGGGGGGAGATTTGACATGATATGCTTTTATACATGTTTGATGGTTGTGGTCGTGTGTATGCGTGTATGAGTTGGGGTGGTGGTGGTGGTGGTGGTTATATGCACAGGCCTGGTTGGTTGCGTCTAAGAGGAGCTGAAATGTGCACAAAAAAAGCCTCACCTTTAGTGTTGTGTTTGGATAGCTCACGGGCACCTTATGGAAAGTGCTGTTGGAAAGCACAGCCTGCCTGATATCTTCGAAGATGGTGATGATATCATCCAAGAGGCAGCGCTTGTCCCTGTGGCTCAAGACGCAGAGGTGCGCGAACGTGTAATTGAATCCCTTGTAATTGACGCGCAAATCCCACACCTGCTTGTGGACCTGCAGGACCTGGTCAGCCAGCTCCAAGATGTTCCCCCCGGATTTAGCCAGCAGGATCAGCCTGCCATATCTACCCGGGGTGTGTAAATCCGAGTACAGCTTGTGCTTCGACTGGTCGATGGGAAAGAGGCTGTTGGCGAGACTCCGCTCGATCTTTGCGAGGCTGTGAGTAGGGGCGACCAGCACCTCCAGGTCCGTCTCCGGCTTGAAACGGCTCAGCACGGTAGATCCGAAAATGATGGTGAGGACCGCGGGGACAGTGAGGAAGAAAACGGGATGCCTGCTAACAAATAAGCCCAGCCAGTAGAATGAAGCCTTGAGCCCTCTGTGTATCACTTGCCGCAGCATCCTCCACAAAATCCAGCTTGCAGATGCCCCGTCTCCTCCGATGAAGCACATGTGACATCAGACTCCGTTTCCCAGCTTAGTCCAATTCTTAAGAGAATAACACCAGGCTACACAAGCACCACGACCACCACCACCACCGCCACCACCACCATGCACACACGTCCACACACGCACTCACACACGCACATCACAACACCTGGAAAACAGCACTGCAGCAATTCGCGGCAAGACCGACGGACACAGACAGGCCGACAGTCAGAAAATCATCGTGCATGAGCCGATCAAGACGACTTGGTGTTGTCTGGTGTCAAGCCATTCCGCTTCCGTGAGATAAAGAGAGGGAAAAAAAAACAGCCGAGAAGTCTCCCTCCCTGCACCGGCTGCAGAAGCAGCGACAAGCCGCGGCGGCGTGAGGTGCATGTGTGCCCCCCTGTGCGCCTCTACAGCTCTCACACCAGCAGTGGCGTCTGATTTATGTACTTAACTGTAACCATGTTGCGGGGGGGAGGGGTGAGGAGGAGGGGGGAGGTGGGGTGGGGGGGTGCAGGATGATTGTGCCTGGTTATTTTAGGAACAGTGGCAGCAACATGAGAGTTGTAAAATGTGTCCTGCAGGTGGCTTAATGGCCAAAAGCACTTGCAGGGATGAGTCACGGTTAGCTTCATGAATGGGGGAAACCCACCTTGTGTAGTGCTTCATGCTGAGTGGTTTCAACAGGCCAGAGCAGAGTGGTGTGACAGGGGCCAGGCAAAACAGGACCTCCTCCCAATGTTCAAAATAAAACCTGTTTGTTTAAGTGGATTGGCATCGAATGGTTGTCCACACACAAACACACACACACACACACACCTCTTAAACCTCAGTCATTACCGCTTCTGTTAATCAAGTATATTGTTTTAAGTGCACGCTGGCATCCAATCGCCTCACACGCCATCTGTTATGCTTTTGTCACTAAACAGCACGATTTCCTGACTCGCATAAATTTACAGCCAGCGTAAATAAAAAAAGATGGGACATGATAATTGAATGTCCATTTGACAGCTACTCTTGAGTGTCGTGTTACAGCCGACAAAGGCTGTGGTTATTCTGTAGAAAGCACATATTTGACCTTGAGCTGCCTCTTGTTTGGTGTTATTCAGTAGGTAGCATCATGTCTCCTGTATATCATTGGGATATTTTAAACATAGTGATTATCGCTTACATTTGCAAACGATGCGTTTTAGCCTGACAAATCTTTGGTGCCTTCAGAAAGCAGCTGGGTGAGGGATAGAAAATACTCTGCGGTACTTTAATATCCACATGATGTGCTGAATATCTGTATTATTTAACATCTCAGTCGACTACTGTATATGAATCATGTCTGTGTACTACTCAATTCAGCTGATACCAGACTATTTGTTTTACCTAAGAGATCAAGAATTCATAAAACTCAACAGAATGAACAATTTGTGTACTCAGATGGGGGGCAAGGGGGATGATCCCCATCCATGGTTCCCCAATCCTCCTGTTTTAGCTTTTACTACGCACCCACCATGTTAAGGGTTGGTTTTGACCCGTGTCTTCAATCAGCTGTAAATTACACTAAAAACAATTCTCTATCATCCAATTTGGTTCTCATCTCTAGGTTACCTTGTTAGGCTTCATTATCCATGAAAATATTTCTTATAATATTTTTTGTTGTGGTCCCCTGGGCCTTTCTTTGTCAGTATACCCCTCACACAGACATCTATACTGAACTGATTTCACATGTCTGGACATGCCCAATGTTGTTTTTTTTCACACACGACAAGTGCCATAATTTCAATAAGAGCATTTTATAATTTAGTCAATTAAATTTTTTTATTTGTATAGAAAGTAAGAAAGTAAGTAAACTTTATTTATACAGCGCCTTTCACAGACCAAGGTGACAAAGTGCTTTACAGTAAACAAACAAAAACAATACACAGTTAATAAGTACATACAAAGCTAAAATTTAAAAGGCCAAAACATCACTATGGCAACCATAGCAGCCCCAAGACAGTAAGGCAAAAGCCTTAACAAATAGAAAAGTCTTTAGTTCCCTTTTGTAGGTAGACAAAACCTTGACAAATGATGAAAGAACATAAAAAAGATAAAACTTTTATAGCATACAAGACACAAAGTGGCATCCGGTTAGCATCTTGCTGACACATTTTGCTCGCTGTTTTGATTCGTAACATATCAACCAGGAGACGGCCCAATGTAACAAGCTGAAAGGGGGCATGTGACCACTTAACGTAGCAGAGGTGGACATGTTTCTGTCAGTAATTTGATTCTTACCCAGTGCATGTAAACCGGGACAAGGACAGTTGTCCAGTTAAATCGCCTATTCCAGTTATGGCCGTAGCTTGACTTACCTGTGCATGTAGACGTGGTGATTGCGTTTGTTTTTACTAGACCTTGGATCATGAGGACCTTCTCCTTTGCAGCAGATTTAATGTTTAAAGTAAATATTGATTTTCAGAACAGGACTAACAGAACAACTGTCATTGAAGTCAGCATCAAAATATGTGACCTTCACTTCTCTCTCACATTGTGCATTGCAAACCCATCCATTGCTTTGTTACATCTAAAGCCAATCCAGCTTTCAAAAATGTGCTTTTTTGTTGATACAGCCTCAACTCAATCATAACTTTTATACAATTACTAATCCATTTTTTTTAAATTGTGTGGCTTCAGTCACTCTTTTTTTGCTTTCTTTATGTGTGTATATGTGTTTGTATGTATGAGTGTGTGTTTGTGTAGAGTCTGTGCCACTTTATGAAAGTGATTTTCTGCCTGAGTGGCTAATGCTAGCAATGTCCTGTAATCCTGCAGGGTGCTCTAAAGGCTCTACTGTTGTCTTCATTGCTAATCAATGCCATTCATCAGCCCTTCCACAAAGACTCAGACACAAAAAAGTACACACAAAACAGGCCTTACAATCAGATGCCAATTTTATTTTGAAAACCAGTGATGAGGTGGATTTACATGTTCTTGTATGCGGTAGTTATTACTAACTACCTCATATCAGAGGTAGTAAGTTAATAATTCAGATATGTGGCACAGGCCAGACCCAAACAAGCTTAAAAGGTGATCAGTAAATCTTCAAAATCAATTGTAAAACAAATGCAAGTCAGTGTAGGGAGGCTAGAATGGGAGTGATGTGATTCCCTCTGTTGTAACCAGTGAGAAACCTAGCTGCTGCCATCGGCACTAGTTGGAGGCGGGATAGTGTTTTCTGATAAATTTTGGTAACGGGTGAGTTGCAGTAGTCAAATCGAGAGAAGTTGAGTGCATAGATTATATTTTCAAGGTCTGAGTGGGAGAGAATCAGCTTAATCTCGAAGATTAAGCTGGCTATAATCAAATATGACTCCTGTAGGAGCCTTCTTTGTTTGCTCAGTGTTGTTCGATGGTAATTGCACATGAGCTTTGGCAATGTTGATCACAATAAATTTTTGTTTGCTGCATCTGAGGGACTGCGTCCAGACTCTTAATGATCATCAAAAACTCATGGTAATGTATGTAGTGAAACCAGTAGCGCGGCACATCAACCAGGTTACTCTGGGTCAAGCATCTCAGTAGCTTGAAGTGTAGACTTATTTTTGGCAGACAGGGCACCAAGGCTACTCTTGATGACATGGTTGGAATTTTTAAAGTTGAATAATATTATATCTGATTTTAAATCATTTAGTTGAAGAAACTGTTGAGCCAACAGTTTACACCATTTAGACAGTCTCTAACAGCAGCTAGGCTTTTAGGTTCCTTGGGTCTCAGAGGAAGGTATATCTGTGTGTCGTCTGCATATCAACAAAAGGAGACTTTGTGGTGCTGCATTAGTTGGACAAGAGGCAGAATAAAAGTAAAAAAAAAAATCAGACCTAAAACTGAGCCTTGCGCTACACCACAGGCAATGTTTGTTGTCAAAGAGAAGTGATTATTAGAGGTCAGTAGACAATCATAATCATTCAACTGTTTCACTGGTGTTAAAAATGCAGACTAAAGATCGAGGAAATCGACAATATCGTAGAATCGCAATTTAAATTGAATCGGCATCCAAAAAATTGTAGAAGAATCGAATCGGGAGAAAAGCATATTGTCCCAGCCCGAGTGATTACCCACAGTTACTACATAGGTTCGCTGAAGAAGGTAAGACTGAAACCAACTAACCTGTGATACCCACCCAATCAGAATTAAAGTAAATGTGATAAGGAAATAACAAACCGAGGTTTGATCTCAGCCCCTACAGATAGTCATGACATTACCATAGAACCACAGCCACCTTCTAACTCTGACACAGAAGCTCTCTGTGGCAGGAGCTTGATGAAGACTTGATTTCTAACAACATAGGATGTTTTAGGTTGATTATGTGTTGAAGTTTGAACGCTAGCTCGGACTCTATTTATTGACTCCTTGCATTTGATGTACGTTGAAAGTGAGTCCAATCCCGAATTCAAACAGACACATCTGCCTGAAAATAGCTCAGGCTCAGCACAAGGAAGATCAGCAACTGTCTTTGGCGTCCCAAAAATACCTGCAATCAATGAGGCCGTAAGGTTCTATTTTTGTCTTCGCTCTATCAATAACTTTGTGGAGCAGTAAGACAGGATCTGCCTCCTCCTCCTCCTCCTCTTCCTCCTCCCTGCATGACATCCAAAGCTGCTGCTCTAAATCCATGAAGCACAGCATGGTGTGCAAAGCAGTTGTTGTCATTGCTTTAATGCTTTATGCTCTGAGTGACACGGCTAATACCCCTAAAATGCACAAAGATAAAACCTCCACCTAAATATGTCAAGAACAAAACACTTTTCACCCTGGATTACTTCTCCTTTTTTGGTTTTAGCTTCTTCTTCTTCTTCTTCTTCTTCTTCTTCTTCTTCTCTAATGACCGTCAAACTTCACAGAAAGACTCCTTCATCTAGCTTTAGCTAAATATAGCTGCATCTAGGGCCATCCATTCTCAAAAAATCTTAATAGGATGAAACACTCTAATTTGTCTAATTATGTGACTTGGCAAAAATCTACAGGGCTTAATGAGGGTTTGGTTGGGGATGTCACTGATTGATTTAGCTTGTACTCCATTGTTCCCGGCAGACTAGACCATGAATCGTCCTCTACTTAAGGCCACATGGGTATAATAACCCATTCTTTATGCTTTGTCCTACGTATGTTCTGTAAAATATACACCCCACCCCCAAGATGAATAAATAAATGAATACACAAATAATCATCAGCAAGAAAGTACATTTTCTTCTGCATTGAAAATTCTCTGTTTCACTGCATGTGTAGAGAGCTTTTGTGTTGTCTTTGTTAGCTAGCTTTGCTCTGTCAACGTTAGAAAACCGTACTTAGCCACAGCTTAAACAAGTTGTAAAGTGTTTGTTAAACTCTGTTGAGAATATTAATGTAAAATAAAAAACAGACGATTACTTTGCAAAGTTTGAAGTAGTTATTTCATGGAGAACAACAGTCCAGTACAGCTGTGAATTGAGTTGTTATTCTTCTCAACACACACCAAATGTTATGCTTATTATTGCTTTGGTAAAACTTTTGATCGGCTCGGAATCACATTCAGAGGTGTATCTGCAAAAGTTGATATGGTAATTTTGCCCATATGAATCAAACACTTTGGGAGACTGTATGAACTCCTAGTGAGCAGATCTGGAGACGCCATGCTTGCATCTCTGTGTTTACAACCCATCTTTCCTCTTAACCTGCATGAGCCAACCCCTTCTTCTTTGTGAGTTTGTTTACATCGCACATGTTTTATGTGCATGCCCCATGTCTTTCTCTCTGGTTTTGGTGTATTTTGTGGCAGTGTTACAGCACCACTTACAGGCCTGGCATAAATATACTACTGCATTGTCAGTGTTTGTGTGTGGACATACACATTTCTTGAGACGATTCCATGTTAACTAAAAACCTTTTTTTTTTAATGAAAAAGAAGAAGACTGGTCCTTTGCATTTTTCGTGGCGAACATTTTAAGTTTGGACCCCAAAAAACCTTCTTTTTTTTCACTGAATAGTATTATGTCTGCATTTTGGATCCTATCACTTTTAACAAGATAGTTAGGGTGACCAGACGTCAACTTTTGGATGACCTGCCCGGGCTAAAAATGTTGCATGTAGACCAGAACAATGGTTATTATGGTAGCTGGGTAGGTAGGAAGCGCAAGTAAGTATGTTGTGTGCAGTCCTGAACAACAGTATAACAGTTATAGGGGGCACGCTTTACTACCAAGTAGTAGCGAGTTGTTGTCTGTGATCACACTGATGGTGAATCCCCCCGCTCTCCAGGAATAAAGGCCCCAAAATGAAAATTGGCTCAGTACCCCCTTCTATATTTTATTTCAGAAATGTGGTCACCCTATACAAAGCAAAACAATAACCCTAAAAGAAGCCACCAGTGGATTTGCCAGTGGGTGGTAAATGGAATTTGTGATGTGCGCTTTAGCAGCGTCTGCGATCGGTGTAAAAATGTGGTTGAAAGAGGTGAATGTGACATGAAGTGTAAAAGTGTTTTAGGTGTCTCTATATCGGTCCTTTAAGCAGGTTGAAATGGTTCTACACACAGTGGTTTAACTCTTTAGTAGTGAATAGTCTTGCGACTGAAATGACATCTGTACAAGACACGTTTCTCAATTAGTTTGCCTGAATACCCTATTTAGCTTTTAAAAGACCTGTGCTGCTTGAATAATTGAATTTCTGTTGGCGTGGTTAAGGCATATTTTTAATATTTGAAAGCATATGTGGTGTTTTTGCTTTTAAGGACCATACAGAATATGTTTTATGAATCTGCAAATGCAGCATATAACAGCTTTCTGAAAGAATCTTGCAGTGGAGAGAGTTAAGGCTTGAGATACCCTTCTGGGTTTCTTCCACCACTCACCCACATAAAGAGCTTTTATTCCACAGAGACAGAGCAGAACATTCAGGGAGAAGAAGAAGAAAAAAAGTGGGAGGGAGATGATAGAAGTTGGCGGCTGTTATGTGGGGGATGGAGGAAACCCTGTGCAGAGTTAGCATCTTCCTGGACCCTGAGCCTCACTGGTGCTTTAACATTACATCACTGTACCTGCAGGGACAATGGAAAACACTGAGGAATATAGAGCTTGCAAGTAAAAGATGCAGCACATAGGGAGGCTTTTGAACCTGGTGCAATATATCTGTGTCATACTCCCTTGGTGCCGATCGTCCTGTCTGTTCTGTGCAGTTTGCAAACAATTGTACCAGCAGTCCATGTATTGAAGGCTTGACACCCCTCCTTGTAGCACTGAAGGACACACACACAAACACACACACATGCACGGGAGGGTGCATGCACACACACAACGATTCAGCCAACATGTCAAACTATTTTACACCACACTTCAATCTGTCATTCTGTCCTTCTTAATTGGCAGTAGGCCTATTCAAAGGCTGTTCCACTGAAAACAGTGACAGTGGGTGGAAGATTCGCACAACATTCGCCAGTAATTCCTAGAAGAGAAACAACTAGAGGACAAGACAGTAAATAGCAAACATACAAAAGCATTTGTTGGTTAACTCTTCAATAGCATATCATAGCTTCCTTTGGCGGTTAGCCTCTTAAAAATTTGATGAAATCCACAGCTGTTTCACATTTCACGTTTTTTTTTTTTTTGCATAATACTGACCTGGCCTTCTTACCAATCATGATACAGCTCACTTCAACCTGCCAGTAACAGTAGAATATGTCAGCTAGGTTATTGGTCACATTAACTATTCAAGGGCAAGTTAATGAACCCCTCTGAGAGCTAACATACAAGCTGAAAACTGCTTGCAAGATTAAAAAAAGATGCTTATAGTCAATTTCATCCTCTGTGGTTTACTCTTCTCGAAGGGGGCGTTAATGATCGTCCTCTGGACTAGTTGCAGAGACTCATAGGGGAACATGGTGTTTGTGTGTTTGAATACCATATGACTCAAACTCAGAAGTAAATTTCCTAATATTTTTGGATTTTTGTAACTGTTCACCGTGATTATCAGAATTAAAACACCCTCACTTATTAGATGTATTCATACATAATAAAACACAATATGAAGAGACTGAAGACAGACAATGCGATAGTTTCTACAGGTTTTGTTTCTGTGTTCATGTTTTGCTGTTTGGTCTGATGGTTCAATCCTGTCTTGCAGTAATTTTCCACCCATCCCCTTGGGGCAAGGCTGCATTTCATCTGCAAGCAAACCAAATGTATGAGTCCACCTATAACTAGACCTTTTTCTTTTTCCACACATGACTATCCAACTCTAGTCCAACAGCTGATTCATTTTCACCAACCCTACACCATAAGGGCTTTGGGATAATGGCTGATTTTGTGCAAACCATACTAAAAATATGCTATTAGTCAGCATGGCAAATGTTCATCTTACCAGACTTTGAGGTTTGCCAGAAACTGTAACGATGAGTCCATTATTACATAATAAGATGTCCTTGCAGTACCAGTGTATAAAGAAAAGGAGAGATGTGGTTGTCTACTGCCATAGTGAGTAGCTTGTGGACGACATGGAGAAGCTGTTTTTATGTTATTGTTCATTAACTCTGATACCATTGTGATCATGTATAGAAAAATGCAGTTTAATATTTCCCCTGTAGTTTTAGTTATGAAGCTGGCTCAACCTTAGATGTTTTCTTTTCTACATCATGAATTAACTAAAAATTCATCCAGAAGTGTAGCTGTGCTCAGATGACCAAGTATGCTAGATTGTAATGCGCATGGAATAATAGGTGTAGTTACATTTAATTTAATGCAAAAACAACAACTTGATTCTGGCCTTATATAGGCTGTCTAAAATAACAAAATAGGAAACTACCTAAACCTAAAAACATATGGGAAAATTTAACTGATCAAATACAGTGTAAGTTGTTACCTAAATTTTGTGTATAAACTATTTTGATGTAAACTCAGATATTACACTCTGTTTGCTAGCATGAGCTCTCAGACCCCCCAAAAAGCCTTGTTGGGCTAGGCAGCATGTAACCACCCCCTTTTGTTCTGCTGAAGCAGCTTTTAGTGACAGAAAAAAAGGACATAAAAACACAGTGGTCCTCAGTACTTAGGCTTAAAATGGGCTCTTGTGTTTGAAGGATTGTGAGGAATAAACAACCAACGAGATATTGTGAGCCTTCTACCAGCTGCTGCATATTGATTTCTACACATAACCCTGATATATGACATAGATTGCTATGAAATATTAATCAGCCATGAGGTACATAAATAACACCAGTAGTGGGTGTCATTGTGTAAGCTGGAAGTACAAAGTGCTGTCTCTGCAGGTAGACTCTAACGGTGTCCATCTGGCATGCACTGCAAAGGGCTCTTTGTCAAAAAATATAGCCACTTATTAAATGTTTTCTGGTGCAGACATTTCCCATACCATCAATCATTGCACTTGTTGGAGTCATTGCTCCATGCTGACAATGCATTTCTCAAAATGAACAGCCCTCCAGTCTAAAACGGATTAACAGTGTATCCTTGTCCTCCATCCTCACTGCGTGTTCTCTCAGTTGTCTTGATATTTCCTCCACCTCCAAGAACTCTCACTTAAGTTCTCCCTCAATAACAGTTTAAATAAGTATCCGTTCTCCATTCAGTGGCCTCCAAAACAAATGTCATGACTTCACGACAGAGGGTGATGGGGCTCATGGGAAACGCTGTCTTTATTCCAGAAAAAAAATACAGATTCTGTCCACAGGTGTCACTGCAGCCGAATTCAAATGGGAAGACCTCACAGAGCCTTTAAAGGGATATTCCGGCGTAAAATTAATTTAGAAACAAACACACCATAACACCGAGTTAGACAACCCCTTGAGAGATGAATGTTACCGACGGCTAGCTTCTCTAGTTATACCAACTTTAGTAACGTGTTCATAAATGTTCTTCCTTGAGCTGCTTCACTCCGCTGTAGTCTGTAATGGACTAGTCTGAGGTCTCCGTACAAACAAGCGGCTGCTTGTCGAGAGTGGGTGATATGTGTTTGGTCTCTTTGCTAAAGAAAACAGGCAAAGCTAAAATGTTTGGTGGCTAGTACTATGGCTGGGACCCTATATGTACTGCTGATGAAGTTAGGTGCTGTTATTTGTGGCTATAAAGTGGCGTTTTGGTTGAGGTTTGTGTATGGCTCCTCAGACCGCGGTGTATTGCTAGCATGCGGTCGTTACTAAAGTTGGTATAACTAGAGAAACAAGCAGTCGGTAATATTCATCTCTCGAGGGGGTGCCTAACTCGGTGTTACGGTGTGTTTGACCCTAAATTAATTAACTTTATACTTCATAGGTAGAGTTTTAGTCTCACTCTGCTGTAAACTCATGCAAGTGAATCTGTTCTCTTGTTTCAACAACAAATGTGTTACTATTTCATTCTTTTGTTTAGATTTTAGAGAGATTTAGATTTTCAGCATAGTTATCTTTTTGTAAACCCTAACAGCTGATGAGTGCTCTGCAGACGTACTCATGTGCCATATCTGAGAGCAAAGACAACTGTACTTTGGTTGGAGTTTGATCAAATTAGTTCAATCGTATGGTAGATTTTACCCTATCTGCTGCAGTGTAAGGCCTAGACTGTTCTGGTTCTCTGGTCACCTTCTGATTCAGGGAGATTAGCTAACTGGCATCCACTGTGGGTTATACACTTGCTATTGAAAAGCTTTTTTGCCTTTCTTGTTACCTTTCAGTCAGCTTTCTTTCTTCTCCTTCCTCTTTATATTTCCATCCTTCCTATGTTAACGAATTGCTCCATTTATTCACTTGTTTTTTCGTGAGAGAATCTCAGTCCTCTCTGATACACGATAAAGCAGCCGTAACATTGCAGAAGGATGAGGGGGTTTTATTCCCTTTTCTACATAGCTACAGCTGTCCTTGTATCATTCTCTCCTGTGCACCTGCTCTCCCCTCCCCTTTCGCCATTCTGCTCCTCCCGCTTCGTCACTCTGGAGAAGATGACTCATTTTGCTCCTGATCAATCTGACTGGGTGAAGGTCATTGGATTGTGTGGAGGGGGGTAATTTAGCTGGACTCATCGCAGCATGAATCTACTCTGGAAGGACACTTAATAAAGAACAGGCTGTGTCTCACTAATAGGGTTTCCTGAAAATAATAGGAAGAGACATATGTACTATGAGGGAAATGCACAGTTTAAACATCTTTTAAAAAGGTTAAATGCAGGTTTGAAATGAATGCAGTGCTTGTAATGAATTTGGATCTCTGGGTATGCCTGCTGAGTTTACACTTTCCTCTTAGGTATGTCAGAAAAAAGGGAAAAAAGGCATATTTGCCGCTGGAAACTCAAATTTTTACAATACTCCATTAACATCTTTGCGAAATTGGAAAATAAAACAAACCACACAAATAAAATGCACAGTATATGGGATAAATATCAGTAAAAGCTTCATACTAGCTTGTTAATGAGGAAAATATCAACCAACAGATACTGGTTTTGTTCTCTGTGGATCAAAGCTGTGAATGCAACACCTCCAGGGGGCGGTCCCTTTAAAGTCCCACTCCAATTGTTTTTTGTTGTGTTCTCAGTGGTCTTTAAATTATGATTATGATATTTTTAGCCAAAATCACATTACCTGTGTCATTTTTAGGGGCTTTTCTTCTGCAGAGCTCCAGTAGATCATTAGCAATTTGCCTCTGAGTCAGCGCGGCTCTGCACCCTCCTCTTCATGCTAGCTTGTAGCCTAGCATTGCTGGTGTAGTAGAAGTGGCATGTAGTATAGGAGCTATTCAGCTCTCGGACACTAGTATCTTTGGGGCATAATGAAAGCTAATATCATAATAAGCTTTCTTACAAGTATTGTAATATGCTACCACATCGTAATCATTCTCTGTACTTCTAGGGCTCTCATTTGCATAGCAGGTTTATAGGGGCGGAGCTTGGATTTGTGATGTAGGAAATCTCAGTGTGTCTGAATCTGCTGTTTAGGTCTGTCAGATATGTCCTCTAGCATCAGAAAAATGTCATGAACATGTAGACAACAAGAAAAACAAGATTTTCATCGGAGGGGGTATTTAATTCAAAAACAAACAAACAAAAAAAGTCCTTTCTACACATTGTGCGTTGCCTTTAACACTGCTTAACAGTACCTGTGTCCAAGTGGACTTGAAGCACTTAATGGCTCTCACTAATCTTGTTTTCTCTTGTCTAGATCTTTGCTTTTGTTGTTCTTGCGCTTAAATGTAAAATGGATAAATGACACTGTAACATTGTGAAGGCCTTAACTGATGTTAGCTATCAAGAACTACAGTAAAGCAATGCAATAAAGGTTTTATGATATTAATAATGATCAAGTTTTGAATGATAGACTTTGATAAAGTCAGAGGAATAACTTTTTTCTAAACTCATAGGAGTCAATGTCAGTGCAGCACTCATCATGGTAAGCTATACAAGTGTCGACTCATCCCTTATGGATATTCATGCAATATGGATGTTTGTGCTTTTTGCTGATAAAGGCATTTACAGTGGTGATGTCATTGTGCAGTCCAAATGTTCAGACACACTCTTAATCTGACTCCTCTGGCACCAGAAAATGAAAGAGCACAACGCACTTGAGAGGATTTTAAGGTTACTGACGAGAGGGGTCACTTACTGTATAATATTCACATACACAGGCCCGCTCATGCATCTAACTGTAAATGGTCTACCAATAAAATATTGTATGGACATTTTAGTGTCTGAATAACAAAGGTCGAGCTACTCATTTGATTTTAAAAAAGCAAAAGTAAATCAAAAGGATTTTCAAATTGACTCAAGTCACAAAAACCATTAAATTTACAAAAAGGAAAAGCAACGAAAGACTTTATCTTACCATAATAATGAAGCTGAGGTAGTTAAGACTCTTAAATAACACCCAGGTGGGCAAACACATTAGATACATATAGGGAGGTACAATAGATAGGTGTACTTCTGTAATCAAGTATAATGAGATGAATTTAAATAACAAAATGGTTTCAAATATTACATTGACAGTATTAATGTAACACTAGCATAATGTGCAAAATCTACCATCTCTCCAGAATTGAATCAGTAATCCTGAATTCATCCAAATTCATATTCAAATGTATCTCTACACCACAGTTAAAGGAGTATTCCGGTGTAAAATTAATGTAGGGTCAAACATACTGCAACACAGAGTTAGACACCCCGTCGAGAGATGAATGTTGCCGACCGCTTGCTTCTCTAGTTATAGCAACTTAAGTAATGACTGCACGATAGCAATACACAACGGTCTAAGGAGCCATACACAAACCTCAACCAAAAAAACACTCTATAGTCACAAATAACGCTCAGAACAGCACCTAACTTCATCAACAGTACATAAAGGGTCCCAGTCATAGCACTAGCCACCAAACATCTTTTTAACTTTGCCTAATTTCTTTAGCAAGGAGACTGAACACAACTCACCCGCTTGTTTCTACAGAGACCTCAGGCAGGTCCATTACCACACCAGCTCAAGGAAGAACATTTATGATAATTTCTTCATGGAAATGCAATCAGACCGAGAGGCTAAGGCAGAGGAACTACCGCGTCTGCAGTGCAAAATGATAAATACAGTGATTATTACTCCAAGGAAATGATAAAGTAATGATTGTTTATGGCTCCTGTGACTGTGGTGTATTGCTATCGTGCGGTCGTTACTAAAGTTAGTATAACTAGAGAAGCAAGTGGTCGGCAACATTCATCTCTCGACAGGGTGTCTAACTTAGTGTTATGGTGTGTTTGACCCTAAATTAAATTTATGCCGGAATATCCCTTTAAGGTAGAGTAATATGTTAGCGCATGTTCACTCACTACTTTTTCCCACAATTAAAAGTACAACAAGTGCATGTCATATTTTAAGACTATCATCAAATACTAACCTTCAGACATGTATTTTGAAAAAATTGCTACACCACTTCTATTAAGCTATGCCCTTGCCATTTCCCCTAGTACCTGCATTTAAAGCACTTTCATCAGACTGCACTTCAGAAGGAAACAGGGTTCATTTAGTTACCTGTGCCGACTATAGAGAAGGGCTTGCAAAATCAAATGATTCCCGGCACACATGACTTTAGGCATATCTAATAGCTAAACTCAATAATCTGATGAAGATTACGACTACTGTTTAACAGAGACTTAAATAACGCTGACACAGGCCCAGGAGCCCATGGAGCTGCTTCCTGGTTTCTGGCATCTGAAGATCAAGAATAGCTTGTACTTGCAGATGGTCTTCCTTGCTGAGATTTCTCACACTGCCCTGGTTAAGTGAAAATTTGCCAAACTGAGGGTCAAAGACATACCCCTACAAGCACAGAAATTTAGCTAAAATTTTTGATCCAGTCCAGATGGAAGGATAATACTGTATCTTTAAATACTTCACAGTTTATAACACCTGAAAAAAAGCTGTATATAAACCTTTGAACCAAAAGTTCCCAGAATTAGGCTTTTGTTAAGAAACAAAAAGAACAGGTTGAGAGGTTTTGTCTTTGTCAGGTACAAAGCCAAAGCACATATCACCCCCTTCATGCAACAATGCACTTTTGTTTCCCTTATGTAATGTCCGGATTTGATTAATCTTTTTTTATCTACACAATGGACAGCAAATGACTTTGTCAAGTAAAATTAAATAGACGAATCAGCTGACTTTCAAGACAGAAAAGCGCTTCCTCCATGGGTTCAGACAAAGCCTCCATCTTATCCTCCGAGCGGATGATTATGCTGCTGTATTTAAATAGCTCAACAGCCACCCACTGTGAAAGCAGCGATTTTTGAATATTTTCCCTGCTATGGTGTCAAAATCAATTACCGGAGACATGAATGCTCGTCACACACAGTCACAATGCAGCTGACACATTGACAGCTCACCAACAGCAATTTCTATCACATCTCTGCCCCTCCCAATTAGCCCTTTTAAGAGTCCTCCTCCTTGTTATTTCAAGGTGATAACAAAGTACAGTGGTATTTAATTTGAAGTAATCACCCTGGTCTATGCTCATCTGTGCTTTTTACCCTCAGATTTCTCAAACACATCTATATAGATATATTATATAGACCAAGTACAGAAATCCTAATCCCTCCATGGCAGCAATGGATCCTACAGTTGTTAAACTTGATTTCTACTGTCATATTTAAAAACTCAATAGTTAAATTGCTCTTATTTTGGTCAGGCTTTATAGAGAACAATCCTCAATCCTGTTTAAAAAGAGATCAGGACAAGCAATGACAGAGAATAAGGGTTGATGTCAGTGTTACCCCCCAGAGACAGACAATCCTAATTACAAATTCATGTATAAAGACTGGCGCTGACCTTGTTTGTTTTTTCTAAGTGACAAAATGAAGCCTGAATGATCTTTCAGAGATACTGATAATGCTTCCTCAGTATTATATGATTTAACTATGAGGCGACATTTTGCCACTAACTCATCATTTGTTTCTTTTCTCTTACAGTAATACAACTCACGGTCCTTCAACAAACTATACTGTAATTGCTACATAATGTGGTTTTGTTGTCTCAGCTTTTTGTCTTTTCAAAGTCCTGATACTTATACCAATGTTGTATAAGGAAACAAAACATTAGAGACAATTCAGCAAGATGCTCCATGTTTCCTCAGTTTGGCACGGAGAGCTGGCTGCTCATCATAAACTGAAGCGACCAATTATCACCACTGTTCCCATTACATGATAATTTTGTTTACATAAAATTCAAACTTTTGTCCAACTTGATGTTTGTTATAAACTTTGGTAACACTTTACAATAACCATAACTTACAAATGGTAAATAGACCATATATAAATGGTAAGCAAATAGTTTATTAATGTTTAATCATCATTTATAAATAGCATATAGACAATTAATAAGCTGTAAATTTTACAGTTTTGAAAACCTAACCCTAACCCTAACTTTACAATAACCATCTAAGTAATGTTTATAGGTGGTTTATAAACCACTTATTAATCATTTACAAAGTATTACAAACATCAGTTGCAACTTTACAATAACCATCTAAGTAATGTTTACGGATGGTTTAAAAAAACAAATATTAACCATTTACAAAGTGCTACTGACACACATTTTAATCTATAAGTTTTACAATCAATCTTTAAACTCTATATAAACCTTTTAGAAAGAGTCCATTAATAATTAATGAAAATTATTAATCATAATTTCATTGCTTGTTAATGGTAAAGTAACTATTAATTTACATTAATAAACTATGTATTTGGCATTTATAATTGGTCAATATGTTATTTTTTAATGGTGATTAAACATTAATAAACTATCTATTTACCATTTATAAATTATGGTTATTGTAAAGTGTTACCTAAGCCTTATATCTCATTAAAGAGACTTTATTTTCTTACAGTGTTATTTTTGTAATTAAAGCATGCTACAACTTCATCCTCATAAGAAAATGATTTTACTAGAGCTACTGAATTACATTAACTGAAAACATCTTCATATCTTTCCTTAAAACAGCTGAATTACTTGCATCTGTTGTGGATGAAGCCATCTTTGTAGCGTAAAGATGCTCTGTTGCCTTGAGTGACAGGAGAGGTTTGTTCGATTTCCTTAAATATCCTCACTCTATGCACTGCCTCTTTATATAGAAACATCATAGGAATACATGACAGTGATTTACAAGTTTCTATGGGAGTAAGATCTGTTAGCGCTGCAAACATCCAGCTTGACTTTGTGTAGCGTTTACATGCAATGGTTTTACATATGACATAAAGTCCATGAAATATTAATCCACCATGTGTTACATAAATGCTCTCGTAGTTGGTGTCGTTGTGTAAGCTGGAAGTACAAAGTGCTGTCTGTCTGGACAAGTAAAATTTACATGCACATTTGCATTCTTCTTTAAGGTTAGACAAAAAAGTCTTTAGCATCTTTATATGCTAAATATAACCCACATAACAACAAGTCTAGGGAAACGGGCCAGGTGAATAGTAGCAGTTGTGTTTTTTAAAGGTAGATTTTATATTTGCTGTGTGATCTAATGGCTTACTCGCATCTATAACTATGGAGTAAGATCCCTCCAATTCACCAGCAGCTGTTTGCTTTACTTTAAAATGCTCTCCCCTCTTCAGAGAGGTCAGAAAAGTGAGTGTAGTCTTAATTTAATTGAAGACTAGCCTTCCTTTGGGAAGAGTTTGAGCTTGAAACAGAGAAAGTAATCTTATTGATTGAAGGTTATTTTGAATATGCAAACCAAAAATATAAAAAATAAACAAGAAAAGTAAGGCAAAATATTTAAACATAAAACATAGAAATACATATTTGAAAAGGAGTGAGAAGAAGAACAACTTGTGAACTCCCACCCCTTCCCTTTGAATAATAAGTACCCACACCAACTTGCAACTTGTTTAAAATTACCTAATAATTATGATACATAAAGTACGTTCATGACTTTGTATTACAAAACAAAATCTATATCCACTTAATACAGTACACACATAAACTCGTATTCCCCTTTTTTGAATGGTGGTTAGTGGGTGTAGTGATGTTTTATAGTTGTTGCCCCAAACCCCAGCACAGTATTGGAAGTATGGTTAGCTTTTGCTGTCATTATTTGTGCACCTTCTTGGATAATAATTTCTTGTCTGTTTTGTTAAATTGATAAAACAGTTAATATTATATTTGAAAACATTTGTAGTCCATCTTTTACCAGGCAAGTATTTGACATTTCTTTGACTACAGTTTCTACATGTCCAAACCTCATCAAAGTTAAGAACCATTTTTGAAAAAAGAAAACATCTTTACCATCGCTCCACAGTTTTACAACTTTCTCTAACCTGAACATGTTCATTTATTCTGTGTGCCCTACTTGCCATTGCTGGTGAAGAGCCTCATTAGTGAAATTGGATATGATTGCCTTCCCATCTAGTCTTTTCATCAAAGCAAACTTCCCCCTTTTTTTGGTCAAATTTCACCTCATCTTCACAGAAAAATTACTGTCAACTCACATCTGTACACCGCGCAGCTTGGCATTCAGGCTGCCTCCCTTTGCGCGTCGACTGAACAAGAAGAGAAGAAAAGAGCGGAAAACTGAAACAACAAAAACACAGAAAGTAGGGCAGAGTGGGGAAGCAGACAGGCAAACATTAGGGGAGACATTAGTCCCACAGCTGGTGTTTGAAAGGCTTTGATAAAATGATTGCTGACATATAAGAAGAAGTCATCTGGAAAGGTTGTTGGCTTCACAGCTGTTGTCAGAAATCTGGGATTAAAAATTACTCACTGATGCGATAAAATACTCATGAAAACCTGCTTTATATAGTGAATACTACTGGAATGAATAATTATAATTATTCAAAAAAAGCCAATTTCAACAGATCAAGCTGCTTTTTTTAAATGTCAGAAGAGGAGGCGCCTCATACTTGGATAGTGAGACAATTCAAGAGAGTCAGAGTCACAAGTTTTAAGGCACGATCTCCTTTTTGTTTTCAGTTTGACATGAGGAACAGCAAGTAGACCCTGGTCAGAAGACATAAGGGATCTGCTAGTGATGTAAAGGTGTGGCAGTTTAGAAATATAGACTAGAGCTTGATTATGGGTGGCTTTCTAAGTTAACACAAGGATCTTGAAATTAATTCTGAATCTGAAAAGAAAATGAAATAGGGGTGATGTGAGTTGTTCTGCTGAATCTGGATAACAGTCTTGCAGTAGCATGAGGGAGGCCATCTTCACAGCAGACGATCATCCAGCATCTGAGATGTGTACTGCGAGATGCCTATCTAGCCAGGAGTGTTAATTTTGGCAGCAACCTCAGATTTGGTCTCTGTCATTGGATGAAAATGAGAATTAGTTAGTTTGTTTGTTTTTATCACAGTGAATATTCAAGTGTTATAGCAGAATATACTAAACCACTGCTGCATATTTTGTAAATTTGTTTTCTTTATTTTCTTTTTTTTTTGCCACTTTCGTTCTTTCTGCCTTCATTTCTTTCTTTCTTCTTTTTTGCCTGTTTCTTTGTTCATTGTTTGTTTGTTTGTCTGTTTGTTTCTTTCTTTATTTCAGTCTTTGTCCTACTTTGCTTGTTTCCTTGTTCTTTGTTTTTTTCTTTCCTTTTTCTTTCTTTCCTGTTTTTTTTCTTGTTTCCTTGTTTATTGTTTGTTTGTTTGTCTATTTTTTTTCTTTCTTTCTTCCTTTCTTTCTTTCTTTCTTTCTTTCTTTCTTTCTTTCTTTCTTTCTTTCTTTCTTTCTTTCTCTCTTTCTTTTTTTGTCCTACTTTGCTTGTTTCCTTGTTCATTGTTTGTTTCTTTCTTCCTTTTTCTTTGTTTCTTTTTTCTTTCTTTACTTCGTCTTTTTTGCTTGTTTCCTTGTTCATTGTTTGTTTGTTTCTTTCCTTTTTTTCTATCTTTCTTTCTTTCTTTCTTGTTCTTTGCTTTTTTCTTTGTTCTTTGTTTGTGTTTCCTTTTCCTTTCTTTTTTCTTCTACTTTGCTTTTTTCTCTTTTCTTTCCTTTTTCTATCTATCTATCTATCTATCTATCTATCTATCTATCTATCTATCTATCTATCTATCTATCTATCTATCTATCTATCTATCTATCTATCTATCTATCTATCTATCTATCTATCTAGCTATCTATCTATCCTGTTCTTTGCTTTTTTCTTTGTTCTTTGTTTTTGTTTCCTTTTCCTTTCTTTTTTCTTCTACTTTGCTTTTTTCTCTTTTCTTTCCTTTTTCTATCTATCTATCTATCTATCTATCTATCTATCTATCTATCTATCTATCTATCTATCTATCTATCTATCTATCTATCTATCTATCTATCTATCTATCTATCTATCTATCTATCTTTCTATCTCCTACTTTGCTTGTTTCCTTTTTATTGTTTGTTTCTTTTTTTGTTTGTCTGGTTGTGCTTTGATGTAATGCCTTCTGCTGCACTCTCCCGGTGTGTCATTAATTTCTGGTAGTGTCTGTGTATATATTTAAGTGTGTATATGTGTGTGTGTTCGTGATGGCTGACAGAGTTGTGTGTCCCCCAGGGCAGGCAGCCTCCTTAGGTCAACCGGAGCAGATTGGCAATCGAGGAGGTTTAGCTGTGCCTATCAGAGGGGAGTTCTCCATTTAGAAGCTGTTCAGCGTCTGCTCTCTGTCTGTCAGAGTCTGCATTATACCGAGCCTCGTTAGAAATAATTGTCAGATTATTAAACTCTACATTGAAAGATTTGTCGAGTGAGGGGCACTCATCATTGGACTGGGTCAGGGTTTGTTGATTTGATGATAGGGTTGTTAGTAGATGAGTGATTGACTTAACAGCTCTTGTTTAGAGTCGTCCTTTTGTTATTTTTATTTGTTGATTGGGACAGCAACCATCACCCCCGTTTGATCAACTTTTTTGTTTGTTTTTTCATTTTTTTCTTCTGTATTAATTAAGTTGACATTATCTACACCAACTGGTTTGGAAAGGTGAGGATGTATAATAGTTAACAAGCCAAACCCCACCTCTATTTTCAATAGAGACAAAGATTTAAAATAAACTCATTTCAGATCAGGATATGGCATTAATTTATCAGCTGATTAAGTTATCAGTTTTGTAATATTAAGTTGCTATAGGGTCAGAGGTTCCATGTCTTAAGGTGATACAAGAAATCTGCACAGGGGTCCTGTTCACCCTGTTCTAGTCTGTTGTGACCTGATCCCTCGACCTTGCCTATTTTGTTTTTGTTGGAAGAATAACCCATGTTCTGATAAAACACATGGAAATAGCTGATTTTTGCAATACCTGCTGGATCCTCCAACATAGTGTCACTTGATTTTTCAGCAGATAATCAGTGTGGTGAAGCCGATGATGACATTGCAGCATATTTATTGATCCAGGGACAAGTGGTGTTTATAGCATCTTGACGGGTTGGGCTACTTTTAATGCGGCTGCCACAAGGAATTTTGGGTTAAGTGAAGCAATGAAGCTTCTTCCATCAGATTTCAAGGATTTTTAGCAGCCTTGGCTGATGCTTAAATGACTCCAGTTAATTGGTTTTACCTGGTTATAACCCTTAGAGGCCAAACAAGACTATTTGACCTCCCTGCTGTTAAGAGTTACAGCGCTGTGAATACATCAGTCTCAGGCTGATAATGACGACGGCCCAGACTGATGATGCATGTCACTGACGGACAGGTACTGCTGCTGGAGAAGCTAGTTAACCAAGCATGTAATGCTCTCGATATATGGATAGCTTTTTCTGGACTGAGGCAAGGTTGCCAAGGTTGTTCTTCCTGGCTAATGAACGGTGGAAATGGTCATTTTGCTTTTTAACCCTCTGTTGTGCCTCCCTCTTCTCTTATCCTCTTTTCTTCTTTACTTTTTCATTTTCTCTAGATTTTTCGTATCCTTTTCAAATCGTTTCATTAACTATGCTCTACTAACAGGTCTTATCCTCCTCAGTCTTTGTTTTTGCACTGGGGTGGCACTCAAGAGAATGCAAATGTGCTTGAAAAAAAGAGCAATTTAGGATGTATTTCATGAGGTTAACCCTGCTGAAACAGCTCTACAAACTCAGATCTGTGTCAGTTTTCTATCTCTGTTTCACCTCTTTATATTCACTCGCTCATTCACTCAAGTCATCCACTCCCATCATTAAAGGGATATTCCCGCTTAAAATGGAGTTAGACAACCCCTCTAGAGATGAATGTTGTCGACCGCTTGCTTCTCTAGTTATACCAACTTTAGTAACGACCGCACAATAGCAATACACAGCGGTCTGAGGAGCCATAAACAAACCTCAACAAAAACGCCACTCTATAGCCACAAATAATGCTCAGAACAGCACCTAACTTCATCAACAGTACATATAGGGTCCAAGCCACAGCACTAGCCACCAAACATATTTTTAGCTTTGCCTAATTTCTAAACACTAAACACAACTTACCTACTCTCTTCCAGCAGCCGCTTGTTTGTAGTGAGACCTTGACCAGACCATTAGGGACTGCTGTGGGGTGGCACAGCTCAAGGAAGAACATTTATGATCATTACTTTATCATTTCCTTGCAGTAATAATCATCCTGTTAATAATATTGCACTGCAGACGCTGTAGTTCTTCTGCCTTAGTGTCTCGGTCTGATTGCATTTTCATGAAGAAATGATCATAAATGTTCTTCCTTGAGCTGTGTCATCCCGCTGCAGTCCGTAATGGACTGGTCGAGGTCTCGCTACAAACAAGCGGCTGCTGGAAGAGAGTGGGTGAGTTGTGTTTAGTCTCTTTGCTTAAGAAATTAGGCAAAGTTAAAAAGATGTTTGGTGGCTAGTACTACGACTTGGACCCTATATGTACTGTTGATGAAGTTAGGTGCTGTTCTGAATGTTATTTGTGGCAATAGAGTGGTGTTTTGGTTGAGGTTTGTTTATGGCTCCTCAGACCGCTGTGTATTGCTAGCGTGCTGTCATTACTAAAGTTGGTATAACTAGAGAGGTAAGTGGTCGGCAACATTCATCTCTCGAGGGGGTGTCTAAGTCGGTGTTACGGTGTGTTATATTTTACGCCGGAATATCCCTTTAAGGAGTGTTCTGTGCTTTTCTCTCTCTGTAGTGCAGGAACCTAACCATGCATCAGCACCAAAACATTTTAGGCATCCAAATAGTGCACACTCATGGCTGCACATAGAGGGAAGGACAGCACAAGGCAGCGTGGGGGATGATGTCTCTGATTATGAGGATCATGTTAAAACAGTGTGTAGATCATAGATTGTATATATATTGTAGCTAGCGCCGGCCACCGGTGAGGCGTTTTGCAAAATTCGGTAAGTCTACAAGATGACTGAGGACAGCAATGTCAGATGGCCAAACTTCTCCCAGTTCAATACTTTCTCGTCATCTTGTGTAATCTTGTAACGTCAGCAGCTGCCTTATCTTCAAACCCTTTAAATCATCTCTCATGACGCAGCTGGCTGTCTCTGGGGAGCAGGACCATGTGAGTGAAATAGTGCACTTAAAATCCACCAGTGCGCTGAATCGTGAGTACAGGAGCAGGGGATTGGCCGGTAATTGATTGACAGGAGAAACATACATGCGGTTCAACTGGACAAGCCAAATCTCCAGAGAATTGCACAGGGCAGAATTGGGTTCAAAGGTCAAATGAGTGGTAGTGACCTCAAGTTGACACCCATCTAGAGATTTGCACTCTGGTAGATAATACAGCATAAGCATTTCTGAGGCTCTGCACATCAGCAGCACTTTACCTTAGTGAAATACTGTCTTCATCATCAGTATTGTGCACTTTAGATGAAATAGCCAGGATTAGAAAATGATTTTTGTGTAATGGTTTATTAATTATCATTCTCATCATTTATTATCATTCTGAACGCGTAATCGCATTTAAAGGCTAACACATCCAACTGTAGCTGTGACTCACTCCCAGATGTTTCTATCCGTCATGGCTATTCCTGTCCATGTGTCAAAGTGTCCTTGAGTGAGACAAATGAGACACAGTTATATTTACTGCAGTCCCCTGCATCGCATGTTTGCTAACTGGCTTTATTGTGTTGGATGAAGTGTTAAAACAGGGGGCATAATTGTAAAGGTGAATTCACTGAAAAGGATCTATCATAACAAAACTGGTTAACAATCAATGTGAAGCAGGAAAAGGCTGCAAAGGCTCATTTTTAACTGCTTGATGAAATATGTGGGCAACATTTCTAGAATTTTGCAAATATAGTGCTTCCTCCTCAATATGTCAGGTTGCAGTGTTTCTTACCTGTAATCTTTTGTAAACTTCTATTTTAGGTATGCCCTACAATATATATTTTTTCCACGTAAAATGTATGTGTAAAAAAAGGGCATATCCTGAAATAATCTTAAGTTTATTGTAAAACTGCAAGGTTGATTCTCTGTACTCTGATACAGCGCATCATTTATTCCAACCAGTTTTAACGCAATACACTTTTTGGAAGAAGTTAAATACAGTTCTCTGTTGGAAGGATGCCACATAATAGCCATATGTTGTACATCGCTTTTAATGTTACTTCTATGATAAGATACGATAAGATATGATACAATATGATACTATAAGATAAGATACGATACTATAAGATACGATACTATAAGATACGATAAGATATGATACTATAAGACACGATAAGATAAGATATGATACTATAAGATACGATAAGATAAGTTACGATACGATAAGATACGATACGATAGTATAAGATACGATACTATAAGATACGATAAGTTACGATACGATAAGATATGATATGATAGTATAAGATACGATTAGATAAGATACAATACGATAGTACAAGATACGATAAGATAAGTTATGATACGATACGATAAGATACGATACGATAGTATAAGATACGATTAGATAAGATACGATAAGATACGATACTATAAGATACGATAAGATAAGTTACGATATGATAAGATACGATACGATACGATACGATACTATAAGATACGATACTATAAGATACGCTAAAATATGATACGATTCTATAAGATACTATAAGATACTATAAGATACGATACTATAAGTAAGATTGTAACTTTGATTATGACAAGTGTACGATAATTTTCTCCAAAATGCGATAATTTTGAGTCTCTGGTACAATCATTTTATATTTCCCATCGGTAACACTGCCTCTGTTGCCCTCTTGTAGTGAGTTAACACAAATCAGCACTATAAGACAAGTAGCCTAGTATTATTTGGTTAAAATTGATAATTACCCGGGTGGGAACATAATGGTGACAAACTTTTCGGCAGGATTTGTGTGTACCTTGTTAGCAGATTAGCAGGGCAGCCTGGTTGTGTCAAGCTCACACAAATTCTCTACTGCTTTGAACTCTCTTTCATTCACAGAGCAATATTATAAAGATCAGTATCTCATCATTTTAACATCTAATTCACACATCTCTTTGTCTTATATCCAGGCATGACAATTATCAGCTGACAATCACTGCAGCTAACATGGAAAAGGAAGGTGAAAGGCCAATACCCTCTAGACAGTTCAGTATTTGACATATCAGCGCTGCACACATGACTGTCTAGACAATAACCTCCACTGAATTGTCTGCTGACACTGATTTAGGTTGTTTAGCTCTGTTTTCAGACATCTGGGTTGGCCATTTATAGAAACTGCCCTTCTTTCTGAATTGTCAGGAGGATGGTGTGAACCCCTTAACTGATCCTGATGTTCCACTGTTACTCAGAAAATACAACAGTAAAGGTGTTACCTCAAAGTTTTAAAACATCAGGTTTATGGTCCGAATCTGATTTTTTTGTCTTTGTTTGAGTGCAAATGCAATTGTATTTTTTCTCTTGTGTTGTTTATTTTATTGTTGTGTATTATAAATGCACTGTCCATGTTGTTTGTATCAGTTCATAAGGTGGTGAATGAGCTTCTCCACTGGGGATTAATATATATTTTTTAAATCAAATCAAATCATTTACTGCCAGAACTGACCGGTTCTTAGACAGCAAGAGAAACTATTAGAATGATGATGGAGTATAGAGAGGATTTATTTGAGCCATCAGCAAAAGGAATAAACGATGGTGTTCAAGAACATTGTGGTGCATACCATCAGTCTCAAAGGATCACCTGATTTTGTGAATGTAGCACAGCATATCTAAGTTTCTTTACCTTTAGACCTTTTATTTTAGAGGACATGCAAATTATTCCTCCCCACAATATTAGTTACAAAACAGATTTTTCAAAACCTTTAGTTGAATTTTATCCCAATCAATATTCATTGTTTCTAAGTTTTCCAAACTGCAGATTCCTCCAGACGAGCTCCTTTTTATTCTGGTTTCAGTAATTGAAAGAAAAGGTATCGCATAATTCGGGGCACCCACACATCAACACGGTCAGTTTGTCCTTCATTTTAGATACCAGTGAACAAACCTCCATGTTCATACATCACTCAGCAACCTTTGTGCCGAGTAGTTATCGCGACGCGAATATCCGCTCAAAGTGAGACATTTTCAGCTACCGCCTAATTCGCGTCATTCACGCCGCCAGAGTAGTAGTCTTTGCATTGACTTAACATGTAATTAATTCACGCAAATAATTTTACTTGTGCTTGTTATGTAGAGACAGTAAGAGAGAAACAGACCTTATTTCTAAAACAAAAGCCGAGCTACCCGTGTGTCATTGCTTTGGTCTGCAGACCAAAATTGCTATCCGTATCTTGCGTAAATTTAGACTACTGAAACCAGTATATCTGCCAAACTAAATAACCATTGTCAGTACTTAGTTGGAGTGGTGATTTGTACTCGTGCTGAAAACTGCTTGGTCCATATATCTAAAGTTTGTGAGTTTGATTCAGTCTGTCCTCACCCTTGTCTTTGGCCTGCTTACCACCATGACCTGCAATCCTATCTTCTATGACTCCCATAGAGGCTGTTCTTTCCAATCCCATACTCTATCAGTGGTTAATGTGAAATAAAGGACACTGTTCCATTTAATTAGCTGTATAAAAATGTTAAATGAATCATGCTAATCTAGCCTGACATGATTTACTCAGTCTAAGAGAAAGGATTACTACAAAGACTAGAGAATTTAGTGGGGACTTAATCTTGGATCATGTAACCGCCCTATGTGTGATACAATGGAGTGTGTAAGGGACAGCACAGAGGACAATTGACGTTGGCCTTTATCATGATAGCACCCAAGTGTCTACTTTGTGCCTCCTTTAACACATTCTCATAGTCTGAGAGCATTTTTTTTCTTTCATGATGAGTTTGACACACTCACCAATCAAAAGCTATGACCTTGCCATTTCTCTTTAGTAATATGGAAATGGCGAGAACACTTTATCAAATAAAAAGGAAAAGTGTAGCAAACAAAAACACATTCATGATTCCTTACATGATGGAGTCTTTCAGGGTAAGGGTAAGCACAAGGATATGGAGCATTAAAAAAACAGTATGTACCTTTTCCCCCTCTAGTAATTACATATGGGTAGCTTGGCATTGCCAGACCCATCAGCCAGCTCATATTCATTTTAGTTGGCATGTTGGACCGGGGGCATTTACCCGTCTTTGGCAGATGTACAGACCCAATCACAGTTCTTTATTTAAGTTGATGACACAGATGCACAGCTTCAGCATGTTGGCAAACAACCAAGGAACGTCAGCTGAATCTCTGTGGTGGATGATTTATTACAGCAATCATTGATGAAAAAGGTGCCTTTCTTTCCTCTGCATGCAACTGTCCATTTACATATCTGTTGCTACCTCAAATGCTAAAATAATGTTATCCATTGTAGGTCTGCAGAATCAATTCATATGTCACTAATTGCATCCCTTCCAGGCTCGGATTGGCAAATTGGGTCGATCATGCCTATATGGTAATTTGGCAGTTTGAATAGCTGATTTTGAGTTCACATCATGAGTGTGTTGCCATGGTGCTTTCAGACATGCTAGAACTAGTCAGGAAGAGCTGATCATGCTGTGATTCGATCTTGTGACCCTCATACAGTTCATGATACACAACAGACGATTGAACTGAAATTCAGCCTGACTTTTAGAGAAGTTGTGAGACCTAAAAGTTGAGTCAGAATCTGTTTCAGTTTTTATGGTGTATCCTGTATGCATACATCTATGTCAACGCCTAAAACCAAGCAATGTGAATTATTTGTATACCAATAAAAACCCAAATGAATCATAAACACACTCATGAATAGACATAGCTTGGTAATTAGTCCTTGAATTCAACGCTTGTATTCAAAGCCAGCATTTAATTCTGACCCTTATGTGTGTTTATGTGCCAGTTTGAGTGTGTGTGAGGAAAACCTGAAGCCTGACGTGTGGAGATGGAACATTTGAAAATTGCAGGCACAGCACTCTGATAATTTACACCAGAGCAAATTAGCTGTGACTACGTTTGCTAGGATGCTAGCTGTTAATTGCTTCACACAGAGATGGTGTGATAATGAAAGAGAGAGGGAGAATGTGGAAAAGATAAAGAGCAGGAGAGGGTTACCAGTGTCAGTCGTAATGTTCTCATATTTTTCCCATAGCTTATCGACAGAACAAGGTTAAATTATATAAAACATACTTAGATTTTCCGTTTTTCTCCATTTTAATCCAACAGACTAAAACATTGGCCTATCACACTTACTGACCATGACAGAGCACAAAATATCACTGCACCAACATCAATATCGTCTGTAAATGTAAGTCACTCTTCCATTCAAATAATAGTCTGCCCCTAGGAGTCTGTATGGTTTACCAACATCCAACTCTCTGGATACAAACCAGATATGCACATGAAATGCTAACCTGACTCCTTAGTACTTGGACTACTGTTTAGGAATTTTAAAATTAAAGGCAGTGATCTTATTGCAAACTAAATACTTTTTGTAAATACTAAAATGATCCGAAGTTTTATTATATCTTTATTATTTATATATATTTTGTATTTTTGTTTCTTACTTATTAGCTCATTCTGTTATTTCTCTGATACTGATGCTACTGGAATTTTAATTTCCTTGAGGGAACCTTCCCAAAAGGACCAATAAAGTCTATCTCATCGCATATCATCTCATCCTATTCTATTCTATTCTACTCCTGCACCAAAACAAGAAAGATGACAGACACCCAAACTGCTGGGTAAAGCACATAATACTATCAGGTTTTAACTCTGGAGCTTATCTTTGAAATTTTTATGCTGGTGTCAAAGTAAACAGATGATAGATGTGCTAACTAGTTAGCCTGGTAGCCACCCTTTGCAAAGTGACAGGGGTGACACCGTGTGAGTCCAGTGTAAGGGCATGAAGGACTGGCGACATATCCATTTAACCCTCTAAAGAGTCGACTCAACTCAGTTCAGCCTGACCAGTCGACACAGGCCATAAAGGTTGGACCCTCTTAAGGCTGAAGCCACTGAAATGAAACACAGCTGATATTGCGATTTCCTGTTTTTAGCACTGTGCACTTCCTATAGCTCCTCTGATACTTAAAGGCATGGTTGATGATCTGAGAAGCAGTTAAAAAACTGAGCCATTGAGGCAGATTTGAAAAAAAGCATCCCGCTCTTCCACACAAAACTCTTTCTTCTGTGCTCCTCGATAACTCCCCACCCCCAAACTTGTATTGCCCTCTCCATGACAAAACCTCTCTGGCAGAGCAAAAAGCCAATTGGTAAAAGATCCTACGCTAGCTTCAAATAGGATTCACCGTGTTGCATTGCTTGTGACTAGCGGCAGTAAACGCCAGCTCTACTAGCGAGCACCGTCTGCAGCTGCCTGGACAGCTACCGTGTTGACATTGCAGAGACTAAAAAGAGTTATTTATGTAACGTGCCACAATTAAAGGCATAAATGACCTTTCAGGCCCAAATCCTGGCGGAGCTTTCCCCACTCCTCAAAGGATGACCCGATGTTTATTCGCATTAGATTCCTCGCTTGGTCGCATTTCCTCTTTGACTCTCTCTTCTGTCTACTTGCATTTTCTCAGCACTTTAGTCGGCGGGGCAAGCAGGAGTGTTTTTTCGTCCCTCTCCATCACAGCTTCTGTAGCTCAGCTGCTACGCTACTTCTAGCCACTCAGAGCTCTGAGGAGGGCCAGGAGAGTGGGAGGGAACAAGTCGGAACTACGGAGAGGGGTGTGTCAAATACAGCGAGGTGATTGGATGGAGAGGCGGAGCAGGAGATTGACCAATAGGAGCTATCCTGGGCGGATGGCTCCCATTAATCAATGTTTTTGCAATGTGAACACATTTTTTCCATTCTTTTTTTCTTCACTTTGTGGAGATCACACTATAGGACCATGATCGCCATAGAAACGAGGTTCATGATAATTACCTGTCTCTCCAATCGTCAACCATGCCTTTAACATACTCGGCTTGGTTCAGTGCACTCAGTGATGGCTATAATCTACACCGATGCTATTGTTCTTTGATTGCTCTGTCACATTGCTGTTAGCCGTGTTTAGGAAATAATTGCAAATTAGATTAGCACTTACTTATATGAGGTTGACTTGACATGCAGTCTTGTCTTATCTCTTCTCCATTTCCTTTGATCTCTTTTAGATTTAAAGGTGATTGATGCACAATGTGCCTTTTGTTGTGCTGATATAAGTGTCTCTTCAACAGCACCTTTTTTTTTCTCTTGGTTTCCTTCTAAACATAGACAGCGATGCTTTGAGGATACAGAAGGTGCAGCTATCTTCTATTTGAAGCAGTGATTTTAGAGCTATTATTAGATTTTCTTTGCAGGAAGAAAAGCCAGAAACCTGAATGTAACCTACATTTAAACTTCTGCTATTCCACAAAGTTTGATAATCTGTATATGTGCCTCACTGAACAAACCGCATCTGACCATATTACAAATGCCAAAGCAATGGAAATGGCATTTTGATAGACGAGCTTCACACAAATGAAAATGTCTGAAACAGGAGTAATGAAATAGTTCATTCTGGATATGGGCTATTTAGGCCAATGAACCCTCTTGCCTCCCTGGGGCTGTGTGCAGAAGTCTGTCTGCCATACTGAGGGCCTTAAAAGCATGCTGCTTTCACTCACTGCTTGTGAGATCTGACATGTCATGTGAGGAGATGGATTTCGGTGGTCCACTCCAGACACTTGTCTGGGCATCGGGCTTTTACTCCTAAAAAATCAAGATCGGAAACGGTACTTAAGAGCAGTAGCCAGGACCACAACAGACATTTAAGGAGAGGATATTCCACTCTATGTCAATCTGTTTATCTCTGCTGAGGAACATTCAGTCCGGGTGGGCATATCTTTAACAGAGCTGCCGAATTGGTTCATTCTCTGATGTTGTCCTCATAAGATCTACAAGCTGATGTCAAATTGTGGCCATGAGTTATTGTAAACTCAGAAAAGGAGTCCAGGGATTAAAGGGTTGCTCCGGCGTAAAGTTAGTTTAGGGTCAAACACACCGTAACACTGAGTTAGAGACCCCTTTGAGAGATTAACGTTGCTGACCGCTTGCTTCTCTGGTTTTACCAACTTTAGTAACGACCCAATCCTGCTCTGCCCAATCCTGCACCCCCCACTTTGATGTGACGCTCTTGAATACACGCAGAGAAAAGTTCTCAGTAGATGTTGTCTGATAAATAAGCATGTATAAAGTGTTGCTGCCATGCCTCATGCTTACAGGTCAATGTCTGTCATTTTGAAACTTTTGTTTCTGCAGTGATTGTTTTACAGGATTAATTATAAAACAGTGCAGCGGTATAACTCACAACAGGACCCTGAGTGTTGCTGCGTTACAGTTACCGCGGAAGTCCGATATCGGAGCTGGGACGGCGCTCCAGTTACCAAGTTGGAAAACCAACATAGACGCCTACAGTTACCCATTGTTAGCTGTTGTTTATAATTGTCAGTTGTCGTTAGTTGTCGTTTGCGATACCAGTTGTAAACAATGCATAACAGTATTTTACTCTACAAACACCATAGCGCCGTGTTCACAGTTAGACATTGGGCATTACAACATATACCACTTATTTTATTTCACAAAAACAAAACAGAAGTGCTAATAAATAATACATAACGAGAGCTTTCACTGTTACTCTTTACTGTTGATGCACTGCGCTGCCATCTTGGATTACGCTGTTGTTGTCAAGTCGGCGTTGGTAAGGATCGTCTGACTTTCCGACTTCAGGGGTGCGTTCCAGATTAATTTCTGACTCTGAGCTTGAAAATTCCAACTTCCGAGTACAACTGGAATGAAGCATACATTTTCAGAATTTTTAGAAGGGCAATGGAAATAGGTTAGTTAACTGTGCTAGCTTGAGTTGGTGAAAGGTTGAAATCTCTTATGTAAATAGCAACAAGCCTGAAAAGGCAATGGGAGCAGACACACTGGTCTGATTTTTGTTACAACCAAAATCCACCTTTGAATAATAAAGAGACTAATTCTAATCTCTTTTCCTGCTGCTCTTGATTTAGCACAATGTGTTAAAACATACCCTGATTTACTTTATTGTGCTATGTACTTTAGACCGAGCACTTTTTGTGTTCATATGTCCATAAAGCTGGTGTATGTGTTAGCTCACTTTTCAGTCGACACTGCAGTCTACACTTTGTGTCACCAGCTGAGATTTTACTTTGCACAAAAGCCTCTTTCCCTCCACTGAACTGTGAAGTGCTGCAATTTATTTTTACTGTGGCCTGATGGCTTGTGAATGGGTGTGCAGATAGCGGCCAAGCTGTGATACATGGGCTTTCCCGTTCTCACCTTGGGGTCTCCTTTTCTGCTCCATATCATTACAGGAGCTCCTATATTGAACCGAGAGGGCTTTGTCACGTCGTGGTTAAAATAGGATGCAGCAGCAATTTTCCTGTCACTAACGTGGAATCTGTGTGAGCTGTGGCACCGGATACCATGCTTTGCAGTGTGGACATGTTTTCCAGCCTTAATTATTGTGCATGTTTTCCTGTGGGTCCATGGCATTTTAGTTTCGACGGGTTTTTGTTATGCTGCCCTGATTTTAGAGCAGGGGGCTTGTGGGACCAAGCCTGCAGAAGCAAAAATCAATACAGCTTTGCAAGCAACAACATTTTGCCACTGACTAGTGCATTCATCAAGAAAAAAAGCAGTTCTACTTGGCTCCCTGTGTACAGAGCAGAGAATATGTTGTGTTTTTAAATGCAGTCTGAGAAAACACCAAGGGAGAGAAACTCTGCATGTTCCTGTCACTGCTGTTTACTTTATGAAGCCCCCAGGAATCAGACTTAACCTTCAGTGGGGTTGCCCAGATGTTCTTCAATCTGACGGCAAATGTTCCCACATTTTGTGAGGGCAGGATCTAAACATTGAATGGTGTCTGCAGTTGTAAATTGTAGAAAAATATAGATGTAGACAGCAGGTCTAATCTGAAGTACAGACCACATATGTCGAACAGTGGAACTTGAATGCTGTTTGGCAGATTTATACTGAGCCGAATGTAGTTTGGAGAGGTTCTATGTTTGACAGTAAATCTCTTAACTCTCATTTGATGTCTGCTCTTTTATCAAAGTGACCAGAATCGCTGCAGCACAAGCTAAATACCCTGAATTTTAGTGAATTTTAATCCCAAGGGTGGCTGACCTTCCCAAACGAATGCAGATGATCTTTCTTTTTCTCTTTGCTATTTTGACTGAGTTTGAAAAATACTGGCATTAGAGATGAGATTAATAGGTCTTTGAAGGGCTGTTCCTTTCAAAGAGCCGTTCAAAAAATGTTTGCAACTTTCATGTAAGAACGGCTCACGACTGTAAACCCCTTCTCGTCTTTCACTTAAAAGAGCTGTTCAAACGATTGACTCGTCTGCAGACGGCACACCTTTATGGAGCACATACTGTTCCATTTTTATTTACAATCAGACCCAGCCTATTAAAATGTATTAACTTTCATAATTAATCAAAATGAGCTGAGATTATTCATCTGTGCGAAAACACCACACAAATCATGTTTTTGAATGCTTTAGTCTCCAACCTAAAAATCCTTAATGTGGCTTACCCCCAATTTCTACTGCATCTGGAACGGCTGCGAAAAGGCCGTATGAGCAGACCGAAACTGATTGTTTCCATTTAAGTTAATGTATTAATTCTCACCGGCGCCTTTCACCTCACAAACACATCCGGTAGGAATTGGCGGACGGTGAACATTGTCGCCGTTCCGTAGCGGAGCTGTTCCGGATGCAGTGGAAATTGAAGGTTAGCCACTTTGCATTCCCTGCAGCCAAAGACTATTATGTGAGAAAGATACATGCCTCAGGGGGCAATGGTTTGCTTCTTTGAATTTCCCTTGTTGTTCGTGGTTAATGATGAGCAACTTCCAGCATACTTTGTCAATTTTTTTTGTCTTGAATTTTCTGATGCTTTATTCCCCTTCTTGCTTGATTTATGAGTCCAGACTCGGAGGATAAAGACACTTCTTGCAGTGCTATGGCGATCTGGATAATAAATTCAACAAATCAGAAACATAATAAAAGACATGCAATAAGGCGACTGAGCCAGTGGCTACTTAATTCCCAGCAAGCACTGTCACCATGCGCTCGCAATCATTAGATTTATATTTTTTAAGGAAGTATAGGAAACACTTCTGGATATATTGTTCCAGTTTAACCTCTTTTGTAATTGTAATTGATTAGATATCACATGAAAACAAGGCGACGTTTCCTTGAGGTGTTTCTCTGTTTATTTGTGAGCATCAAGCCAATAGAGGTTAAAACACATGCTCTCCCTGGGATGTCATTTTTATTTTGCTCGATGACTTTATATGGCCGCGGCGTGGAGCGTCAAGGGCAGCCGTAATAAATGTTAAGGTTTAAGCATCACATCTCCCCCAGTGGCCTGGCAGTGAATAATGATAAGGGTCTGTATTGTGTGAGCCTCATGTCTGATCCAGCCTCTTATATGGTTGACCTTCAGATGAGGCCTGGCCACCGTGATTCATAGAAGCAACCACTCTGCACCAAAAACCAATATAGAATTGTCCGGAGAGGGCCACTTAAAAAGTCCATTTGTAGTATGAGTTGACACTCCTTTATAAGCTGAACGCTCTTGATTTAGTTCATATTTTAAGACAAGGGGCGGGGGAGTTCTTGCTTTGTAATAGACTGCAGAATAGACCTTTAATTCTAAATAAAGAGAATTTCTTCTGCTCAGGCCGTCTACATGCCTAGAGCGTAGTTGATTGGCATTACCTATGTTTACTTGAGCCTAATACTCCAATGAAGAACAGTTTAAAAGCCCAAACAGGATAAAAATACCTTAGATAAGCACATCAAGAGATGCACCGATCCATTTTTTTCCGACCCAATCTGATACCGATACCTGGGTTGAGTATATCGGCTGATATCCGATACCAATCCAATACTACTGTTGAACGAATTAACTGTATACCTTTCCCTGTGAGTGAAGGCATCAGGCTTGACATTATCCTTGTTTAAAAAAAAAGGTAACAAATTAACAAAGATATAAATTGACTTAATATTATTTATTAACAAATATCAGATTGCATATTAGCACACAGCAAAAAGAAGTAAGACTTCCATGTAAACATTTAGTGCAAAAGGATAGGCAGACATAGAATATAGAGTGAACAGAATCACTGTGTTGCTGTGTATGATATTAATTAAAAGAAAAAAATCGGTTCTGTGCATCCCTACAAGTTAGCATATGTTAATGCAGCCACTCTGATTATTATTATTATTATTATTATTATTATTATTATCATTATTATTATTATTATTATTATTTTTATTTTTTTTATTTTTATTTATTTATTTATTTATTTATTTATTTTTTGTTGTTGTTGTTGTTCTTGTTATTATTATTATTTTTTGTTGTTGTTATTATTATTATTATTATTATTATTATTGTTGTTATTATTATTATTATTATTGTTGTTCTTGTTATTATTATTATTATTTTTTTTGTTGTTGTTATTATTATTATTATTATTATTATTATTGTTGTTCTTGTTATTATTATTATTTATATTTATTTTATTTTTTAGTAGTAGTAGTAGTAGAAGTATAGTTATTAATATGATTATGAGTAGTATTATTGGTGTTGCTGTTATTATTAAAATTAGTTTTTGAAGATCTTAGTCCCTGAAAATGCATACTCCTAGATCGAGCACTGCAGCTACGCTAATGAAGCTGTGACAGCCTCAAATAACAGCTGTGGCAGAGCAAGGTAGGGAGAACACTGTAGGCAATGCGTTGGCAGCACAGATAAAGTTATTTGCATTATTCTCTCACTGCTGCAAAGTCACGGGAGACAGCTATAGCTACAGTTGAGATAAAATCCCAAATGATGGGCCACCATCTGTCCTCTCATTAAAATAGAGCATATGTTAATGCAGCCACTCTGCAGCCTTTGTGTGCTGCTGCTAAGTCAAGGACAAAATTGAATTGCTGCGGCAGATTGCATCTTTTCATTTGCTTGGCATTTTGGTTATATTACCTCTTCATGTCCGTCTTTTTGTATCTTCCTCTCACGTAGCTCTGAAATACTTCCTCGGTAAAATGATTGAATTTTTTTTTTTTTTAAAGATAGGATGTTACCCACTTATTTCCCATTATTACCCCAGGTTTATACATTGTCAGGATGCCGCTGGTTTGCAGGGGCACTCTGCTTCAGCACCTCCAGCAACAGCTGACATGTGATTGTGTAGGGGCTGACTGTATCATTGAACAGTAACACTTTAAGCAATAACACCAACCACCAAGCTCAGTCAAGGTGTAAGTAAGTGAACCAAGGACTGTCAGCAGAAAATTGGGGCCCTGAGGTAATAGAGGTCTGAGAAAGTGACTATTGACCTCGGCATCCTAGCAAAGCAAGACCTTCTCAGTTCATCTTTACTTAAAGTGCATAAATTGGCGGAAAGGCCTATTCCTAATATAAAATAATTACTGTAATCTTGTTAAGTGAAAACAGGCTAAAGATACTGAATGTCTACCAAGGAACTGTAGACAGTAAAAATCTTTTTATACAGTTTGTTTTATGCTTTATACTCAAAGCAGTCTTACATTACTGTGAACAAACAGCCACTCATACAGATAAAGGGATTGGAGGGCAAGAATGTGACCGTAAAGTGTAAACTGTGACCTGACCATAAATCAAATCTTTCAGGGTACATGCTAACACAAGGAAAGTAGCCAAAGACCTCGAACCCTGACCAAGCAGCCTGAACTTTAGATCAAGTAGTTTATAAAAAAAACCAGATACAAATAGATGGCATACTTATGCAGTGAAGTGTGTATCAGGTGATGTTGTGGGGGTATTTGCAAGTGATGCACCTGGTAGTGCAACAGCACTGGGTACCTAAATAAAGCAATGTGTTAATTTTCTAGAAAGTCAATGGTAATAGGTTATGTGCTACATTTGTAAGTAATTGCTAATAATTGCTGATGTGGTAATAACAATTTTAGCAATTAAGGTTAGGAAAAAAACTGTGAACTGACCTACTGAAAGGTCCTTAATACAGGCAACATGAGGTATTGAAGTCAGGATGAATGAGCTGCATCCACAAAATAAGTGTGATATAGTTTGTCACTGTGAGCTATTACTGTACCGGACTGTAGTCCCTGCTCATCCGTCTGTTAGAGGCAGATATACCCAAGTCTGTTAGCCTCAGGCTGCAGCAGAACCAATTGCTTTATTGGCTGCACCACTGGATGTGTGTCTGCTCAGATGCAGAGCAGAGGAAAGCCTGATAAATGAATTCCTCCTGGTTAGCTGCTGATATAAACACAAATGCTTCCCTGAACAGCAAGAGGTGGGAGAAAACAAGAGGGACAGGAAAACGTGGTGGAGGGTTTGGATGAGTCTCTTTTCTGGTAAGAGGAGGGAACATATGCTAACGGAAGATGTCTCTCATTGTACAAACTCTTCTTGTCCTGTTCAGTAATTTTCAAGTAAGAGCTCAACTCCAATATGGAAGGAATAGGCTCATTTTGTTCCCAAAGATTGTGGTGATTAATGATGGGAATGGTTCGCAAACAACCTACAAAGCCCATACGCTGGTATCTACGCTGGTGAAAAAAACAGTTGCTCCAGTGGATGATCCTGTCTGACTCCATGACTTACTTCCATTCTTATTCCTTCAACAGAAATCCAACATAATCTTCCTTGAAGTGCTCTGTGGACCTTCAATGTTACCTGATGAGAAGATTCTGGATGTCAGAGCCACTTCCATCCTTCATGCCTCAGCCTCCTGAGTTCATCTAATATTGGGAGGTCAACCAGGTAAGAAGACAGATTTCACATGACTTGTTGCTCCTCCATAATTGAGGCCTGCTTAGAATGGAAGTTAAGGAAGGAACTGTAGGTAGTAGGGCTAAGCGATATGGCCTCAAATCAATATCACGATATATTGAGCAGCTCACCTCGATAACGATAAATGGACGATAACTTCTCCACAAGCTGTTCACCCCCTCCCACATCAACTTCGTCTACTTGTTACGTACTACTTTGTTACGGACCGGACAAGGTAGAGTCACGTCTATGACATGTCGTAAATTTCAGTATTGGTAAATTTTCAGTTTGTCGCCCAAACCTAGTAGGTAGGACCATAGACTGTATATAGAATGGACAGCATCTGCCTCCTTGCTGGGTGAAGCCACCCCAAGAACGGCACACTCTGGTGACAGGCTGCAGTATAGGTCATAAATCCTGCCTCCTCCAGCCATCCTTATGGAGTTGTGGTCAAACTTTAGAAATTTATTACACGGAGCATAATGTTTTCCCCCCGCTTACGATGTTGTCGTGTCGTTATTGTAAGACTGGTTTGTGCTCAAGTCCTTTTTTCTGTACAGCTTCCTTTTTAAAAGTTATTAGGGGGTTCATGTTTTTATTGATTGACACTTGATATAGCTTATGGGTGTATGAAGAGAGTTTCAGGAAGTGGAGAAAAACTATATATATATATATATATATATATTTTTTTTTTAATTATATATTTTTGGCTTCAAATCTGTATATTGGCGAAAGGTGTCCTTAGTATATTCTGTTTATGGGTAGGACCCAATTCAACACAGAACTTACAATTCATAAAGGGAGTATTTTCGAGCTGCACTATCTATATTACGTGAATCTAAAAGGTGAGACTACAACACATGAGTGATTCAAAAACAATAAAGGCATATGGAACTATAACTTAAACCTACTAGCTGATGCAATTATCCCATCCATGACTTCTATGAATGCTGAAAGTACAAGTACCCCACTGGGGTTTAATCTGTCATTTTTTTTGCATTTGGGAATATTCAGGCCAAGACGGGCAAGATGATAGGAAAAATTCAAAATTTTATGGTCTCAGTGGGCTGCAAAAAAACAGAGAAATTTGTCCAAGCATCTCATGGCAAAGGCACCCTTAGTTGCATTGTGGACGTATGGAACTGTAGACAAGCCAGTTCTAAAGTAAGTGATACAGCCAACAGAAATTAGTGTTTGAGAAGATGGTAAGCCTTTCGAGTGGTGTTGATCTGTTGATGATGAAGAAATTGGAAAATATTACAGGCGTATTACACAACAGCTAAAACAGGTACCATCAACGAGAGAAATAACTCCTGCCAAAGTAGTGTCCTCCACAGGCAGCTGTCGTGCTTTCACAGAGAGCTGCTGAATCACAGATATCTTTCCCTATCTTGTAAATAATAATAATGCATCAGATTTTATATAGCACTTTATCAGTGCCCCTCAAAGCACTTGACATTGGATACATTATTCATTCGCTCACACAGTGACACCCTGGTGGTGGCAAACTGCCTCAGTAGACACAGCTGCCCTGGGGCAGACTGACGGAAATGTGGCTGCCAATCCGACCACCACCAAACATCACTCACAATCATACACCAGTGGAGAACACACACTGGGAGCAAAGTGGGTTAAGTGTCTTGCCCAAGGAAACAACGGACAGACTCGGAATAGGGCAGGGATCGAACCGCCAACCTTGCAGTTATTGGATGGCCGCTCTACCTCCCGATGTCCACCAGTTCAGCCTAGTGGAATTGCACCACTGGTCAAATCCACCAACCAGGTCACTTGGGTTCTATCCCAACCTGTTGCCCTTTGCTGCTGATCATTTTCCTTTCTATTTGTCTAATATCAGTAACAAAGCACTTGGTTGTAATTTTTAATGTAATTTTTTAACACTGTCTCCTGCATTACTGTTTTGAAACGTCTCAGATTCTGATGTCGCTTGTGTTTGTTCTGCTCGTAGTCATCTTCCTTTGAATAAATGAGTGCACCAGATGTGTTTAACAGGGACTCACGGTATGAATGTAAAGTAGATTGTGTATTCATAGAGCAGCAGACGTATAAATTACCTCCTTCAATCACATACAAAATGGTTCAAGAATGGAGTCTTCGAGTATTGGCACAGTGAACATACATTAGTGTATTCCTTCCTTCAGCGAGTCAACAGCCACATCAAAATTCAATCATATCCCAAAATACACACCTGGCACACTAAGCTGCATGCTCACTTAATGAGACCTATTTAAATGCATGGCTTACCCGCCCTGCTAACATGAGTAAATGCTTAGCTTTAGTAAAATCAATTGCAACTTTAATGAAATGAGGCCCACATACAATCGCCTCCATTTATCGGTTGCATCAATCATCTTGTTGTGTGTGCTCTCCGTCTTGTATATCCCCTGTTTGTCCCACCCTTCATCTCCACGTCTCCTCTTCACTGCCTCGGCTTTGCAATTGACAGGAACTACAGTAAATTGTTGTTTTTGATAATCACTGCTGTAAATTGCTATATTATATTCTCACAGTTCTTTGCACCAGCAATGTTATGATGATTTCTTTGTGCTTCACAGACTAGTGGTGTCACTAGTGGGCACTTCAATAATAAGTACAGAAGTATTTATTTATTTATCTGTTTGTTTTGTTTATTTTTAAAGGTGCAGTCTGTGGTATTTAGCAGCATTTGGCAGAAGAGACACATTCATAAGCATGTTTAAAATAATGTGTTTCAAAACAATTGGGTCTTATTCATAAAATGTAAGTTAATATGCAAGTCCGTGTTACTACAAAACTACATCTGATTCATGAAAGCTGCACAAAAATTCGATTTGATTGTAAGTTCTTAAGTGCAAATTATCTGTAAACTGACAGTGCGCTCCGGCTACTTACGTAGCATCTAACACTGTCCATAAGTAGTCAATGATTACCATTACATGGTATAGATATTTAATCCTTATGCACAGAAAAAGGAGAGAGAAAGAAAGGAAAAAACTTTTTACGTGTGAAGTTGATTTGTGTGAAGTGAAATGCTTTATTTTTTGTGGGTGGTGGTGTGACTCGGCCTAAGCGCACCATGCTCTATAACAGTATGAGCCTCTACTTACAGTAGGTGTCATTATTAGCCACATTTTTTTAACACACATGTTTTTAAGGTCACTGGAGTCATAAGTCACAGATACAGTGAGGAAACACTGTCTCAAGTACAGAACCTCCTACATTAATTGCAAATGTGTACTTTACACACGTGCAGTTATGTAAAAAAGCCATAATCTCAAGCCAGTCATCTCTTACTGTTCAGTTATCCAAATGAGTGCCAGCAGTTGTGTAGGATGAAGCTGTTATGTGTCCCACCAGGCAGCCACAACACTGAAAAACACACCAATTGCACATGCTTACGATAAAAAATGAATAAATAAATTACATACACATATACATATATAGTTTTAATTTGATTTAACCTTCCTCCTGTGTTAGCTTCTACTACGCACCCACTATATTAAAGGTCAGTTTCGACCTATGTCTAAAATCAGCTGTAAATTACACTGAATTTAATTCTCTACCTTCCAATTTAGTTCTCATCTCTAGGTTACCTTGTTAGGCTTCATTATCCATGAAAATATTGCTTATAATATTTTCTGTTTTGGGCTCCTGGGCCTTTCTTTGTCAGTATATCCCTCATACAGACATCTATACTGAATTGATCTCACATGTCTGGACATGCCCAATGTTGTTTTTTGTGCAGGAAAACCATGGCAAAATGAGAGTTTCCTAAATCTCACATGATTGGAAGAGGATCTGACTGTCAGTGTGGTGCCTGACAGTGCACATATGATTTTAGTTTTTCTCGAATTATTAGATATTAACTGGATCATCAACAACCCTAACACGACAAGTGCCATAAAAGTGCCTTAATAAGAGCATTTTATAAATTAGTCAGTTTAATTTTTTTGTTTTTATTTTGTTGAAAAAGAGGTTCCTGACAAAGTCAAAAAGTCTTGATGCAAAAAAGCAAATTAATGTGGTTCTTCTAAGCGTTTAAAAACAAAAACGGATCGGTGCAGACCCCAACACAGGAGGAGGGTTAATTTTGCAAGTAGAAAACTGCACTCAAGTCTTTTAAGTCACCCATTTTCATTTTAAAGTACCTGAAGCTCAAATCTGGTCAGCTGCTTGTAGGCACAGTTGAATGTCTAAAGAGGTCTTAAGTTTGTGACTCCAGCTAATACCATGATGTAATCATGATGTTGGCTTTAAGAGGGTCTATGATAGACCCACTCCAGACCCCAGATCATTCAAGACCTCATACTGTAGCAAAACGGTAATCCTGTCACCAAAGGAGAACCTCCTGTCACGAAGAGTCATTTTGTTTACGTCCTCTGTGTGAAAGCGACACACTTAATCAATCTAAAACTCTAGAGCCTAAAGGAATCAAAAGTATGCCATTAAATTCACAAGAAGCAGCACCACCACAGCCAAACTGCAGTATCATGAAATTTCCGCCAAGAAACTAAAGAGACAGCTAATAGTGGATCGAACAGAGATGGATGAGAGCTGGAATTGCTGAGCTGCAGCGCTCATGTGGAAACACCCCCCATTCTGTTCCAACAATGAAATCAAAGTGGAAAAGATAAATGGGAGAGAAAGTGCAGTGGGAGAGTCAGCCATTGATCCACTGAAGAAATAAATCTGTCTTTCTGTCTTCTGTCTACAGGGATCAGAATAATACAGTACGGATCACCTGCAGCTAACTATAGGTTTCTCATTCTTACTGTATTTGTACTTGTTCATGTTTTGTCATTGAACCCATGCATGAAAACAACAGATATGTAATCAGGATTTTATCATTAAAAGGTTAAATTTGGTAGTTTGCACATTTTTTATCAGTTTAAGAGTTGTCCAAAAAGAGTAAAATATATCATGTCGAAGATTTTTTGCTTCTTCTCTTGTCTTTGAAAAAAAATTCTCATATCAAGTTAAGAGCATAAGAGGCAAAAAATGAAAATCCGTGTCCTCTTCTAAAAAATAAGACCACTTTTTGATGTTTTCACTCTTACAAAAATGTAATTTACCTTGTTGACTTTGCAAATTGCTTCAGCCGCACCCACCCGTGATTAATCTTTGAGTTTATTGGAGTGATTCTATAGGCTGACACTATAAATACTCCCATGACTATTCATTTTAACTACAGGCTGCTTACTCTCCAAGGACACCACCTTGGCTTTAGCTAATGACTGAGACATTACCATGAACACTAATGTGCTCATTGCCTCATAATTTAACAGGTAAGCGTCACCGACCAGCTGTCCCCTTCACAATAAAAGTCAGACGTGAAGAATTCATCTTTATACAGAGGAGAGGCAGTGTCATAGAGCTTCAGTTTCATAAACCGTAACATAGTGGGGTGTTTCTTGTCCTCCAAAACAAAGAGAACTGGCAGTCATGTTGATAAGTATAATTGGATAATAGGCTTCATACATACTACCAACAATACGACTATTTGATATACATTGAATGTCCTCTCAAGCAGTTTAACCATCCTCCATCATCAAATAGAGGGTAGTAGTCATCATCTCGCTCTTTTAATTATAACTATTTGAACCACTAGCAGCAAACTGTGACAATAATGTCACATTTATTGAATACAAAAAGACAGACAAAAACGTTTGGAGATGGTTTCAACCGTTCTCTACCCAGTAATTATAAAGTTTGTACAGCATTTCGCTTAAAGAACTTTGTGCATTTTTATTTTATTGTTAAGTTGAATTTTTGGTTGTCTTCATTCTCTCCAGTAAGTTCAACACAAAGCCCCACTGTCCCCTTACATTTATGAAAAAAGGTACCTAAAAGTTGTCGGCCAGTAAGTTAGCCTTGTGGTGTTGAAAGTGGATTTTAAAAGGGTGACCATACGTCCTCTTTTACCCGGATATGTCCTCTTTTTTTTTGGGGGGGGGGGGGTGTCGGGGTTTGTCCAGAGAAACTCATATGTCCACAGTTGTGTACGTTAGTTTCGATTTTGTGTCACATGGACTTAGAAGCACATAAAAGACACGCGATCCAACCTGAAAAACTCTCAAAATTAATTTCGTGCCACTCCGTGACTCCGCCCCTGCATAGTCGTGTCCTCTTTTTGGGAAGTCAGAATATGGTCACCCTAATTTTAACCAGAATGTCTTTAAAACTGAAGCTAAAGTCACCAACAGTTTGATATCTGTATTAATATCTTGGGCTTCATGGACTGGCACTAATCAGATTTTTGTTTCTGCAGTGTTTTAACAGTTTAAAACTGTGAAACTCTCTGCTCTCTGTTACTGACAGTTTAAGTCTGAATCCCTCAGGATGTGTGTTCATTGTGTTTCGTCAGCGTCGTGTTTTGGCTATTTTCGACAGCGCACGCCATGGCCCCCTGGAAGTTTATTTGGAATGTAGTTCAGCCGCAGTTGTGATCACACAGGGACTGCAAGATATCATATTTTATTTTTTACTTAAATATTGCACATATTGTATTTCTCTTACATGCATTTAAAAACAAAACACTCCATGGCACTTCTTCTAGCATCCAGGTGGGAACTGGAGATGAACAAGATGGCACATGAAGGTGTTTACAGGTAAATATGCATTCCAGTCCTGCCTCTAACAGTCAAAGTATAGGAAAATAAGAAAATTCATCAATAAGAGGTTTCAACACTTTCTGAAGCATTCAGTGAAAATATTTGGAAACATGACCTACAATATATGTAAGGCAAGACTTTGTTAATGATTGTTTTTAAAATGACTTGAATTATCTGAGAGAGCAACCTCGAGAGAGAATTAAGATAGATTATGTTGACGTGTTGAAAGCTCTGAATTTTCTAGTCTGAAGTCAGTGAAACATAACGGTTTCTCATTTCTATCTGTTGCAGCGTGCAACCAGCTGTGACTTCAATCTTCCCATGTGACAAATGTGAAAAACAAGAGTGTAAGTTTCACTGTATGATGTCTGATTGAGAGACTCCCTGATCTGTGTGTGATGAGCTCCTAGGTCTCGATCTCCTCTGCAGCCTGCACAACAGCTGCTCACAGCCACTCTCAGCGGATCTTAATTTTGTTCTCCTTAGGGTGATACTAGAAATATTCAGACCGTGCTCAAAATGATTATTTTAAGTGTCCAAGCATTCTGGTAAAAATATGAAAACGCAAGAATAATGACACGCAATCAGCTCTTTAGTCAATTTAGTGTGACCATTTGGGTACATTTTGTTATTTACCCACATTTAGCAGATATAAAGCAACATAATCATTCATTTGGAATCTTGTTTGTGGTCACCCGATGATTGTAAGCCATTCTCTCTAAGCTCTACTTAGTGCTTCAACAATTCCTAAGGGAAACATTGGCTCTTAAGCTGCTAAATCCTCCCCTATGTTCAACAGCTGCTCACTAACTGTGTCTGTCTACTGTTTGGTGCACAGCAGATTTTGTTGAATGTGATTTTTAAAGTGTATTTTATCTGAAGCTTGTGTTTGGTCTGGTTTGAAAAAGGGAGATAAAGGGATCAGAGGCAGGGCAAGATAGCGCTGATGATGCTGATGGCCCAAGTTACCAGGGAGATGAGGATCAAGATATCCCTGAATGCTGGACATCTTACATGTCCAGGGATAAAATAAAGCAATATCCGCAGCTAATATGCCATAGCAAAAAACTTGGCTGCCTAACCTGCCAGATGATTAAAGCAGTTGGTCCAAATGCAGGTGGGAGCCAGGTGCGTATAGTTGGTGAGTGGTCAGCTGCAATCTCTTCTTAAGAAGATACACAAGCATAGAGTGTCAGACTTTCACCAAGCAGCCGAGAAACCGTGGAAAAGGCAAAAGAAAAGAGAATGGAAACAGTGAAGGGATCACTTCCTGACTACTGATAGGGTATTTCACACAGTTTACAAGATTTGTGAAATTTGCGAGGCCTTTCACAGATCTGCCAACTGATATTGATCTGCAAGTCTTGAATGGGAAGAACTTCACATTCAAACCATTCCTGTGCAACAATCAGCCAACACATGGCAAGTGAAATCACCTCACAATTTTATACAGGTAAAATTGTGAGGTGATTTACCATACCATATAGTATGGTAGTGATATTATCCTTATATTTATGGAAATAAACTTGAAATACAAAAGAAAATCAGTAAGTAAAATGAAGGAAAGACAAGAAAAGACAATGAAATAAAAACTTATAGACTTTACCTGGGCATCACACCCAGTTTTGGACATCTTAAGTACTGGACATATCTGGAAAGAAGATTACAGATAAAAGAAAATGAAATATGTTTTAAGCTGATTTGATAAAGAAAACTCCTGTTGTACTTAAACTAGAACACTGTCTACTTCCCATCTTTCAGCGAGCACAAGCAGAGCAGAGTCCTGCTGCTGTACTTCAGGGTGGTGTGCATTTATCCAGACTTCATCCTGATCTGTTATTGAGGAGATTGTAATGTTGATCGATGCTTTGCTTTGCTTCGCTCGCTTTGTGCACGCTGTACATTCACTCAGGCATATTGCACTTCAGCTGGTCGTTAATCCTCCACGTTCTGGAATTACAAGAGTCGTCTTTTTTTTAATTACCTTTTTTCTCCCATTCCTTTGAAATCAATGGAGGAGTGTTTTCCTGCTGCAACTGATATGGAAATTCGAAAGCCTGACAGCATACAGATCCTTCTATTTTCTGCATTGGTT